ATCCGGCCCTCCAACAGTTTGAGGGACTATGACCTGGCCCTCTGTTTAAAAAGTTTGTGGACCTCTGGTTTAGACACTAATCTATGTGGAAGGATTTGGTTAAATGTGGAACTAAAGTCAGCAAAAAGCGTCCTCACATAGTTCCCCAATTGTTCCAGATGAGCCAAAGCAGTGTGGAGCGTGATGGCTAAGGCATCGTCTATAGATCTGTTAGTTCTATATACAAACTGTCAAATGTATATGGAAGGCAAGAAATGATATGCCTGCAAACCATTTTTTCAAGACACTTCATGATGATGTAAGTGTGTGCCACCGTTCTGCAGTCCCAAAAATTATCAATAGGGAACTTAGTTGGTAACAGAACAATGATGGAAGTCTTCAAACAAGATGGAATAATGGACCGAGATAAAGACTGATTAAAAAACACAGTCAATATAGCAGCCAACTAATCAGTAGTCTTTACGCGCCGGACTAAAAATGCTATCCAACCCAGCAGCCTTTCTAGGATTCACAGCCCTCAAAACATGTCTCACCTCATATTTCTCCACTATGAGGTGGGAGCAAAGCCAACCTTAAAAACTCTGGCATAGACACTGAGAACTAGGAAGCCCTGGCCCTTGAGCACTCCAGCTAGAGGTCAGCTGTGGCTAGCAGTGCTGTAGAATTTGAAGAGGCACTATGGAGAGAAACGTGCCAAGAGGAAGGCATATCAAGCCAACCCTGACCGGGACCGCCTTCCACCTGGAAACCAATGCCCTCAATGAACATGCAGATCAAGAATAGGGCTCCACAGTCACCTACATACCCACCGCCAGTACACCAATCTTGGAAGACAATCCTACTTGGACAATGAGGGATGACCTAAGTAAGTAAGTAAGTACAATCAACTAATGGATGTATTTCAGCTACCTCTGGTTTACCTGCTTCAAAGCGGGCAAAAAAGTGATTTAGCTCTTCTCCCAATGGAACATGCGTATCAACAGGCATGTCTTTGTTTAATTTACAATTATTAATTTGTGGAATCCCCTGTCAAACCTGCCTCGTGTTAGTATTATGAAAATGACCCTCAACCTTTCTCTTATAATCAACCTTGGCTTGCTGAATGCCTCTCTTAAGACTAGCTCTAGCAGCACTGTATTTTACCTCATCACCAGACAGGAAAGCATTGTTTTTGTCATACAAAAGTCAATGGACTTCCCTAGTCATTCAGGGTTTCTGACTGGAATAAATCCGGATGCAGTTGTCCAAAGTGTCAGCATCTGTCTAGTATTTAATGTAACTCAGAACAGCTGCAGTATGTGCCTCTAGATCTGGGTGATAAAAAAAATGTCCCAGTTTGTCATCTCAAAGCAATACTGAAGTTGTTGAGAGGCATCTTCAGGCCAGGATTTCAGTCTTTATTATAGGCAAGGCCTGCTTCCTGAGAGGGATGTATGCTGGCGCCAAAAGCAATCACATGATCTGATTGGTTGGAAGCGGTAGCCCTCCTGGTGTTAAACTGCAGCTCCCAGAAGCCCTAACTAATGTTAAAGGATGTTAGAAGTGGCTGGAAGGTCACATAATAATAATAATAATAATAATAATAATAATAATAATAATAATAATAATTGATTTATACCCCTGGAGGGGTCGCAAGGGGGTATCAGAGGGGTCGCCAAAGACCATCAAAAAACAGTATTTTCTGTTGGTCATGGGGGTTCTGTGTGGGAAGTTTGGTCCAATTCAGTTGTTAGTGGGGTTCGGAAAGCTCTTTCATTGTAGGTGAGCTAGAAATCTCAGCAGTTACAACTCCCAAATTTCAAGGTCTGTTTTCCCCAAACTCCACCAGTGTACACATTCGGGCATATTGAGTATTCGTGCCAAGTTTGGTCCAGATCCATCATTGTTTGAGTCCATAGACCTCTCTGGATGTTGGTGAACTACAACTCCAAAACTCAAGGTTAATCCCCACCAAACCCTTCCAGTATTTTCCGATGGTCATGGGAGTTCTGTGTGCCAAGTTTGGTTCAGTTCCATAGTTGGTGGAGTTCTTTGATTGTAGGTGAACTATAAATTTCAGCAAAATTGGGGGGGGGGGGGGTTTGACAAAATCAAACTCCCCCCCCCCCAACCCCACCGGTATTCAAATTTGGGCATATTGGGTAAATTTGGTCCAGTGAATGAAAATACATCCTGCATATCAGATATTTGCATTACGACTGATAGCAGTAGCAAAATTAGAGTTATGAAGTAGCCACAAAATTAATTGTATGGTTGGGGGTCACCACAACATGAGGAACTGTATTAAGGGGTCGCGACATTAGGAAGGTTGAGAAACGCTGATATAGAGTGAAGATTTCTTCATGGCTTTCTATAAGCAGCAGTTTCTGACTGGAGACTTTCAACTGGAACAGGAAAAAATGGAATTTTATTTATTTATTTATTTATTTATTTATTTATGTCCCACTTTTTCTCTCCACAAGGACACCTCACCAACTACTATCTCCTTGTACATTTAGAGTAGTCAGAGCAATATGTATTCTTTCAAATCCAATAATACTGTATCTTTCTACCATTTGAGTGATAAGGTTAATTTTGCTTTGCGAAGATGATAGGTTACTTTATAGAGGCCCGAGCTGGCGTCTGCTTAATTGAGTCAAGAAGAGGAAAGCACAGTGGAACTGTAGTACATCACAGATCTTGGACCAAAAATGGCCTGTGAGCCGACGAAAGAGTGCCCACTGTGCCAGTTCTTGGTCCCACAGCTTCAGGCATACAAAACCCAGGCAAGAGAGCATCCCCGATGCCAAGATACGGAAAGAAATGTCATTACCAAAATGCCTCTGCACTTTCCATGCTCTCCAAACAACTATGAATATATGTCCACCCAATGCTAGTTCAAAGCCTTGGGGGTGAAGCAATGCCAAAGCGTAGCTCATCAATGAAGTTACTTCTATAGCCAGAAAGGTGATGGGTTTCCATCCATGCTCTAGGTAATGACACCAGACCATAACCCAAGCAAAAATGGGCAGGGTCAACCACTGATCCAAGACAGCTGCCCAATGATGCTGTGTCCAGAGCCGGACCCACTGCACAGGCCCATACACGATGGCCATGAGGGCAAAGACCTCTTGGAAGTAGTATATCCGATCCTTCTTGCCATCTGAAGGCAGCCAGTACCAACCGAGAAGTACATAGGCCACATTGACTAAGCAATTGGCAGGCATAGCCAGGATAGCAGGCAATTGTGACACAGTTGGTTCAGCATAGTGCTCAAACCCAGTCTCTGTCTGAACACCATCCAGGATTCCAGAAGCCACAACGGCCACGCAAAGCACCAAACTTCCAAACACTTGCAAGACCGATTCTCTCTGGATTCCCAAGTGCAAAGGCTGAATTTCCAAAGGCTGATCCCATTTTTTTGGCATGGCTGTTTGATGGTTGTTGCTGCTGCTCCTACTGCGACTTCAGTTGCTTTGATCAATGGGTTATTTGCTAGCTTTAAAAAGTGTGTGTTTCAATTCCGGTAATGACGACCCTGTGAATTCATACAAAACGAGGAGAAACTATCAAATAGGTGGCATATCTGGCAGGTGTCCAAGTCTGGATTTCCGGTCCCAGCCTGGGCACGGACTGGGGCTGCATGGCCTTGGGGACATTTGTGCTCTTACCCTGCAGGAGTCTCAGAAGCCCCGTGTGCCTTTCCCTCTGTGCTCCGCACACTCCCTCCTTCCCCCACTTCCCTCCACAGGACTTTGGCCTCCTTGGCAGCCTCTCCAGGCAGGCTCTCGCACGCTGCTGCTTCCAGCGGTTGCAGTTATGAAACAGCTGCGGAGGCAGGATTGGCTGCCGGTGACATCACTGCGCAGGCAGGGAGCGCGTTTCCTTCCCAAGATCTTCTGTTTTGTCACCATGGGGATGGCAGAGAGAGCCACGCTTCAGACTGGACGGTGGTCCCCTGGGCTCAGGCCTGCAAGACATTGTGTTCTTCAAAGTACAAACTATTTATTGCAGAGGCATCATGTTGCTGCTGCCTACTTTAAAAAAAAAAAGCTTCTCATAGTATAAATGTTGACTTTGAAGCAACAACAGAGAGCAAGGCCCTGGCGAAAGATAAACTCATGGCAGCCAAAAATAGGAAAAACATAGGAAGAAGTTTGAAAATGATGGAAGGGAAAAGAAGCACACATATTTTCCCCTTTTCCTCTCCTGCTGAGGATTGGTGGGAATCTGAGTCTAGCATATGGAGGGACATAATTTGCCCCGTTTTTTCCCTGCTGAATGTTTTTGATACAATAATAATAATAATTATTATTATTATTATTATTATTTATTTGACCAGTCATATGACCATTTCAACACAGAACATGAGTAAAAAACAAGGCAAAAAGGTGAGGACAGAAGCTGACCTTCTATTTACAGTCAGAATCTTATTTTCCTGGTTCTTCTTTCAGGAAATCTGCTCTTTTCTTAATAGCTTTCAGAATAAAAAGGCTTACTCTGATTATGCTGGATCTTTCCTGCCCTTGCAAGAGGGATGTCAGAATATCATTTCTGTTGGGGGACCTGCAGTTGGATAATATTGGATGTAAATATCTGTCTCGCAGTTCAGTATATGCTGGATAGTCAATTAAGAAATATTCAATATCCTCCACTGTTTCTTCTCCCCGTACGCAGAATCTCTCACTTCTTGGGATGTTACAGTAATGCCCAGTTTGCATCATAATGCCAAGTTGTTCAAACCTAGCCTAGTATATATTCTTATTAAGGGTAGTGGAAGTGGAATAGTTAGGTATAATTTGATACAATTTTAAGCACAATTATTTTTTTTAAAAATAAAACATATCCACTCCCTATTGCATAATACTAAAAATTTCACCAATAATACAAGACAGTCCCATGACATTTAGCACTGCTTCTCACACTGTGGGTCCCGACCGCAAATGAGGTCCCATAAGAAAAAACAGGACCCCTCAAAATATTGAGCAACAAGAAAATATTTCTGAATGCCACTTAGACATTTACACAAATTTGTTAGCAAAAACATACTTTGTTTACAGTGGGCTCTATAGTTGTACTCCACAAAAAGGAAAATCAGTCTGGTTAGCAAGTCTTGCAATAGCTTATTTGTTATCAGTAAATGTTTGAAATATATTTTATATATCTATATACCTGCGATCATATAAAAATAGGCAGAATGAGGTTATGAGTGGGGGAAGCCCTGACATTTAGCGCTTGAGAATAGTTCAAGTTGCCATTTCTCCCTCATATATAATATAATAATATATAAATATATATATTATATTACATGTAATATTACTAATAATATCATAATATAATGGTATTGTACTATGCTGATAATATAACATATTGTATGTATATACATATCTTCTAAGCCGCTCTGAGTCCCCTTCGGGGTGAGAAGGGCAGCATATAAATGTCGCCAATCTATATAATTAATAATAATAATAATAATAATAATAATAATAATCCTTTATTTGTACCTCGCTACCATCTCCCGAAGGACTCAGTGCGGCTTACAAGAGTAATAAATAAAAATGTAATGTTCGTTGGTGGGATTAACAAAACTCAAAAAACACTGGGGGAACTGACACCAAATTTGGACACAAAACACCTAACAACCCAATGTATGCCCTTCACTCATAAAAACACTGAAATACACAGTAGAAGGGACTTAAAAATCCCCCAAAACTAAATGACAAAAAGCTAAATGACAATACAGGAAAAAGGGGAGGGAAGAAAAAGAAAGGGAGGGAAAAAAAAGGAAAGGGAGAAGGAAGAAGGAAGGAAGACAGAAGAAGGAAAGAGGAGAGAAGGAAGAAAGGAAAGAAAGGGGGAAGGAAGAGAAAGTAGGGAAGGAAGGAGAGAAGGAAAAGAAAAAAGGGAAAGAAGGAAAGAGGGAGCGAAGGAAGGGGGAAGATGTAGAGAAAGAGGGAGGGAAGGAAAGAGAGAAGGAAGAAAAGAGCAGAAGAGAAAGAAAAGGGGACGGAAGGAAAGAGATAGAGAAGGAAGGAGGAAGGAAGGAAGGAAGGAAGGAAAGACGGAAAAGAAGGAAAGAGTGAGTGAAGGAAGGAGGGAGGGAAAGAAGGGGCGAAAGAGGGAAGGTTGGCCACAGCAACGTGTGGAGGGTACAGCTAGTAAACAAATATATACCTCGCAAGTGTGGGAAGGGAGGAAATATAACCTGGAAGGCTGCCCTGGTTTTGTGTGTGTGTGTGTGTGTGTGTGTCAGGAGCGACTTGAGAAACTGCAAGTTGCTTCTGGTGTGAGAGAATTGGCCGTCTGCAAGGACGTTGCCCAGGGGATGCCCGGATGATTTTGATGTTTTATCATCCTTGTGGGAGGCTTCTCTCATGTCCCCGCATGAGGAGCTGGAGCTGATAGAGGGAGCTCATCCGCCTCTCCCCGGATTCGAACCTGCGACCTGTCGGTCTTCAGTCCTGCCGGCACAGTTTAACCCACTGCGCCACCAGGGGCTCCATGCCCTGGGTAATGTGACCCAGTTTCCTTTTTCTTTAGAATCATAGAATCATAGAGTTGGAAGAGACCTCATGGGCCATCCAGTCCAACCCCCTGCCAAGAAGCAGGAATATTGCATTCAAAGCACCCCTGACAGATGGCCATCCAGCCTCTGTTTAAAAGCTTCCAAAGAAGGAGCCTCCACCATACTCTGGGGCAGAGAGTTCCACTGCTGAACGGCTCTCACAGTCAGGAAGTTCTTCCTCATGTTCAGATGGAATCTCCTTTCTTGTAGTTTGAAGCCATTGTTCCTTGTCCTAGTCTCCAAGGAAGCAGAAAACAAGCTTGCTCCCTCCTCCCTGTGGCTTCCTCTCACATATTTATACATGGCTATCATATCTCCTCTCAGCCTTCTCTTCTTCAGGCTAAACATGCCCAGCTCCTTAAGCCGCTCCTCATAGGACTTGTTCTCCAGACCCTTGATCATTTTAGTCGCCCTTTAGAAGCAAAACATCATTTTACCACACCTTTACTATGATTTTCCTAACTCTAAAATAGGAAATGCATCTCAGGGAAATCCACACAGCCATATAACCCACAATATTAAGTCAGAAAATCCAGTGTGGGTTATCTAAGTCTACACTGCCATATAATCCAGTTCAAAACAGATAATGTGGGATTGTATACAGCTGCGGCCCCGGAATGAGGCTCGCAAACCCTTAGAAATTTACTCAGAAGTAAACACTTGGATGAAGGCGGATTACTCTGAGGAAAAGGAAGTCTATCTAGCGCCAACTACGGTGAAGCCTAGCATTGGCAAACATCCGGGTAGTTCACACAAACGCCTGAGAAGCCAGGAGGAGGGCTGCGGGGGGGGGGGGGGAGGGAGAGTGTGTCTGCGCCTGCGCGCTGAAGCCAACGGTTGCTACAATAACAATCTGAGTGCGAAAGTTGTTCTACGACAGCGACTTCAAAAGCCATTCCTCCTTCACGCCCTTACGTTCCGCCTCTGCTATTCTTCATCACTCGACGAATCTACGTTACGTTAAATGTGTAAACTCCGAGGGCCGTCTCCTAGCAACGAAAGTTTCCAGGCGCCATCTTGGGTAGGCAGGGCGAGACAGCCGATAGCGGCGGCCATCTTGAGAGACGGCGGTATATCCCTTTTCTCGAGAGTTTTGGCCGCCATCTTGAACAGCTACTGTGTTGTCAACACCACAGGGCATTGAGGAAAGCGCCATCTTGGCTCCCCCCTTCGACATCCGGGCAATTCCGTACCTTGGCGCCATCTTGTTCGAGTCTCCATTCGGATGTCTCTCACCATCTTGGTTCCATTTTGAGACGCGCCAGCTGCAAGGAGGCATCGGCCACCGCCATTTTAGATAGTGCCCTTGTTTACAATGAGGAGGCGATGGGCAAGTTTGAATATCCGGGAATGTCGCACCCCGCCATGAGTGCGATACAAGCCACATCCGGGAACTTAACAAGAAGGCCATCTTGGGGCAGTGTTCCGCCCACCAAGGGGCCGCCATCTTGAATGTGTATCTCTCCGCAGCGGGGATGCTGAGAGCGCCATCTTGAATCCTGCAAATAACACAGGACGCCCATATACGGGCATTTGACGAGGGCGCCATCTTGGTCCGTGTTTGAAAGGGAAGGCACACATCCGGGAACTTCATGGCGCCACCTCTGTTTTCTATTTTGTGACAGAGCGAGCGAGGGGGCGGAGACAAGATGGCGGCTTCCAGGAAAGCGTGAAACATGGAAGTGTTATGCCTGGAAGCGCTGTATAAGCGAGTGATTATAATATAAATATATAAAACTTTATGTATATACCGTTCCATCTCCCCAAGTAACATCACAAAACATACAGAGTAAAAACAACATAACCATAAGATTAACAAACAAAATATAAGCAAAAAAATTGTCGCCATAGCACACATATATTAAAAGTAATCCTGCCTATTCAAGGCAATTAAAAATGTAAAAGCCCGGGCCAAGATTTGTGCAAGCCCCAAAAATTCTAGGGAGCCCGGGAATTAAGTGCAATGCCTACCTGCGTGACTGCATCTCCGTTTACAAACCCGCACACTCCCTCCGATCATCTGGAGAGGCCCTGCTCACGATCCCACCTGCGTCGCTGGCGCGTTTGGTGGAGACAAGGGACAGGGCCTTCTCTGTGGTGGCCCCCCGACTCTGGAACTCTCTCCCCAAGGACATCAGACAAGCCCCAACATTGGCTGTCTTTAGGAAGAGCCTGAAGACCTGGCTGTTCCAGTGTGCCTTTCCAGAATAGGAAACTCCTGACTTCAAGTCCCAAATGCATTTTGCTAGAGATTCAGGATTATCTGCACATTGCACCTACCTCCAAATACTTCTACATATTACCTGTCAAGTCCAGCACTTTTAAAATTTTGGCCCGGCCTTTAGGTTTTAATTGCGTCGCGGTGTCATTGTTTCACTGTTCTATTGTTTTGCTTGATGTTTTATTATTTGCTTATGAGCTTATTGTGTACTGTAAGTTGTTGATTGTTGGTGGCCTTGGCCTTTGTAAGCCACATCAAGTCCTTCGGGAGATTTTGTGGGGTATAAATAAAGTTAATAATAATAATAATGCTATGGCAGTCAACAATAATATTAGGTACGAGTCTGTGGCTGTTCATACTGGGGCCGATTAGAGGAAATGATCTGGATAACTGGTAGGAAGAATAAGGCCGTATTCAACAATGTGTGGGGCTGAGTTAGAACTGGTCATTTTCACAGGCTTGTTGAAACCACCAGGTCTTCAAACTCTTACAAAAGGACGGGAGGGATGGGGCCTGTCTTATTTCCTTTGGAAGGGTGTTCCAGAGACGGGGGCCACCACTGCGAAGGCCCTCTCTCTCGTCCCCACGAACTGCACTTGAGACGGTAGCGGGATCAAGAGGAGGGCCTCCCTGTAAGATCTTAGAGTTTGTGTCAGTTCATAGAAGGAGATGCGATCGCGGAGATAGGCGGGGCCCGAACCATTTATAGGCTTTGAATTGTGCTCGGAAGCTAATTGGCAGCCAGTAGAGGAAAGGGGCAGATCTGAACTCAATTGGGAGAGTTCCATAGCGATTGCAAGGGTGGTGGGACCAAGAGCAGGGCCCCTCCAGAATATCTTAATAGCCTTGATGGTTCATAGGGGAGAATACGTTCGGATAGGTAAACTGGGCTGGAATAGGGCCCCATATCCCAGAATATCTGCTTTGAACTGGGTTATCGGAGGCTCCCTCCACACAGCTGTGTAAAATAATAATAATAATAATGTATTGTTGAAGGCTTTCATGGCTGGAATCACTAGGTTCTTGTGGCAAGCATCCTCAGAGGTAGTGAGGATGCTTGCCATAGATGCAGGCGAAACGTCAAGAGAAATGCCTCTAGAACATGGCCCTATAGCCCGAAAAACCCACAAGAACCTAATAATAATAATAATAATCTTTATTTATACCCTCCACCATCTCCCCAATGGGGACTCGGGGTGGCTAACATGAGGCCAAGCCCTTCTAAAATACAATACAACGCAGTAAAATACAAAAATAAAAATAATAATTACAATAACAAAATGAAATGGCACAACAAATTCACACAATAAAAAAATTAAAACTTTGAACTGGGATATATGGCAGCGTGGACTCCGATATCCCAATTCAAAGCAGATATCGTGGGTTATATGGCTGTGTGGAAGGACCCTGAGTCCACACTGCCATATAATTCAGTTCAATGTGGGTTTTATACAGCTGTGCGGAAGGAGCTAGTATTGCGGGAACAGAACACTAGCTTTATTGCTGCCTTTATATCCTATACATCTCGTTTCAAAAAAAGCAGTCACATGTGTCCGCAAAGCGAAAACCTGCCTTAGAAACGGATCTCGGTGTTTATTAAAGATGGCGGCGCCCATAAGGTTGCTATAGGACTGTTTTGGCCGAGAGAGGGAACACGTATGGCGCCTCCCAAAAGCATTCGTGGCTGGAATTCGTAGGAAGGACGTTGATTGGCGGGAGCGCCTTTTTGAAAAAAACGAGGGCGGGGTTTCCTGTTCAAAATGGCGACTTCCACAACACCTTCGGCGAGCTGGAGAACGTACAGTTGGGAGTTTATACTCGTACAAACAGCTTCGTGTTGATAATAGTTTAAAAAGGGGGAAAGTTTTGGCTCCTTGCAAATACGGGGTGGGGTGAGTGGGAAAAAACTCCCAAAGTTTCCCCTAACATGGCGCCACACAAAATGGCGGCGCCCTAGTGGGAGGGGTTCCGTACAGAGGCCCTTTCCCAGGCCCCTCCCTCCGCCGCTGCTGCCGAGGAAGAGAGACTGCTCACAGGCGCAAGATGGCGGCTCCCAGGGCGGCGTGAAGGCGCCAGGAGCCCGCAGCTTGCCCATCGGTGCCGTACAGCGCGGGAGGATCCGGCGGGCCGTGGCGCTGGGAGAGCGGCGGGAGGGCGGCTTGGTTAGGAGGCCTCGCCGGGGAGCGGGCAGGGAGGGAGGGCGCGGGAGGCGCGCCGGCTGCGCGGGGACGAGGGGGAGGCGGCTTGTCCCTCCCTGCGGCCGCCATTTTCCGCCCGGGCAACGCAAGATGGCGGCTCCCAGGGCCGGGCGCTGAGCGGGGGGCGGAGGGGGGCGGCAGAGGGGCCCGGCGGGGAGGGCGGCGAGCTGCCCCGCGAGCGAGGGGGGCTTCCCTCGCGGAGGGCGGAGGGGCCGTTGTCCCGAATTGGGGAGTGGGCCTGCTCTCCCTCTAGGCCTCAACTTGAGGTAACGGAGTGCCTCACATTGGAAACAAAAACAAACAAAACAAAAAAGAGGCCCATATTGGCCTCCGCCGTTATTATTTGTGTTAAAAAAACGCGGGTCTTTTTCTGCGCCTCATTCAAAGAGGCCTTGCTTCTTTCCTATCCCCACCGCCTCCCCTCAAAAGCGAAGGTGGTATCGCCCTTGTGTATACCTTTGCCTCGAAGGCGGGAGAGTCCACTGAGCGCGTAGGGAGAGGGGGTACATTGGCTTTGCTCGCATCCAACCCCCCCTGAAAAGTGAAGGTGGTGTCGCCCTTGTGTGTACTTTTGCCTCGAAGGCGGGAGAGTCCACTAAGCGCGCGCGGGGAGGGGGGGTGCATTGACCAGGCCTCCTGCTCTGAGAGGGAGGAGGAGGAGGCGCTTCCCATGGCGGCGGCCTCTCCCATTGTCCCTCGCGGGGGATCCCCAACAGGTGCCGGCTCCGGCCTGGGCCTCCTGCAGCCCCGCTGGAAGCGGGTGGTGGGCTGGTCGGGCCCGGTCCCGAGACCCCGCCATGGGCACCGCGCCGTGGCCATCAAGGAGCTCATCGTGGTCTTCGGAGGCGGCAACGAGGGCATCGTGGACGAGCTGCACGTCTATAACACCGGTAAGGAAGAGAGGCAGGAAGCGAGGAGTGGTTGTGCTTTGGGGGAGAAGGCCCAGAAAGAGAGAGAAGGAGAGAGGAGTCCCTGGGAAACTTCTATGAGGCGGGAATCCTAGACAGTGCCTTGAAATGGGAGGCTATGGGAGCGAAGAGGGCGGAGGAGCACATCTTGCTTGTTCCTCCTCCAGCCCTCCGGGTGCGGAAACTGGCCGGTGCCTCTCTCTCTCTTTCTCTCTCTCTCATGGAGGAAGGAGCTCTCCCTTCCCCGTTAGATACAGCACTTCCCGCCAGGAACTTTTTCATAGTGAGGAAGGTGGGATTCAGTCCCTGCCCATAAAGGACCAGGCAAACTTGGGCCCTCCTGGCGTTTTGGACTTCAGCTCCCACAATCCCTAACAGGCTGAAGTGTGCCCATGCCTGAGTTAAGCAGAGGCGGGGTGGCCCTCTGTCGGGAATGCTTTGATCGTTCTTTCCCTGTAGTCTCTTCCAACTCTGTGATTCTGAGATGCCTGCCAGGGGAGATTGAGTATTTTTGTGCATCAGAATAGTTTAAGGGGTTTATTGTAATGCAGGCATGGGCAAACTTTGGCCTTCCGGCTGTTTTGGACTTCAGCTCCCACAATCCCTAACTGGCTGAAGTGTGCCCATGCCTGGGTTAAGCAGAGATGGGGTGGCCCTCTGTCAGGAATGCTTTGATTGTTCTTTCCCTGTAGTCTCTTCCAACTCTGATTCTGAGATGCCTGGCAGGGGAGATTGAGTATTTTTGTGCATCAGAATAGTTAAGTTATTGTAATGCAGGCATGAGCTAACTTTGGCCCTCCGGGTGTTTTGGACTTCAGCTCCCACCATCCCTAACAGGCGGCGTTGCAGTCCAAAACACCCAGAGGGCCAAGTTTGCTCATGCCTGGGCTAAAAGCAGTTGTGGGATGGCCCTCTGTCGGGAATGCTTTGATTGTGCTTCCCCTGTGTGACCAAAGGAGTCTCTTCCAACTCTGTGATTCAGAGATGCCAGACAGGGGAGATTGAGTATTTGAATAAGGGGTTAAGCAGAGGTGGGATGGCACTCTGTCGGGAATGCTTTGATTGTTCTTTCCCTGTAGTCTCTCCCAACTCTGTGATTCAGAGATGCCTAGCAGGGGATTGATGATTTATTGATACATTTGGGCTCGGCCTCTTGTAAGCCGCACCGAATCCTCCAGGAGACGGTAGCAGGATATAAAGGATTATTATTATTATTATTATTATTATTATTATTATTGTAATGCAGGCATAGGCAAACTTTGGCCCTCCGAGTGTTTTGGACTTCAACTCCCAGAAATCCTAGCCAGCTTACCGGCTGTTAGGAATTGTGGGAGTTGAAGTCCAGGACACCGACGGCTGAAGTTTGCCCTTTCATCTTGTAATGCAATCATGGATCCCCAATGAGTGTGGTGGGATGAGGGGTGTGTGGAGGAAAGGAATAGGATGGCAATAAAGTGGGAGGAGGGCTTGATCAATACACAGCTCCATCTTGTAGTCCGAAGGTATTGTCAGCAAGCCAGGGACTGGGCTTATATCATAGCATTGGGTATCCTGAGGACACAGGTGCTGTCACGCTCTCCAGCGAGCCCTTGTGTCGTGATGGCCACACAGTCCCCTTGTCAGCAAGTGCCCTGTTTCCCCACATGCTCCGGCCTGGAAAGTGTGGGGCACTTGCTTTCCTTCCCCAAGAGCTTGGCGGTAAAATTCAACTTTCAAACGCTGCAGCCTTTAACTCCTTGCTGCCTGGCTTCCGCCGGCAGTGGCGTGCCCACAGAAACGCACTGTGGGTGGGAAGCCAAGGCTGGAGCATTCCCCATCCTGCCAGCAATTGGGAAGAGCGGGAAACTCTCAAAGCCGATGCCAAGAGCCAGAAACATCCATCCATCTTTCTGTGCATGCTTTGGAGTTCAGAGGAGTGGGTTTAAAATTCCCCCCCTGGTGCTAGTGGGAAAATGTACTCTCTGTGAGCAAGTCCCACCCTCGCTCCACTGGACTTGTTCTTCATTGGGAGCCGGGACTCAGGGTGGAGTCTGTTGATTTCTACAAGAGAAGCTGCGCAGCGCATTGTGATGTGCATTCAGTTGCATGCCAAAATTTGCAGGGGGGGGGGAGCAGTGGGCCTGGCTTATTCAGAAGCTGCTACTCATCTCTAACATTATGAACACAATCCCCAAAGACCAGCAACCTGTTGGTACGCACTAGGTACTCCTTTTGCTGTGTGCGCATGCACAAAAGACAAGGCTCAGTTTCTAAGTCTCATTCCTCCCATAGGCTTTAATATCTCAGGGTTAGGTGTCAGGCACATAGCCTGCCAGTAGCAAGGCAGTGTCGAACTTTTGAGTTCCTTGAGTTCCCTAAGCTCCACACGTAACAAACCTTGAGAATTAAACAGAAGAAGGAACTATGTATATTGGACAGACTTTCCTATAAGTAGGCTTTGTTGATGTTTTCAGTTTGAAGAGTATTAAGGCAACTGCATTCTCAAGATTGAGCCTATTTAGAATTAAATTAAATTAAAATCATGGTTTTGGGACCAGGCCTTCAGGCAGTAGAAGTAAATGTATGCAGCATTTCAAAAAGACAATGACTGGAATGGCGATTCGACGGACGAGACTGTGTTATTGTTTTAATGATTGTTTTATTGCTTGTGGATGTATTGTTTTTAACTTGATTTATGTCTAATTGTAGTGTATAATTGTAATTGTTCGTACTGGAATTGAATTTTGCCATCACTTATATGTAAACCGCTTTGAGTCCCCCTCGGGGTGAGAAAAGTGATACACAAATACTGTAAATAAATAATAATAAATTAAAGGAGTTGCCAAACTAATGTGCCATCACTCTAGCTGACTTCTGAACTGCATCATGGCTCCTCTCTTGTGTGCTCTGTCCCTGTTTGGTTTTCCTAACTTGGAGAGCCTAGTGTGAAATTTTGTCGGCTCCAATTCAGGCATGTTTCCATACCAATGTTTTTCATATGACTTTGGCATGAAATTTTTAAAAAATGCTGTTATAAATTTGCAAATCAACATTGAGTGTTTTGAAAAAAAGATGTGAATCAGTTCAGATGTATTTCTTTATCTTGGAGGAAAAATGATAATCCCAACAAGATTATGAGGGAACAGAACAAACGAAAAGGGCCTTCACCCCAGAAAATGCTTAAGATCACTTCAAATTTAATCTCAAAATCAACAGTTCTAGGATTTATTTCATGGCAACACAAACTAGAATCCTATTTCCTTTCTGTTATAACTTGAATCCAGGCATATTGGCTTTCTGTCTCTTTCCCCCAGTAGTCCATTCATGTTACTAGTCCAGGGGTCCTCAAACTTTTTAAACAGAGGGCCAGGCCACAGTCACTCAAACTGTTGGAGGGCCAAATTATAATATGAAAAAAGCAAGAATGAATTCCTATGCACACTGCACATATCTTATTTGTAGTGCAAAAAAACCAGTTTAAAGCAATACAACAATTAAAATGAAGAACAATTTTAACAAATATAAACTTATTAGTATTTCAATGGGAAGTGTGACCCTGCTTTTAGCTGATGACATAGGATTGTTCTTTTGTGCTTTCAAGTCATTTTAGACTTAGTTGACACTGAGCGAGGACCGGGTAAATGTCCTTGGAGGGCCGTATCTGGCCCCCAGGCCTAAGTCTGAGGACCCCTGTACTAGTCCATGTAATGCTATCMCCCCTGCAGTCAGGAATCTGGAAAATGGATTCTGCAAATCTTGCTGGAAGAAAGGCTGCCCCCCCCCCCCCCCCCACCTTCCACCAAAAGGTGTCCATGGTGAAATAATGATCTCCTATTTTGTGGCTATATCAAATATGGTTGAAGTATCTGGGGCTACAATTTAGGTTATTCTAAGAGTGAATGCGTGGGCTGAAACAGTCTTTGGGTTGTAGGCACATGTGGGAGGAAGTGTGTCAGCCACTGACACCCCCTTGATGTCAGCCTCACACCTGGCTTCCCTTCTTGTGTAACCCAGAGATGAACGGGGGATGGGTCCAGCTTTTTGGTTAGTAGATATCATTTTTTTTCTTCTCAAAAAAGGTTGTTCCTCCTCCCCACTCTCACTTTGTTGCTGTGGATTGCACCCATCCAAAGCAACGGAGGGGCTCTGTCCCAGGTGTGAAGAAATGCCTCTGCCACCCATCTGCCAGGTCCTATTACTGGGACCACTTGCTTTATTTTAGCCTCCCAAGAATGAGAGCAAAAACCTCACCATGGTTTCTGGTAGTTTCTTTGTTTGAAGGGTGTCATGGTTTTTGAGAGATTGGTTGCCTTAAAAGGTTTATTCGTCATTACGAAAGTGCATGGTGTCAAACCCACTTTAGGAACTGTTACTATAGTTAGTAGCTAACTTTATTGTAGTCCTTTGCTTCTGTCCGCTGAGAGTGGAGAGCACACCTTAACCCTCTGGTGTATACTTTTAATTTCAACCTGGAGCATGCTGAAGAATTGGTTTTGAGCATTCAGGATTACCTTTTACTGGACAGCAATTGCACTGGAGTGTTTAATTTAGACTTCTCTTTGCTTCCCTTCCAGCTACAAACCAGTGGTTCATCCCAGCTGTGCGGGGAGATATCCCACCTGGCTGTGCGGCCTATGGCTTTGTTTGTGATGGGACACGTCTGTTGGTGTTTGGTGGGATGGTGGAGTATGGCAAGTACAGCAATGACCTCTATGAACTTCAGGTGAGTGCGCACCAGATGTAATATTGCTCTTCTCAGTTCAGAAAGAAGACATGGTGGTGGGGTCTTAACAACTAAGGAAAGGAGGCTTGTATGGGAGTGCTGGCCCAGTATTAGGGTGTATAATTGAGGCATCAAATTGTTGCCAATTTGTGAACTGCTCCGAGTCACCTCTGGGCTGAGAGGGGCGTTATATAAATATAGTAAATAAATAAATATAATTAAGTGGTTGTAGAAACGGGTGCATTATTCAGATATCATTAGTGACAGCCACTGCATCAAGTCTTTTGTTTGAAGGGTGATAGAGGAATCTGGAATTCAAAAAGTCCTTGTCCGTCCTCTTTCACTTTCCTTCCAGGTAGCCATTCCTGGTGCTTTTTTTATTTTTTGGAGGTGGGGGGAGACTTTGTCCTGAGAGATGTGACTCCTCTTACCTTCAGAAGCAACATAGTGATCAGTAAGGGATTTTGGCAGCTCTAGTCCAAAAAAAATGAAGCTATAGCCTCTATATTTTGATTTCAGAAGAGATAATAATAAAAAGGGTTCTTTGTTGTTCTAGGCCAGCCGTTGGGAATGGAAGCGGTTGAAGGCCAAAACTCCCAAGAATGGCCCTCCACCTTGCCCACGCCTTGGTCACAGCTTCTCATTGGTGGGCAACAAGTGCTACCTATTTGGGGGGCTGGCGAATGACAGTGAAGACCCCAAGAATAACATCCCCAGGTACGTTGACCATGTCTTACCCTGTTCCAAAGGAAAACTAAAGCATTTCTGCGGCAGCTGAATTAAGACTTGTGTTGAAATAATAATAATAATAATAATAATGTATGGTCGAAGGCTTTCATGGCCGGAATCACTGGCTTGTTGTAGGTTTTTCGGGCTATATGGCCATGTTCTAGAGCAGTGGATCTCAACCTGGGGTCCCCAGATGTTTTTGGCCTTCAACTCCCAGAAATCCTAACAGCTGGTAAACTGGGATTTCTGGGAGTTGTAGGCCAAAACACCTGGGGACTCACAGATTGAGAACCAATGTTCTAGAGGCATTCTCTCCTAATGTTTCGCCTGCATCTATGGCAAGCATCCTCAGAGGTAGTGAGGTCACTACCTCTGAGGATGCTTGCCATAGATACAGGCGAAATGTCAGGAGAGAATGCCTCTAGAACATGGATATATTGCTGCGAAACAATGGCTTCAAACTACAAGAAAGGAGATTCCATCTGAACATGAGGAAGAACTTCCTGACTGTGAGAGCCGTTCAGCAGTGGAACTCTCTGCCCCGGAGAGTGGTGGAGGCTCCTTCTTTGGAAGCTTTAAACAGAGGCTGGATGGCCATCTGTCAGGGGTGATTTGAATGCAATATTCCTGCTTCTTGGCAGGGGGTTGGACTGGATGGCCCATGAGGTCTCTTCCAACTCTATGATTCTATGCCCGAAAAAACTTACAACAACCTAATAAAAATAATAATAATAATTAATAATAATAATACACTTCATGTATTACTTGCCTCTCCTTCTGGCTCAAGATGGGGTACAACAGATTAAAAAACAAATGAACATAAAATACAATAAATTACTAAATTACATAGATAAACATAAAAAGCACACACATATATATAAAAACTTATACCAAACACAGCTACACTATTGACATACAGTGGTAATAGAATGCAAATCAAAACTCATGATTGGAAGTTGATTAGGTAGGCTTGCCGGAAGAGATGGGTCTTCAGTTGCATTTTAAATTCTGACATCTCTGGAGTATTATGGGAAAAGTCTTGATTTGTGAGCTTGTTGCACTGGAGTTGTAGCCTCCCTACCCATACCACAGAAATGCTCATTGCGCTCATTTTAAGAATGCAATACAAGGGACCAGGAGTTCAGTGCCAATCAGCTGAAAAACATAAAGCCGTTGTTCATGTCCGGTGTTTCATATCTGTCTATGTATTTATTTCTTAAAGATACCTGAATGACCTCTATATCTTGGAGCTGCGCCCAGGTTCTGGTGTGGTGGCTTGGGACATCCCTATCACATATGGTGTTCTGCCTCCACCGCGAGAGTCCCACACTGCTGTGGTATACACGGAAAAGGATAACAAAAAATCCAAGCTGGTCATATATGGTGGCATGAGCGGTTGTCGTCTTGGCGACCTCTGGACGCTTGATATTGGTAATAGCAATAGGATTGAGATTTCTAGGGGTGGGTGGGGTTCGTCAGGAAGACTTTGACGATAGCATACATCCTTGAGGCCCTGACCACAATTTATGATACTTAGAAGAAGGTTCAAGCAATGCAGTGATCTTTTGGATGTGTTTGTCCCTCCAGATTCTCTGACGTGGAACAAGCCCACTTTGAGTGGAGTGGCTCCCCTTCCCCGCAGCCTGCATTCAGCTACAACCATTGGGAACAAGTACGTCCTGTGTTGGGTGTGCTTTAACAGGACCTCTGGTTTCTAATTTGAGCTTACTTCACACTTTTTCCTGCCCTTTTCTTGTTTTGCAGGATGTATGTATTTGGGGGCTGGGTGCCCCTTGTCATGGATGATGTCAAAGTGGCCACACATGAAAAAGAATGGAAATGCACAAATACTTTGGCCTGCCTCAATCTTGGTATGCAAGAGGATCTTCTGCAGCTTATATCCCGCTTCATCCCCCGTTCCCTTCACATCTGATCTTCTCTCTGTGTCTTTCTCTTTCCCAGATTCTATGGCTTGGGAGCCCATTTTGATGGACACTTTGGAGGATAATATCCCACGGGCACGAGCTGGGCACTGTGCTGTGGCTATCAACACTCGCTTGTATATCTGGAGTGGCCGTGATGGCTACCGCAAAGCTTGGAATAACCAGGTTTGCTGCAAGGATCTCTGGTACCTTGAGACAGGTAAGAGGCTTAGATTTAGCCATTGAGTTGGATTATTAATACAACTTCGCTAAATTTCCAGACTGAGGTTCAGCTTAAGTGTGCATAAGTAGTGAATGATACAGCCATTCCTAGACTATATATCGGTGGCCACTGACTATTTGTTGTCTGTTTTTATATTGTTTATACGGTTTTATACTGTTTTATATTGTTGTTATTATTACATTGCTGTTAATTGTATATTTATGTTTTGATGTGGGCGCCATGGGGTGCCACTTTGTTAGCCATCCAGAGTCCCTCTGCGGAGGTTGAGAAAGGACGGGATATAAAAGCCCTAAATAAATAAATATATATATTATGATGAGATACATTTGTGTGGATTGCATGTTTGTATGCTGTTCCATGATTAGGAAAGCCTTTCATTCCACTTTTGGTAGCATGTGACAAGAAACATTATTATTATTGTTATTGTTATTATTATTATTATTATTATTATTATTATTATTATATTTACATTATTTTACTGTATTTATTATTGTTTTATTACATTTATTATTTTACTCTATTATTATTGGAAGGACATGTAAGCGCATTTACATTGAAGAAGGTGAGAATAATGGTTTCATCAGAGTTGGATAGTCTTATCTTAAATTACAGTTTTATGTAAATATTCAAAAGCATTTAATCTACTGATGCCTCAATTAATATAATTTTATTGGTATCTATTTTTATTTTGAAATTGACCAGTAGCTGCTGCATTTCCCACCATCGGCTTATACTCGAGTCAATTCGTTTTCTCAGTTTTTTGTGGTAAAATTAGGTGTCTCAGCTTATACTCGAGTATATACGGTAGTCTCTTTCACTGGATCTGGTTTTTATATCAATACGTGCCCCTCTGCTGTCTCTCCTCCCCCACCCCACCCAACCTCACCACACTTTCTTTCTCTCATGCCGCCTGCTTCTTTCTGTTATCATCTCACAGAGAAACCTCCCTCGCCTTCTCGGGTGCAGCTGGTCCGTGCCAACACCAACTCCTTGGAAGTGAGCTGGGGTTCTGTCCCGACGGCTGACACTTATTTGCTCCAGCTGCAGAAGTACGACATCCCAGCTGCCACCTCGCCGGCTGCCAACCCTGTGCCCTCAGTGCCTGTCAATCCTCCCAAGAGCCCTGCTCCAGCTGCGGCAGCTCCTGTTGCTGCCGTGCAGCCCCTGGCACAAATGGGCATCACCCTCCTGCCCCAGACCACAGCTGTTGCCGCTGCTGCCGCCGCCGCCACTGCCGCCGCTCCTGCCCCACCTACCACAACCACCATCCAGGTGCTGCCTACCGTGCCTAGCAGCCCTATGCCAGTGCCTGCTCCTGTCGCCGCCGCCATTGCCACCCCTCGTCCACAAGGTAAGGAAAGAAGGAAACCTTCAGGGAGACATGCGTTTTTATTCGGGCATCCTGACCACCAGTCCCTATCCTTTCTTGCTTTCTTCGGCCAATGGAATGTGTGTTTTAAAGCCAGTTTGATCCCTGTTCTGTGGGAAGCCTTGCTGTGGTAAACCTCTCTGTCCACCTTGCCTGTTAAAGAGTTTTGCTTCAAAGTCTTTCTTTTGTTATATGTAGAAATGGTAGCCATAGTGTTGGGGAAGAGCTCCCCAGTTAGTTTCAGACAAGAGTACACCTTCTTGATTCTGAAAAGGAAAAGCCACTCTGAGAATGATACAGTCATGGTTCATTCCTGCTCTTCCTTTTTTAATATAGGATTCCAATGAATTGTCTTGATGCAGCTTGTATTAGCATCCTTGAGATCAGAAATTTGATGGAATATGAATATTTTAATGAAAAAGCAGTGGTCCTAAATCTTAGTATATGGCTGGTGGATTTAAGTCAACATAACTGCCCTGGTGGCGCAGTGGTTTAAAGTGCTGAGCTTGTTGACTGAAAGGTTGCAGGTTCAAATCCGGGGAGCGGCGTGAGCTTCCGCTGTCAGCCCCAGCTTCTGCCAACCTAGCAGTTCGAAAACATGCAAATGTGAGTAGATCAATAGGTAACGGGAAGGTAACGGCGCTCCATGCAGTCATGCCTATGGCCACATGACCTTGGAGATGTCTACGGACAACGCCGGCTCTTCGGCTTAGAAATGGAGATGAGCCCCACACCCCAGAATCGGACACGACTGGACTTAATGTCAGGGGAAAACCTTTACCTTTAAACTACCCTTTATGAAAGCTTTTGGAAATTTTGGTAAAGGTGACTGGTTTGGTTGTGTGCGGCTTAATCCAGTGTGTGGGATCAAGAAGTCTTTCACTATACACACTACTTTTTTGCCACGGTTACTGGCTTTAGATATTTTGATGACAACCTAATCACGGTTATTAGCAGTTCTGTGTATTGAGTCTTGCTCTCTGTCATTGCCTTCTTCCTCAGTAGCGGTCCCAGCCATGCTGAAGGTCACAGGCCCACAGGCGACCACTGGGGCGCCACTGGTGACAGTACGATCTGCAGGGCAGCCTGGGAAGGGCCCAATGACAGTGACTTCATTGCCAGCCGGAGTGCGCATGGTGGTGCCCACACAGAACACGCAGGGGACGGTGAGTACTGCCTCATGGGGGGTGGCCATCTGTGCTGGGAGAACCTACTAAATCAGATCATGTCTGATTTATGATGATCCTATCATGGGGTTTTCTTGACAAGATAGATTCAGAGAGGGGCTCTGCCTTTGCTTTCCTCCAAGGCTGAGAGATAATGATTGGCCAAAGGTCACCCAGTAGGTTTCATGACTCATAGTCTAATTGTCAAACTACTTCACCTCATTGACTCGCTACACAACGTTCTTTCTTAGGTTCTTTCTTCTCGTCTTCAGGTGATTGGCAGCAGTCCCCAGATGAGTGGCATGGCTGCTTTGGCAGCTGCGGCTGCTGCCACACAGAAAATTCCACCATCCTCTACCCCAACTGTTCTCAGTATGCCTGCGGGCACTACCATAGTGAAAACTGTTGCTGTCTCTCCGGGCACCACCTCGCTGCCAACCACAGTTAAGATGGCTTCTTCTCCAGTCATGGTGAGTGTCTGCAGTGTGTTCTTGTGGCCTGGGTGGTTTGCCTTTTCTTCCTGAGGGGTGCAGCCATACTCTGCATGCACAAGATTACATTATGGCAACATCTTGTTTGTCCTATGCCCCAAGGCTTGTAGGCCAAATCTGGCCCACCAATATCCTTTTAGGTGGCCCTCCAGATGCTGGACTGCAACTTCAGTATTCTTTATCATTAGACCTCACGACTAAAGTTGATGGGAGTTGTGATGCAGTAACATCTGGAGGCTGCAGTTTGTTCTGTTTAGTCAGGATACTGCAGTTTAGATTTAGATAATAATAATAATAATAATAATAATAATAATAATAATCTTTATTTATACCCCGCCACCATCTCCCCAATGGGACCCAGGGCGGCTTACATGAGGCCAAGCCTGAACAACAAATTACAGCAAAATAAAACCAAAAATACATGCAACAAACAACAACATCGTAATTACATAAAATATATGAATACATTAACGATATAAGATTACAATAAACATAGTCGCAATGACAATGGGCAGGCTACATGTGCAAGAAAATGATTAAAAACTAATTAAAAATTGATTTAAAACACGGGTGAGATGACGGGAGAAGCAGGTTATTTGCGGAGGAAGGCTCATTAAAACGGGGCTTGTGGAATCAAGCTTCCCCACGAGGAAGGGAGGGACACGTATACTCCAATGACAAATATGTTGAGGCTGAGCAATAGTGTGAGGTTGTATACCTACTCACCAAAGGTGCAGCAGAAGAGCCAGGTTTTAAGGTTCTTTTTAAGGTTCTGCAAGGCTTGCAGATACGATGTCTGGCTTTAAAATGTCCATCATCACCATCATCATTATTATTATTAGGAAGTGCTTTTGGGTTGCAATTCCCATTATCTCCAGTACACATGACAGATAATAAAAAGTGATAGCAGTTGCTATTCAGCAACAAATTGGGTAAAAATGATAGAGCACCAACCACTATGTAAAATAATTATCGTTGGGGCTCTCTGTCTCCATGGATTCTCTGTCCATGGATTCAGCAACCCTTTGAAGGCAACTATAAGGCTGATGTAGCCTTCGATGAAAAGGTTGGCATCCCTGTCATATGGACTGTATATACTCGAGTATAAGCCTAGTTTTTCAGCTCTCTTTTTTTTTAGGCTGAAAAAGTCCCCCTCGGCTTATACTCAAGTCAAGGTTATTTAATATTTTACTCTATTATTATTATTATTATTATTATTATTATTATTGCATTTATTATTTTATTCTATTATTATTATTACATTTATCATTTTACTCTTATTATTCCATTTATTATTTTACTTTATAATTGTTGTTATTGCTACTAATATTATTTATCCTTTTTATTATTATTACTACATTTATTATTTTACTCTATTATTACTGTTATTATTACATTTCCATTATTTTACTCTTTTATTATTATTACATTTATTATTTTACTCTATAATTATTGGAAGGATATGTAAGCACATTTACATTGAAGAAGGTTAGAATAATGGTTTAATCAGAGTTGGATAGTCTTATCTTAAATTACCGCTTTACGTAAATATTCCAAAACATTTAACCTACTGATTCCATAATTAATATAATTTAATTGGTATCTATTTTTATTCTGAACTTTACCAGTAGCTGCTGCATTTCCCACTCTGGGTTTATACTCGAGTCAATATGTTTTTCCAGTTTTTTTGTGGTAAAATTAGGTACCTCGGCTTATATTCGGGTCGGCTTATACTCGAGTATATACGGTAATTAAAATCTCTGACTTCTGATGTCCCATCTACTCCTTTTAAAAAAATCAGGTAAAAAGTTTGAAATCCCCAAGAACTGTCTTAGGGCCAATAAAGACTGGTTCATTAAATAGATTGAGGGTTTTCTTAAGCTGTCTTGAGAGCTCTCATGCTGACTGAATTTGCCAACAGGTCAGCAACCCAGCAACCCGAATGCTGAAAACTGCCGCTGCCCAGGTTGGCACCTCCGTCTCCCCGTCCACCGCCAATACACCTAACCGTCCCATCATTACCGTGCACAAGTCGGGAACTGTTACTGTAGCACAGCAGGCCCAGGTGATGACCACAGTGGTGGGTGGTGTGACAAAGACCATCACATTGGTGAAGAGCCCCATCTCAGTGCCTGGTGGCAGCGCATTGGTAAGTGTCTTAAGTTGTGTGGTGAGCAGGAAACAGAAGATAGCTTTGAACGCTTTGGGTGTTCTGTTTTAAGTGCACGTAGACACATTTGAAGACTGCGTCTTGTGAGGTCTGGGATGGGTCTGATTTGTTGGCTGGAGCCAACGTCCTTCTTTGTGTATCACTTCACAGATTTCCAACTTGGGTAAGGTGATGTCTGTTGTCCAAACAAAGCCGGTTCAGACATCAGCTGTGACAGGTCAGGCATCAACTGGCCCTGTGACCCAGATAATCCAGGTAAGAATGGGCGCAAGGGATAGTAGCCAGGTTTAAGCTTGGTGAGGGTAACCTTTGCTGTGTCCTTTCAGCTGCTTTCCACCAGTTCATATGAGACTGAGGTTGGGCATGGGGCTTTTCCCTCACTTTTGGTCATATAATTGCAGGGCTGTTCTAAGGAGAACTGTTACTCTAAATCAGGGGTCCTCAAACTAAAGCCCGGGGGCCGGATACGGCCCTCCAAGGTCATTTACCTGGCCCTTGCTCAAGGTCAATCTAAGTCTGAAACTACTTGAAAGCACACAACAACAATCCTATTTCATCAGCCAAAAACAGGCCCACACTTCCCATTGAAATACTAATGTTTATATTTGTTAAAATTGTTCCTCATTTTAATTATTGTATTGTTTTTAAGTGGGTTTTTTGCACTATAAATAAGATATGTGCAGTGTGCATAAGAATTCATTCATGCTTTTTTCAAATTCTAATCCGTCCCTCCAACAGTTTGAGGGACTCTGTCCTGACCCTCTGTTTAAAAAGTTTGAGGACCTCTGCTCTAAATGGGAAGAGCTGATAAAGGGGAAGGAAAATACAAGGAATTGAATCAGACCATCTTTATGATTGATTGAATAAATAAAATAATTTTTAAAAGGTACAGCTGTTCCTAGCAGGAGGGGGAAAACAATTAAAGTAATGGAAAGGCTAAGAATACAGGTCAGACCAGAATGATATAAGTAAATATGTGGGGGGGGGGGGGATCCTATTCTGTAATGTGAATGTGTAATGTGATACTCTACTTATATAAACTAATTACAAATAATTAAAAATACACTTCTAGGGCTGAAAGGCATCAGGAATCCTGTGAGACCCTCATTGCCTGTTGTAATACTGTATATGATTTCTTAGTTTTTGTTGTGTGCGTTTACGTCACCTCTGACTTGTGGCAGGGCAAAAGTGAATATATGAGGATGTCATTTTGTCAGATTTTATTTGGGAAACTGAGGTCACCAAGTAGGTTTCCAGGGCTAATGGATTTGAATGCTGGTCTTACAGGTTTCTACTATAACTTTCATATCACTATATCCCATTTGACTGTCACACTGCCCTTAGAGTTAGGATTACAGTTTACTTTAGGAATAGCTTTATGGTTTGGGGGAAGTTTAAAATTCTTTCTGCTTTTTCATGACATTTATGACATACTAAACTTAATCTCCACTTTTCTGCCAAAAATTGCCTTGAAGGCAACTGATGATAGCAAAGCTCAGGTGAAAACAGTAAGATAATTAAAATAGATTGGGAAACACATAAGTAAAACAACCCATTTTTTAAAAATTCAACTCTTTTATTCCTCTCAACAAACTAGCCAAAGAGCAAGCTTATTTGGACTAGTCCATTTATTGTTTTACTGGCCAAACACATTGGGGCTGAAACTGAAAATGCCATGAAGGCTGGTTTGGAGAGACAGACCCAAGAGTGTTAACCGTTTCATAGAAGTGGCTACAGATTAGAGACTACATTCATCCTTCTTTCTCCTCCAAATGCTGATTGAGAGTGAAATGACTGAGCCTAGGAATATTACAGGAAATCCAACCCTGGATCTCTATCTCTCTTTTGATCATAACCATTACCATTCCCAATCCCATCTGAGCCTTAAAATGGAAGGTATCAAGGTCAAAGAAACGAGTGGAATCGTGGATCTGTTCTCGCTGGGTTTTTCTTCCTTTAAGGAATTCCCTTATATTTAAAAATAGAAGTGAATGAGCTTGAAGCACATTGCCAATCATCCACATATATTCTAGTGAAATATACGAGGGGTATTTTTAAAGTAAGGTCCATTTGAACATAAGTACACAACGAAAGTTTATTTCAAAAAAGTAAATTTATTTTCAGAAAGTACATACTTCACTCTATTTTTCGACATAGTTGCCAAGTTTGTTCAAACACTTATCATACCTCTGAACCAATTTTAAAATACCCTCTTCATAAATCCTCGCTTCAACTGAAGCCACCAAATCGTCTGTAATCAAAGAAGGGCGACCGGAGCGGTCCTCATCATGGACGTTGTCACGGCCATCTTTGAATTGTCGTACCCACTTACGCACTTTGCTTTCACTCATAACAGTATCACCGTACACTTCACAAATCTGTCGTGAATTTCTGCAGCAGGCAGGTTCCTTGCTGACAAAAACCGTATCACTGAGCGAACCTCACATGCGGAGGGTGAGTTGATAGTCTAAACATTTTTAAAGCACAGAACAGAACCGTACAGGTTAGCTACAGAGCGGAAACTGAGCATAGTTGTTCCCGAGGCATGCCGGTACACGACGCGCGCTCGTTGCGGTATGCGCGCGAACTACTAATGTCTACCACAAAACGGACCTTACTTAAAAAATACCCCTCGTATATCTTTATAACATAAATATATTTGGACTAAGACATATCCTTTAAAAATCCTTTGTTAATAAATACGGGAGAAGCCTTAACATTTGCATTAAAGTGCCCCTAAAATGATGAAAATGTTAAAGGTTCAAAATACACTATTTGTTCAAAAACTCTGTCAAAGATGATTCTTCATGTGGATTCTTGATGTTCTCTCCATTACCTTAGACCAAAGGGCCCCTGCCTGCTGGCACTATCCTGAAGCTGGTGACCTCAGCAGATGGCAAGCCCACCACAATCATCACCAGCTCCCAAGCAGGAGGCACAGGCACCAAACCCACCATCCTGGGTATTAGCAGTGTCTCTCCCAACACAACCAAACCTGGCACCACCACAATCATCAAGACCATCCCCATGTCGGCCATTATTACCCAATCAGGTGCCACAGGTAAGCAGTGGAGTACTATTGCTAAATCCAGGTATAGGGAACCTGTGGCGGAAAAGGGGGAAGAAGCAGCCAGGTGGGCTGAGCATCAGTGTGTTTGCAGGGGCATAGCAGAGTGTGCAAATAATAATGCATGATCAACCAAAAATATTTTTTATTAATGTTTTGGCCTGGTCCTGGGGTTATTTGGGGGTGCCGATTCAAAACATTGCATGATAGACCACATCAGCTCTACTTTCTTAGATAATAATAATAACAACAACAACAACTTTACAATTGAAGCAATATAAAAACAATACGGTTGAAAGAAACATAGCTGAGGTACAGATTCAATGAGTGCAATACATTTTTACAGGAGCGCAGGAAAGTGCAACAATACAGTAAACTGGGCATAACACATGTTGAGGTAGAAAGTATGCCAGTGTAAAGTGTGAGCCGGTGTAAAGTGTGGAACTTCAAGTAGGGACAAGAAAGTTACTGGTGAGCTGCTTAGTCAAAAGCGCACCGGAACATCCAGGCTTTTTAGTTGACTATGAAAGAAGGACAAGATGGTTCTCTGGATTTTGTCTGGGTTTATTTATCGTGTCAGGCAACCGAGCATTTGTATTACATTTTTGACAGAACAAACAAACAAACATACAAAAGACACAGAGTTTGCAAGCTTGGTAGTTGATTAAATGTCCTTTGACCAGTATCTGGCCACTTGGAGTGCTTCTGGTGTTGCCGCAAGGAGGTCCTCCATTGTGCATGTGGCAGGGCTCAGGTTGCATTGCAGCAGGTGGTCAGTGGTTTGCTCTTCTCCACACTCGCATGTTGTGGATTCCACTTTGTGGCCCCATTTCTTAAGGTTGGCTCTGCATCTCGTGGTGCCAGAGCACAGTCTGTTCAGCGCCTTCCAAGTCGCCCAGTTTTCTGTGTGCCCAGGGGGGAGTCTCTCATTGGGTATCAGCCATTGATTGAGGCTCTGGGTTTGAGCCTGCCACTTTTGGACTCTCGCTTGCTGAGGTGTTCCAGCGAGTGTCTCTGTAGATCTGAGAAAACTATTTCTTGATTTAAGTCGTTGACGTGCTGGCTGATACCCAAACAAGGGATGAGCTGGAGATGTCTCTGCCTTGGTCCTTTCACTATTGGCTGCTACTTCCCGGCGGATGTCAGGTGGTGCAATACCGGCTAAGCAGTGTAATTTCTACAGTGGTGTAGGGCGCAGACACCCCGTGATAATGCGGCATGTCTCATTAAGAGCCACATCCACTGTTTTAGTGTGGTGAGATGTGTTCCACACTGGGAATGCATACTCAGCAGCAGAGTAGCATAGCGCAAGGGCAGATGTCTTCACTGTGTCTGGTTGTGATCCCCAGGTTGTGCCAGTCAGCTTTCGTATGATATTGTTTCTAGCACCCACTTTTTGTTTGATGTTCAGGCAGTGCTTCTTGTAGGTCAGAGAACGGTCCAGAGTGACTCCCAGGTATTTGGGTGCACTGCAATGCTCCAGTGGGATTCCTTCCCAGGTAATACTCAGAGCTCGGGATGCTTGTCTGTTCCTGAGATAAAAAGCACATGTCTGTGTTTTAGATGGATTAGGGATCAGTTGGTTTTCCCTGAGTAGCAGTAGGGCACCTAGCGATTCGGAGAGCTTCTGTTCAACCATCTCAAAGCTCCCTGCTTGAGCAGCAATGGCACGATCATCAGCATAGATGAAACTCTCTGTCCCTTCTGGCAGTGGCTGGTCATTTGTGTAGATGTTGAACATGGATGGGGCAAGCACGCTCCCCTGAGGCAGGCCGTTCTTCTGTTTCTCTTTTTTGTCTGGGTGAGCAGATAGCAAATGGTAGATAGCATATGTTTTGTACCACAAAAAACAGGTGCCATTTTTTGAATCAGCAGGTCACATATATTCAGAACCAGGGCTAACATTTGAGGCACCAGCCTGTTTGTTACCCAGTGGTATGTGGTTCAAATCCATCACTGCCTTTTCAGGTGTTACCAGTAGTCCTGGAATCAAGTCTCCCATCACCATCATCACAACAAAAGTGATGACATCTGGCACTGGCACGCCTGCAAAGATCATCACAGCAGTACCTAAACTGACCACAGGTCATGGGCAGCAGGGTGTAACGCAGGTAAAGTGAGCAGACCGGCGGGGTTGGATGGGTGGGTTGTAGACCCTGTGGGGCTGAGCTTTGATTTGAGATCTAAACCTGTCATATATTCATTTGCAGGTGGTGCTTAAAGGAGCACCAGGTCAGCCTGGCACTATCTTGCGAACTGTCCCCATGAGTGGAATGCGCCTAGTCACGCCTGTTACTGTGTCTGCTGTGAAGCCCACTGTTACCACTTTGGTTGTCAAAGGGACTACAGGTAATAGACTGTAATATGAATGTGTCTTTTTCCACTGTGGAAGCGGGCTATCTGATTGATTGCTCTTATTCGTTGTGGATGAGTGCTGACTTAATTTGTGTGGGTTCATGGTTGCTATGTCTCTGGTCTCCAGTATCATGTTTTTGCTGCTTCTGAGGATTATGTGTTCCCAGAAACATGGGCCATGTCCTCTGCCCCATCCCTGCTTGCCTTTTGCAAGTAAGTTAAGACATGTCTTTGTCATCAGGCATTTGGGGAAGGATGAGGGACATACTGCTGGGGAGGCTGTGGGGAATTGGGGAGGATATGTAGTTTCAAAAGTAATTTTAATTAGACAAGTATTTTGTTACAATTTAACTGTTTTGTATTCATGACAAAAATATTTACTTTTTTTGTTTTTTAACTTCTGTGTTTGCCATGTTTCTACATTAATTGGGTTGTGTCATGTTATTGCAAGCCTCTTTGCGTCCCCACGGGGGAAAGGCGGGTTAAAAATAAAATGAAATAAATACAAATCTATATAAATAAAAATGTAATGTTCGTTTGTGGGATTAATATAATTCAAAAACCACGGGATGAATTGACACCAAATTTGGACAGAATGCACCTAACAACCCCATGAGTGACCATCACTCAAAATAATTGGATTTTGTCATTTTGGAGTTGTACTTGCTGGGATTTATAGTTCACCTACAATCAAAGAGCATTCTGAACTCCACCATCGATGGAATTGAACCAAACTTGGCCACACAGGACTTCCAAGACCAAAAGAAAACAGTAGAAGGGTGTGGTAGGCATTGACCTCGAGCTTTAGAGTTATAGTTCACCTACACCCAGAGAGCACTGTGGACTCAAACAATTATTGATCTGGACCAAACATAGTATGAGTACTCCATATGCCCAAATATGAACACAGAAGGAGTTTGGGGAAAATGGACCTTGACATTGGGAGTTGTAGTTGCTGGGATTTATAGTACAAATACAATCAAAGAGCATTCTGAACCCCACCAACGATAGAATTGAACCAAACTTTTCACACAGAGCCCCCATGACCAACAGAAAATACTGTGTTTCCTGATGGTTTTGGTGACCCCTCTGACACCCCTTTATGACCTCCGCAGGGGTCCTGGCCCCCAGGTTGAGAAATGCTGCCTTAAGTCCATCCAGTCCAACTCCCTTCACCAGGGCAAGAAAACATAACCAAAGCCCTCCTGACAAACAGCTATCCAGCCATAGATAGATAGAGAGAGAGAGAGTTAGATATGATTCACATACACACATATATGTATATGGCAGATATAGTATCATAGATTTGAAAGGGACCCCTAAAGAAGGACAATTCTATGTTGCATGTTCCAGAGGAGGCAAACCAGACAATCTCTACATCAACACTGACAAAGAAACAAGAAGAAATACTGTTTACCCATTAGCAGAAAGAAATTACGTATATTAGAAACCAACACTTTCTCATTACTTTATTTTCCACATCACCAGACTGGGCCACAGCAACACGTGGCAGGGGACGGCTAATAAATAAATAATACATAGGCAATGTTGAGGATCTGGTAGATTTGGGGTCGTAGGTATTAGTGTGCTGTGCAAAATACAACCCATTGTGACTTTGAAACCATTTTCTATCTCCTATTTCAGGTGTAACGACCTTAGGCACTGTAACAGGCACAGTCTCAACCAGCCTAGCTGGGACTGGGGGCCACAATACCAATGCTTCTTTGGCTACCCCCATTACCACTTTAGGGACAATTGCCACGCTTTCCAGTCAGGTCATCAACCCAGCTGCCATCACTGTCTCCGCAGCTCAGACCACCTTGACAGCAGCAGGAGGCCTGAGCACACCCACCATCACCATGCAGGTATGGGATAAGTTGGGTGTGGTGGTCTTCTTTGGAGATTGGCGGGTCTTTGTATACATGGAAATCAAGAGCTGGTGGACAGCTGATTCAGACAAAGAGAAAGTGTGTGACCTCCATGTATGGGGGCAATACTTTCCAAGTCCTCTGTGAAGACCTTGTCAGACTTTGTCAACCTGGGGCCTCCAAGTGTTTTGGACTTCAGCTCCCAGAATTCCTGACCATTGAACAAGCAAGCAGACTAAGGCTTCTGAGTTAGTTGGAGTCCCAGACACTTGGAAGGGCTGCAGATTGTGTAGGCGACTGTTACTGCGACTGTGTTTGTTGTAATGTTATTTTGCTATTGTATTCATGTTTATTTTTATTTTTTAAATATAATTTTGATGATGTTGCTTGTTGTTTATGTTTTGGTTTTATTTCGATGTAATATGTTGTCTGGACTTGGCCCCCTGTAAGCCGCTCCGAGTCCCCATTGGGGAGATGGTGGCGGGGTATAAATAAAGATTATTATTATTATTATTAGGCGTGCCTTAAATCGTTAATAAAAGCAAATTTTATTGTGGCTATATTTGGGGCAGATGCATATCATGGACAAAATCTGGCTACCAGTATTAAAAAACTCTGAAATTACAACAGCAAAACAACAGAGAGGAAACAATCAGGGACAGCTAATCACCTCTCAACAAAAGATTCCCCCAGGCACTAACAAGCCACCCCAAAAAACTGCCAGGCCATCAAATGTTAATCAAGGTGGTCAGTGGAAACATTCACACCTAGCTCCAACAGACAAGAGTTCTTTGTCACACCCTGGTCATTCCACAGATGTATAAACCCAATTTTCCTAGTTCCAACAGACCTCACTACCTCTGAGGATGCTTGCCATAGATGCAGGCGAAACATCAGGAGAGATGACTCTAAAACATGGCCATATAGCCCGAAAAAACCTACCACAACCCAATAATAGGAGTAACTGTCGAACAGCAATTGAAGGGCTCCTGTTTAAAATAATCCAAAAATGTGGTTGTGTGTAAATAGTAGTCAAATTCCTTCTAGATGCAACTGATGCACCTAATGTCACAGTTAATGAGAGTGTCCTGATTTTAGTCAGCTTGCAGATTTGCATGTAGCAAAAGACATGCAGTTGAAGAGCTTTGCATGAGAGTAAAGAGTTCCAAAAAAGTAGAAGATGAAATGCTACAGTAATCCTGGTTACTAATCTTCATATATCTATGGGTTTCTGTCTTTTTACTTTACAGAAGGGTATCTTCTAAATCAGGCATGGGCATACTTGGGCCCTCCAGGTGTTTTGGACAGCCTCGGGCCCTTTCCTTTTCCCCTGAGGCTGTTAGGAATTGTGGGAGTTGAAGTCCAAAACATCTGGAGGGCCCAAGTTTGCCCATGCCTGATCTAGATTGTTGTCTTTTAAGGTCTGAATCCCCAGCATATCTGATGTTTATATCAAAGAAAATGTATTTCGGTCTGTGTGTAAACCACATCTTTAGTCTTGGGGTAGAATTGTTCTGAATGAATTAGTAATTTAAGAAAGGAGACTGCTGAATCTTATTCTCTTAATATGAAGGTAATTCAAACATGCAATGTGCAGTAAGGATTGGCAGTGTTCTTCGTCTCATTCTGTATAACTTGTAGCATGCTTCTAAGTGTTACTTTCCCTTTGCTATGTGGTGTATCTTACTGAGGTGTCCGTCCTAACCCGTGCATATCTGCCTGTGTCTCCTTACCTCTAGCCTGTCTCCCAGCCCACTCAAGTCACACTGATCACAACGCCAAGTGGTGTAGAGGCCCAGCCGGTACATGACTTGCCTGTTTCTATTTTGGCCTCGCCTACCACAGAGCAGCCCACGGCCACCGTCACTATTGCGGAATCAGGGCAGGGAGACCCACAGCCGGGCACGGTCACTTTGGTGTGTTCCAATCCGCCCTGCGAGACGCACGACACTGGCACCACCAACACAGCCACCACAACTGTCGTGGGCACTTTGGGTGGGCAAGCCCAATTGCAGTTTGTCTGCGATGGGCAAGATGGCAGCGGGCTTCAGGCCAACGGGAGAGTGGTGAGGGTCTGCTCCAACCCGCCTTGCGAAACCCATGAGACGGGAACCACCAACACAGCCACCACTGTGCTGAGCGCCGTTCAGAAAGTGTGCTCCAACCCACCCTGCGAAACTCATGAGACGGGTACCACAAATACAGCAAGCACCTCTAAATCAGAGAAGGCACCCACGGATCCACCATGTCAAACGTTCCAGACGAGTTCGACTGGCACCACCATGACTGTGAAGCCCATTGTGGGCACCAGTCAGCGAGTGTGCTCCAATCCACCCTGTGAAACTCATGAGACAGGCACCACCAACACAGCCACCACTGCCACCTCCAACATGGGCCGGGGGCAACCTGATGGTGGACAGACGGAACCAGCGAACAATCCGTGCCAAACAAAGCAGACTACTACCACCAGCACTACCATGTCGGCAAAAGCAGACGTTGCAACAGAGCAGCCCTGCACGGTCCGAATGGTGAGCTTTGGGTCAGATGCTGGCACACCCAGTGTGGCCTCTGCCACCTCTGCAGCTCAGCCCAGTGAAAGACTACCAGCCCCCAAAAACCTCAAGTGTGAATCCCACCATACCCACACCACCAACACTGCCACAACGGCTCGGTCTCTCATGGGCCGAGGGCAGCCTGATGGCGAGTGGGTAGGATCTGCCAACCCTCCGTGCCAAACGCAGCAGACGTGTTCCACCAGCACCACCATGTCTGCCAAAGCTGATGTGCCTACAAAGCAGCCGTGTACAGTGCAGATGGTATCCCCAGATGGGGATCAAACACCAGCCCCGTTGAGCACACCTCGCACAGCCCTCAAAGTGGACGCCAAGAACACAAGCCCACAGGTGTGTTCTAATCCACCCTGTGAGACTCATGAAACAGGCACCACTAACACCTCAACCGTTGCTTCGTCAAACATGGATGCCACCCAGCGGGTCTGTTCCAATCCGCCCTGTGAGACTCATGAAACAGGCACCACCAACACATCCACCACAGCCACCTCCAGTATGGCTGCAGGGCAGCAAGTGTGCTCCAACCCACCCTGTGAGACCCATGAAACGGGCACCACCAACACAGCCACAAACACCACCTCCAACATGGGTGCTGGGCAGAATGAGGGTGCTGGGCAGGGTCAAAGTACCCAGCAGGCGCCTGTTACTCAACCTTGTGAGACACAGCAGACAAGCTCCACTGGCACAACAATGACAACCAGCATTGACGGGGATAGCACTCAGGTTTCCAGCTCAGTCCTGGCGCAGAGTGGGGCTTCAGAATCAGGAAAGGGCCCCGAGGGAGAGGCTCCTGGCCCTGATGGCTTACCGCCCCAGAGTCCAACTCCCAGAGTGTGTTCCAACCCTCCTTGTGAGACCCATGAGACGGGCACAACTCACACCGCCACCACTGTCACCTCTTCCATGGGAACCAACCAAGGTGAGAGCAGGCAGAGGGAGGGTGTTGCAGACTGTTGTTGCCATCATGCATTTAGATGTGCTAGCCCAAGGGTCCTCAAAGTAAGGCCTGAGGGCCAGATGTGGCCCTCCAAGGTCATTTACCCAGCCCTCGCTCAGGGTCAACCTAAGTCTGTAACGACTCGAAAGCATACAACAACAACAATCCTATTTCATCAGCCAAAAAGCAGGCCCACACTTCCCACTGAAATGCTAATAAGTTTATATTTGTTAAAATTGTTCTTCATTTTAATTATTATATGGTTTTTAAGTGGTTTTTGCACTACAAATAAGGTATGTGCAGTGTGCATAGGAATTCGTTCATTTTTTTTTTCTTCAAATTATAATCCGGCCCTCCAACACTTTGAGGGATTGTGACCTGGCCCTCTGTTTAAAAAGTTTGAGGACCCCTGTGCTAGCCAGTAATGTTTAAGCTGGGAAAAATTAGCATTTTCTTATGGGTTGATCAAGGAAGATTAAAGGCGGAGGAAAAATGGAAGTGCAAAACTCTGAATATTTTCTGCAGATTGGGATGAGTGTTGATCATGTTTTAAGGTGAACATCTTATATACATTGGTGGTGGGGATCTCACACAGCTGGTTATTATTTTGCATAAGCATATCTGGAAACAGATGCCCGCAAAAGCTTCTCCAGTGGGTATGGGTTTTGTCATTGATGTGCTGTGGTGGAAATGCAAAATTATAGTTGGCGTACCAACTGCTGTGTCACAGTATGCAGATTTATTTGTGTAGATCTATATGCTGCTAGTTGCTTCCTGTCCTGATACTGACAACATAGTTATTTAGTAAATCCCTTCATTCTTGATTTTGTACATAGAGGAAAATTACTCTGATTTCTAGAGTAGCTGGTTTGAATCTTCCTAGAGAGTACTGACAAAGAAGCTTACCTTGAGAAAGCTAATCCTCGCATATTGCGGCTGATCTTCCCTCGTGAAGTGTAACTGCAGGACAGTGTTAGGGTCAAGTTCTGAGCTCTCGTTCAGTGCACACTTGAAGATCTTCTCGAAGTCTGAGGCAGAAATGCCCCCACTTGACCTCATGTCAGGCTTTGTGTGGTACTTTGGGGACCAGTGATGGGGGCCACAAGCTATTGACCACCTATTTAGTCCACTTTTCCTGGAAAGAAAGAAGCAGTAGTCATTGGGTACAAATGGGGTGCCATGGGTGGGGGCAAAAACAATTTTGTCCCTCCTCAACATTTTTTTTTTTTAATTTTATTTTACAACATTAAAAAGACATACAAAGCGGTCATAAAGAACAAACAGTTGAATACATGTATAACAAAGTACAAATACAAATACACAAATACAAATATTGATCTTTGAGCTTGAAAGTAATGGTAACTGAACTGGTGCCATTCTAAGCCAGTGTTTCTCAGACTCTCCTCCTCCAAGTGTTTTACACTTCAGCCCCTAGAAATCTTAGCCGGCTTACCAGCTGGTAGAAATTGTGGGAGCTGAAGTCCAAAACATCTTGAGTAGCACAGTTTGAGAAACTGTTCTAAGCTATTGGCTGCCTGTCCCTTGTGAGATTTCATCAGAGAAATAAATGGCAGTAACTTATTATTTGGGAGCCCCCGGTGGTGCAGTCGGTTAAAGCACTGAGCTGCTGAGCTTGTTGACCGAAAGGTCACAGGTTCAATTCTGGGGAGCGGCGTGAGCTTCCACTGTCAGCCCTAGCTTCTGCCAACCTAGCAGTTCGAAAACATGCAAATGTGAGTAGATCAATAGGTACCACTCCGGCGGGAAGGTAATGGCGTTCCGTGCAGTCATGCCAGCCACATGACCTTGGAAGTGTCTATAGACAACGCCAGCTCTTCGGCTTAGAAATGGAGATGAGCACCATACCCCAGAGTCAGACATGACTGGACTTAATGTCAGGGGACAACCTTTACCTTACCTAACTTATGTTATTTATGTATTTATATATTTACTATATTTGTATGCTGCCCTTCTCAGTCCTCAGGCGACTCAAGGCAGTTTACAGAGGCAACAATTTGATGCTCAAGAACATCATAAAACATTAATGCAGGGGTCCTCAAACTAAGGCCTAGGGGCCGGATACGGCCCTCTAAGGTCATTTAGGTTGACCCTCAATCAGGGTCAACCTAAGTCTGAAATGACTTTAACGCACACAACAACAACAGCAACAACATCCCAACTCATCAGCCAAAAGCAGACCCACACTTCCCATTGAAATACTAATAAGTTTATATTTGTTAAAATTGTTCTTCATTTTAATTATTGTATTGTCTTTGGTGTTTTTTGCACTACGAATAAGATATGTGCAGTGTGCATAGGAATTCATTCATGTTTTTTTCAAATTATAATCCGGCCTTCCAACAGTTTGAGGGACTCTGACCTGGCCCTCTATTTAAAAAGTGTGGACTCCTGCATTAATACATAGTATAAAATCCAACAAAAGTAATAAAAACATAAGCCATTTGTGTCTTCTAATTAAAAACATTATCCATCTCGTCCAATCAGTTCCTATGTCTTTTACATTGCATTTTCAAACACTTGCTCGAACAGCCAGGTCTTGACTCTTTTCCGGAATGTTAAGAGGGAGGGGGCCGATCTAATGTTCCTAGAAAGGGTATTCCATAACCAAGGGGCCACCATTGAGAAGGTCCTGTCTCTCGTGCCCGCCAGATGTGCTGGTGAAGCAGGTGGAACTGAGAGCAGATGATCTTAAGTTCCTGGAAGGTTCATAGGGAGAGATGCGTTTGAATAGATAAGCTGGGCCGGAACCGTTTAGGACTTTATACGCTAAAGCTAGCATTTTGAATTGTGCCCGGTAGCAGATTGGCAGGGCACAAAAATGGTGCTGGCACATTATGTAGTAGGACTCCTCATATCAGATCGCTTGAGGGAGCACTCTTCAAGTACATTGGCAGTAGGGTTGGGGTCAGTTGTTTATAAAAGTTTCCTTAGGACAGTGGTTCTCAACCTGGGGTCTCCAGATGTTTTTAGCCTACAACTCCCAGAAATCCTAACAGCTGGTAAACTGGCTGGGATTTCTGGGAGTTGTAGGCCCAAAACATCTGGGGACCCCAGGTTGCGAACCACTGCCTTAGGATAATTAGAAATATGCTAATTTAGGCTTGCAGTAAAGTACAGCTTGTCCTGCCTTTACCTGTGATGTTGCCCTTGTATGGAGCATGGGTATCAGCAGACAAAAATTGCATCCGGCTAGCCAAAGCTGTGGTTCATTGCGTAATACATTTCCTCTTTGCAGACCAGCCGCCTGCCACCAATGGCCAGCAGGGGGAGCCGGAGACATCGGCGAGCGAGAGCACGGCCGCCAGCAGTCCCAGCACTGCCCCCGCCGCCGCCACCGTTCCCTCCACGCAGACCAGGGCTGTCACCACCGTGACCCAGTCCATGCCTCCACCAGGGCCCTCAGTGCCGGTGAGACTGACAGAATGGGATAAACCTGCCTTTGTATCCTCCTTTTTTCCATTGGATCAGGCTGGAGTTTGAGGCATAAATGCCCCCACCTGACCACATGCCAGGCATTGAAGGGGGCCTTTAACTTGACAAGTGAACTAGGCAGACTCAAGTTACCTCTAATTCATGTGGAGTCTCAAACGGGGAAAGTAAATTTTGGCTTAACAGCTTTTTGGGGGAGGTTTGCATTTTTCTTCCTGCATTCTGTTATGCATTCTTCCTGCTGTACTTGTGTTCATTTGCTCAAATATGGCAGTATTAGAGAGTCAGGCATTGGGAGAGGGGTGCCGGCAATGGCTACTGGAAGCAGAGCAGCCAAGGCACACATCAGACCTCACAGGCTGAAGTAGTACATAGAAATGTCAAAGTTTGAACAAGAATTGTTGCTCTTTCCCACAGCTTTAATCGTTTCATATGTATAAAAAGAAGGGCTGAAATGCTATGGAGTGAGAGTTTGGGGGGGGGGGGAAGGGGTCTACATTGTTAATTGCAGCAATAATATGTTTCATGCTTATGTCTATGCTTGATGTTTTTATAGTTTTAATGGTTATTTTCTACAGTTATATGTTATTGATTTGGATATGTGATATTTTTGTATATATGTGAGGCATTGAATTTGCCATTTATTATGTTGTAAACTGCTTTGAGTCCCCCCAGGGGTGAGAAAAGCAGTATAGAAATGCAGTTGTTAATAATAATAATAATAATAATAATAATAATAATAATAATAATAATATACAAGCTCTAAAAGGAGCCCTCAGTGACGCAGTGAGTTAAACCGCTGAGCTGCTGAACTTGCTGACTGAAAGGTTGGCGGTTCAAATCTGGGGGGTGGGTGAGCTCCCTCTGTTAGCTTCTGCCAACCTAGTAGTTCGAAAACATGCAAATGTGAGTAGATCAATAGGTACCGCTTTGCAGGAACATAATGGGGCTCCATGCAGTCATGCTGGCCACATGACCTTGGAGGTGTCTATGGACAACGCCGGCTTAGAAATGGAGATGAGCATCAACCCCCAGAGTCAGACACAACTGGACTTAATGTCAGGGAAAGCCTTTACCTTTACTATACAAGGGTATCAACATTATTTGTTTTGAGAGTGTTTGAACAACTGCGGTCTCACAAAGATCCCAAAGGGATTTTTCAGCCACAAACTTCTGTCAAGATCCTTAAAAGCAGCATTACTCATAAATTATTAAGGAATATTGAAGAGGCAGCAGAATATTGCCCTTCAAAGCAAAATGTGTTCCAAGTCCAAATTTTGGGGCATAGTCATTAAGCTGATTTCCAAAGGGAATTTGATTGTCTGTGATGACGGGTGTTGGAAGCTAAGCAGAGTTAGCTCTGGTTATCATTTGGATGAGAGACCACCAACAAATATTGGAGGCTGTAGGTTATCTGTCAGAGAAGGGAACTGAAAAAAACCACTTCACCTAAGAAAATCCTAGGAAAATCTTGGAGTCATTGTAATGATTTGAAGGCACAGTGACTTGAGAAGTTGACTACATGGACTTAGTCTCTTCTAGCAGGTTTTGTTTGTTGACTTCCGGATTTTCCTAATAGTTTTCACTATATCACATCTGGTAGACAGCTCCTTTTCACTCCTTCATGGTTCAGCCTTTCTCACTGCACTGTCTTATAATAGTAATTAAAAAAAATATTTCTAGACCACTCTCTCCCCGAACGGACTCAGGGCGGTTTACACATACAAAAAGGCAAGCATTCAATGTCTCAGGTTAAGTACAAACATATTAAAATAATACACAATAAAGCAACAGTAATAGCAGTGAGCTTATGAAAAAGAAGCATTGTGATGAAAAATCAAACATAACAATCCAATAAGACATAGTTAAGTAAAACATAAATACAGGGTGAGGCAGCATAACTTCCTTTTTTCAAAACTTAATAAAACCATTGTATGAATCAGATTTTTTTTATAATGTAGGCACATACCTAAAAGTTTTGTTTTACGTAGTTTCGAAGATCAAATTAGGTAGGTGATGTCCCCCATTCTCCATACACTGAGCAAACCGATTTCTGGCATTTGTCATGACTCTTGCCAGCATAGCAGGCGTTATGTTGGCAATTTCTTCCTGGATGTTGGTCTTCCAATCTTGTAGGGTCCTTGGACGGTTCACATAAACACAGGATATCAAAAAACCCCATAGAAAAAAATCACAAGGGGCCAAATCTGGAGAGCGGGCCGTCCACTCCAAATCCGCTCGAAAAGTAGGCCTCAACGGCCAAAGCACGCTCCTCACTGTTCCAACGCATGATGGCAACTGAACTGTGTCGGGACAAAACTTTATACTCCCGCCTCTCGAACGAGACCACTAGTGCTCCGCTACGTCTTCAACTGACTGAATGGTGCGCATTTTAAAAAAGGAAGTTATGCTGCCTCACCCTGTATAATAATGTCACCTCATTTCTGTTGCAGAACATCTCTTCGTTGTCCGATGCTCCTACAGAGGAGGCGGTTCCCCCTGCTGAAACCCCAGCAGCTACCAGCACAGATGACCTCCCAAAGCCTCCTGAACCATTGCACCCTTCTGTGGGTGTACAGGAGCCAGCGGCAGTGGCCCCCGAGCCTCAGGAGCAAGTCCAAGCCCCCTCTGTCAGCCCTCCACTGGCAGAAGTTCCTCCTGTTGAAGCTGCTCCCCAGCCAGATCTCCCAGTTCCTATGGAGGAGACACCACCAGTGCCGCCTGTTCAGGAGCCTGTGGCAATGGTGGTACTACCCCAAGCCACCACCGCTCCTCCTCCTCCCCCTCCCCCCTCAGAGGTGGAGCAATTGGCCCTGCCCCAAGAGCTGATGGCTGAGAGTCAAGCAGGTGCCACCACCCTCATGGTGACAGGGCTGACACCGGAGGAGTTGGCCGTCACTGCGGCTGCAGAGGCTGCTGCCCAAGCCGCGGCCACCGAAGAGGCACAAGCCCTGGCAATACAGGCAGTTCTGCAAGCTGCTCAGCAAGCTGTCATGGGTAAGTGCTCTCTTTCAGCCTCAGTCTGCTCCGGGGACTCTTGGGTAGAAGTTCTTCATTGGCCATCTTCCATGCCCATTTCTTTGTCCTGCCAGAACGGTGCCAGGTTTCTCATCCTCTTTTAATCTGATTCCTGGCTTTGTGTAACTCTTTGTCTCTTTTCTGTGACCCTTTCTGCCTCCAGTTCAACTGCCGGCTTCTTTTACAGGTTCTGGAGAAGCCATGGATACATCTGAGACGGCAACAGCACAGGCAGAGCTACGTCACTTAGCCTCAGGGGCTTCAGAGAACCAGACCACCGCCATCCCGATTGTCCTCACACAGCAAGAACTGGCTGCCCTTGTCCAACAGCAGCACCAACTCCAGGAGGCTCAGGCAGCGGCTGCGGCAGCAGCCGCGGCTGCTGCAGCTCAGCAACATCAACCTCAGCACCCACTGCCTTCCCATCTGCCCACAGAAGCCCTGGCCCCTGCAGATAGCCTCAATGACCCAGCCAGCGAAAGCAATGGCCTGAATGAGCTGGCAAGCGCTGTCACCAGCACAGTTGGGCTCTTGCCCCCGACGCCTACAGAAAGTAAGTGGCACCACAAAAATATGCTTCTAATTTCACTGATCACACTGCAGTCTGGGCTGGGTTGTTTTCGAAGTGTTTTGCTTCATAAACAAATGCACATAGTGGTGGTTTCATTCTATCCTTGAAGGGGTTTTTAATATCCTCTGAATAAGTATGCTGCCTTTCTGTGTGTTACCTCTCGAACCTGTATCTCTTCCTTCAATGCAGGAGAATCTCATTTGAGCATCAGAACCAGTTCAACTCAAATTTAACTATATATAGTATTTATCGTGTCAGGAGCAAGCGAAACAGTTGTATTGTGTTTTTAACAGACAAACAAACGAAACACCAAGTTTGCAACTTGGTATCCGATTAAATGTCCTTTGACCAGTGTCTGGCCACTTGGAGTGCCTCTGGTGTTACTATAAGAAGGTCCTCCATTGTGCATGTAGCAGGGCTCGGGTTGCATTGCAGCAGGTGGTCTGTGGTTTGCTCTTCTCCACACTCGCATGTCGTGGATTCCACTTTGTAGCCCCATTTCTTGAGGTTGGCTCTGCATCTCGTGTTAGAGTGCAGTCTGTTTAGCGCCTTCCAAGTCTCCCAGTTTTCTGTGTGCCCAGGGGGGGAGTCTCTCATTTGGTATCAGCCATTGGTTGAGATTCTGGGTTTGGGCCTGCCACTATATATAGTGTGACCCCTGTATATACAAGGATATGTTCCTGGACTTGGTATTGTTATGTAGAATTGCAGATATTCATGAACTTCATTGAAATGAACCTCTAGCCCAGAGCTTTCCAAACATTTCATGTTGGTGACACACTTTTTATACGTGCATCATTTCCTGACACCGTAATTTAGTTTTACTAGCACACGGAGGTTAATCCAACCCCTTATAACAGATACAGACACATCCATAAATTGTAATAATGAATTGTGTAGGGATGCAACATATCTCAGGAAAACCTGTTATATCTCTCTTTCTCCCTCTCTCTCTCTGTGTGTGTGTGTGTGTGTGTGTATATATATATATATATATTATTTCTCATAGAGGTTTCTCGTGTTCATGTGGACCTGCACACTGCAGGCCATACAAACTTGTTGTGACACATAATTTGGAAAGCTCTGCTATATGCAGTTTGGAAGGGAGAATGTCAAGAATACTCTTTCTTTTCCACTGCCAAGCCCAGCTGAGTTGTGTGCATTTTTACATGGGAGGGAGTCTCAGATTTGTTATTGTTGTGTGCCTTCGATGGTTTCTGACTTAAGGGACTAAAATGACCCTACCATATGGTTTTCTTGCTTAGATTTGTTCAGTGGCAGTTTGTCTTTGACGTCTTCTGAGGCTGAGAGAGAATTAATTGCCCAAAGTCACCCAGTGCGTTGTGGCCAGATGAAAATTCAGATTCTGATTTCCTGGGGTCCTATTCCAACACTCAAACCACTACACCACATGTACATTAGGTTACCTTTGTACATTAGGTTACGGACTTAATTCTGCATATGAAAATTTCTTGGCATCTACATTTGTTGTAGTTCATAAAAACCTCTTAAGTCTGGCTGGATAATATGTCTTTTTCTTGGAAGTGACTTACCTGACTTGTTTCAGGTGCAATTTATATGTTTCATCGAATCATAGTGTTGGAAGAGACCTCATGGGCCATCCAGCCCAACCCCCTGCCAAGAAGCAGGAATATTGTATTCAAAGCACCCCTGACAGATGGCCATCCAGCCTCTGTTTAAAAGCTTCCAAAGAAGGAGCCTCCACCACACGGGGCAGAGAGTTCCACTGCTGAACGGCTCTCACCGTCAGGAAGTTCTTCCTCATGTTCAGACGGAACCTCCTTTCTTGTAGTTTGAAGCCATTGTTCTGTGTCCTAGTCTCCAGGGAAGCAGAAAACAAGCTTGCTTCCTTTTCCCTAGGACTTCCTCTCACATATTTATACATGGCTATCATATCTCCTCTCAGCCTTCTCTTCTTCAGGCTAAACATGCCCAGCTCCTTAAGCCGCTCCTCATAGGGCTTGTTCTCCAGACCCTTGATCATTTTAGTCACCCTCCTCTGGACACATTCCAGCTTGTCAATATCTCCCTTCAATTGTGGTGCCCAGAATTTGACACAGTATTCCAGGTGTAGCCTAACCAAAGCAGAATAGAGGGGTAGCATGACTTCCCTGGATCTAGACACTATGCTCCTATTGATGCAGGCCAAAATCCCGTTCGCTTTTTTTGCCGCCACATCACATTGTTGGCTCATGTTTAACTTGTTTTCCACGAGGACCCCAAGATCTTTTTCCTTAGATTGATTGTTTTAATAGTCAACATTCAATGACCTTTTAAAGTTTTCAAAGTGTTCTTGTCAGCAACAACACCAACTCCAGAAGGCTCAGGCAACAGCGGCAGTGTCACAATAGAATTTTAAAACAAGGCAGATACATACATATAAATACAGATTTTTTTTAAAAAAATGTTTCATGCTGATTTCACATAAACTCAGAGGTTTCTCAGTAGGTTTGTGTGACACACCTTCGCACTGCAGCTGACACACTAATGGGTCACAACACACAGTTTGGAAATCACTACTTTGGAGTCTCTGAGTTTTTTGATTAAGGCGGAACACGATTCTGGCTTTTTTTCAGTGCCTTTTATTTATTTATCATACTTGTATCCCGCCTTTCTAAACCCCGAAAGGGACTCAATGCGGCCTTACAAAGGCAACAGTTCAATTCTGCATGTATACATACGTCAGTGAATGAACAAAAAGATTAAAAGCATCCAGTTAAAACATAATACTAAACAATTAAAGTCATATTCCAGGGATGAAAAAAATCTCTTTGGGTGACAGATAAGATCTGAAGTTTTTTAAATTATTCCTTTATTTTTCCCCCCTCTTTTTAGGCCTTGCTCCATCAAATACTTTTGTAGCCCCACAACCTGTGGTGGTGGCCAGCCCAGCAAAACTACAGGCAGCTGCTGCTTTGGCAGAGGTTGCTAATGGCATTGAACCAGCTCCAGTGGTAAGTTAAAGGAGATTGGGGAAGAAGTGGGGAGACATGTTTGTACTTCCTGAAGCTCACCCACTCTTCTCTCATCCTACCCAGAAACCTGAACCTCCTGCACAGCCTCCAAAGGTGGTTGTGAAGAAAGAAAACCAATGGTTTGATGTGGGTATTGTCAAGGCAACCAACATGATGGTAACCCACTACTTCCTGCCTGCTGATGATGCACTTCTCGCAGATGTGAGTGCCCCTGCCATACCATTTGCCTTCTCTTTCTGGAGATGTAGGATTCCTGTCCCATTCCTCCTACAGCCACCAAGATTATTCCTTTTTTCTTGCAGGATGACTCTGGCACCGTACCTGATTATTCTCAACTCAAGAAGCAGGAGTTGCAGCCTGGAACGGCTTACAAATTCCGAGTAGCAGGAATCAATGCCTGCGGCCGAGGCCCCTTCAGCGAAATCTCCGCATTCAAGACCTGTCTGCCTGGCTTCCCTGGAGCCCCCTGTGCCATTAAAATCAGTAAGGTTGGTACTTTTTGTGGGGCAGGGTCCTGCAATCTCAGGTCCCTGTTACGTGTTGGTTTTCATCTTTAAAGCTCCACCTGGTTTGGGTCCAGGTTTCCTACAGGACCACCTTCTCCACCCCTTAGGACACTGAGGTCCTCTGGGGGGCATCTACTCCAATTAGTCTGAACCCAACTGCCAGCCATCACCCAGAGGACTTTTTCATTGGCCACCCCAAAGCTGGAATGACTGACAGCTAAATGAGCTGTTGGAATTTAAGACTCAACTGAAGACTTATCTCTCCTAGCAGGCCTACCCAGTCAGTTTTAAATTGTGAATTTTAACTTGCGTTTTATCAATGAATTTTAACCTGCATTTTAACTATGTGTATCCTGTTTTATGTTATTTATTTATTTATTTATTTATTTATTTATTTGGGGTGCTTCTACCCCGCCCTTCTCAACCCCCTTGGGGGGACTCAGGGCGGCTTACAAAAGGCACAATTGGATGCCTAACAATTCACAAAATACAATACAATATACAATACACAAATTTACCATATAATGTCAACAGTTATAACTAATTAAAACAATCAAACAGTATACTAGCAGCAATAAAATCATCTTGTGGTCAATGTTCATCAATTCATAATCCGTAAAACCATCTAGCATCGTCATTGTCCTTTCCTACTCTGGTCGTCATTGGTTGTTTTTGTCCATCTGCCAGTATACCCGAAGACCTGGTCCCACATCCAGGTTTTTAGCTTCCTTATAAAAGAGAGGAGGGATGTTGATGTCCTAATCTCCCCTGGGAGTGCATTCCACAGGCGAGGGGCCACCACCGAGAAGGTCCTGTCCCTCATTCCCACCAGTCTCGCTTGTGATAAAGGTGGGGCCGAGAGCAGGGCCCCCTCAGCAGATCTTAAACTCCGAGGTGGGACGTAGAAGGAGATACATTCGGACAGGTACGCTGGGCCGGAGCCGTAAAGGGTTTTGTAGGTCAAAACCAGCACTTTGAATTGTGCTCGGAACTGGATCGGCAGTCAGTGGAGCTGACATAACAAGGGGGTGGTATGCTCCATAACGGGGATAGTATTTTAATAGGCTTGTGTTTTATCTCCTTATTTTAATCATGTTGTACCCCCCCCCCCCCCCCGAGCCCCTTTTATTATAACTTCACCTCTCCCCTGTTGGGCGAGTGAGCTTATTAACAAAAGACCCTCCTCATAAAACATATAACAGAGTAACTGATTAGCAGCAGCGTGACCCAGCAGCAGTAGCCAAGTGATAAGAACAAAAACACACAGACCAGTGTTATATCTTCCTTAGGAGGCATTTCTTTATAGCAAAATAATATGGTTGCACTATTTACAATTTCCCTTCGTGGTCGACTGAATTGCACATAAGGTATTTCCTGCGCCTAATATACTCTCCCCTTGAGAGTATATATAGCCAGTGGGAGGGTCTACTACCTCAGATCCGTTCATCCGCCGCCATTGCAGCATTTTTCTCTCATTTTTCTTCATCTTTGACTAGCGTTCTGGACTGCGTGAATTTTTACTTTTTTATTTTTATTATTTTATTATACAAGAACAAGGTTTCCATAACACAAAGTTCTTTATACTTCTTTGCTTCCACGCTGGGCTTCTTTCTCATGCAGATAAACAGCTTCGCTCTCACTGAGCTTCCTCTCACACAGAACTTACACAGGAGCTTCACACAGTAGCTTTTTACATACAGCAGCCTTCACACTAGAGCTTCACACACAAGGTCTTCAACCTGGGGTTTCTCTCACCGAAGCTTCTCATACCAGGCCTCTCACACTGAGGCCTACCTCACACTGAGGCACACTAACACTGGAGCCTTCTCATACTGAGACCTTCTCTCATCCTGAGGGCAACTAACACTGAGGCCTTCTCATACTGAGGCCTTTCTCCCACAGAGACCTCTTACAGACTGAAGGCTACTAATCTACAGGCACACCTGCTTATATTGAACTGCAGCTTTTTACTGAGTCATTGTATCCATTTAATCCTTTCAGTGCTTGACTCACATTTTTGTAATTAAAAATACCTCGTTAATTTTTAATATTTCTGACATTTCCTACCACCACATGAGTTAGGGGGAGCCTCTTGTGATATTTCATGGGGTGTTCTTGTTTATTTCAGAGTCCGGATGGAGCCCACCTGACTTGGGAGCCCCCTTCGGTCACCTCTGGGAAGATCACGGAGTACTCGGTGTACTTGGCCATCCAGAGCGCCCAAGCAGGAGAGCCCAAAAGTGCAGCCCCAGCCCAGCTGGCCTTCATGCGGGTTTACTGTGGGCCCAGTCCCTCATGCCTGGTGCAGTCAGCTAGTCTTTCCAATGCCCACATAGACTACACCACCAAGCCTGCCATCATTTTCCGCATTGCTGCCCGCAATGAGAAGGGTTATGGCCCAGCCACACAAGTTCGGTGGCTTCAAGGTGAGCGGTTGCTGTCACAGGAATGTTAAGGATGGGATAGGGCTGGAGGTGGCTGTGAATCATTTAATCTTTATCTGTGTCATTACAATTGACTATTTGGTTGAAGTGTCAAAGGGTCATGAAGGGGAGGGGAGAGAAAGACATTACTCGTGCGCAACAGAGGTTGATACGTCAGTGGGAGTACCAGAGCCAATATTGCTTATTTTGCTAATTTCTTTTACTAGGCTTTCTCAGCAATGTACTGTATCTTCCAGATGGTGATGCAAAGGATGCAAAGCTTGGCATGTAAATCTAGGAACATGATTCAGCCCTAGTTGGGACAGTTTCTTGATTATGTCAGAAATACTACTTCAGGTGGGGTAGATTGGCACCCGGTGTGCTTTTACCCATGTTTTGGTTACACACCTGGCATGCCAAACACCCCTGTTTTGGTTAACAGCTGAAAAGAGGATGATCACTGTTCAACACAAATGTTAGACCTGTTTCTTGGTATATATTTGACCAGCTGATTCCAAAAATGGCACCAGTTTTCCCCTATCAGCTCTTGAACATATACTATATTATTAGTCTTCATCTGCTTGCCCATACTCATGATGACCATATCTAAGAAAGTAGACCTTATGCAACCTATCCAATGCAATTTTCTGAATGAAACACCCCACCCCAAATAAACCCAGGAGCAGGCCACAAAACAAGATTGGGGGGGGGGGGGGCTATGCTATCAGACATTGGGAAAGACCTTTTCCTAAGATCTTGTTCACACCCAGTGTTTATTTTAATTTTTTTATTATATCTGGCCCGGCCATAAGGTTTTAAATTCTCTGTGTTATTGTTTATATGTGAGTTATATTAATTGTACTGTTTTATTTGCTTGCTGTTTTGTTTTTACTGATGTGTTGTTGGGCTTGGCCTCATGTGAGCCGCCCCGAGTCCCTTTGGGGAGATGGTGGCGGGGTATAAATGAAGATGATGATGATGATGATGATTATTATTATTATTATTGAAAAGCCACTCCAAAGGAAACAGGCTAAGAATATACCTTCATGGTTTTTAAATTTTTATTTATTTATGACATTTATATGCCGCCCTTCTCACCCCGGATTCAGAGCGGCTTACAAGGTATATATTACACACATTATATTATAATACTACAATATCAGCATTAAACGTTGCTATACTGCACCATACCACTATATCGTAATATTATTAGTAATATTACATGTAATATAAATATAATAATACCATATTATTATTATATTGCATTACATTATAATATTATAAATATTATATGTATATAATGTAAGTCAGGTATACTTACTTACTTAGGCGATCCCTCGTTGGCCGAGTAGGATAGTTTTCCAGGATTAGTATTCTGGTGGGTCCGTAGGTGACTGTGGAGCCCTGTTCTTGATCTGGTATATAAGTCAGGTATATAATGTATATAATGAGAGTATCCTATGGATACTGTTGTTGTTGTTGTTGTTGTTGTTGTTGTTGTTGTTGTTGTAATGAGAATATCCTATAGATACCATATCCACCAGTTTATGCTCTAGCCTCTGAGAGCTGAGCAATGTTTATGGATAGCTTCAAGCCAACTTGCCAAATTATTTTAATAGGCCTTTAGGGACCTAGTTACCAAAGATTGCATAATCATTAATCAGAAATTGAGTAAACCAATGGTTCCCAATCTTTGGTCCTCCAACAATTCTTAACAGCTGATAAACTGGCTTGAATATCTGGAAATTGAAGTACAAAACATCTGGAGGATCAAAGGTTGAGAACCACTGGAGTAAACATTTCTGCTTGTGGGTACCTTGGTTAAAACAAAACAGTCATTGAAAGTTGGAGCAGAAATGCCATAGTTAAGGGTAGAAACGACTGTTGAGAAAGGGTGGTTCATAGGCTTAACTCGGTCTCGCAAAACTTTCTTATAGTGCCAAGGCTTATTAAATATGCTTTTCGGAGGGCGAGCAGATGGCCACTACTGGATGGCATATGTTCTGTATCAGAAACTAGAGCTGATGTGGTCTATGCAATGCAGTTTTCTGAATCAGCACCTCAAATAACCAAATCGAGTCTAAAGTTGACCAAAGACTGATTAGTAACCCCCTTGGTACTAATGTTGGAGAGTGGTCCCTGCTCAAAAAAAAGGTTGGGAATCACTGGCTTAGCTTGGCAAAAGAAGCATGGTCTCCTGTGAAGATAATAGTGAACTGCTTTGGTTTTCTAGCTAGTGTCTGGAAAACAAAGTGGACCCCTGAAAATACACGTAATGGCAGAGATCTCAAGGGTCATCACTGCTTTCAGTCTTGTCTACTGACATCTGATACCCCCAACAAGGGCGTCTTATGTTTGATGGAGGCTCCGCATCTCTAGAGGATTAAATTTTATCTTCTTTTTGCAGAATCCAATAAGGATGGCTCCATGGTAAAACCAGCCAACAAGCGGCCGCTTTCCTCCCCTGACCTGTGAGTATCTCCCAGTGGGTTGCTAGAGCAAGCGGAGGCACACTGTGTGTCTGGCTAGCATCAGGAAGAGTTAGAAGGGTGTCAGTGGGAGGAGGAGGAGGCACCTGGAAACCATGGGCAGATGAAATTGTCACCTCTTCTGTTTGGCTCATATCCCTTTTCTGTTACTATAAAATGAGCATGGCTTGATGCAAAGGAAGAGCTACCCCCTCCCAATGGGAATGTTTCTCCCAAAATTGTTTTATTACTCTTGCAGCTCTTCTGCACTGATGGTGAGAGAATGAGATGTGGGGTGTTGTGTGGTTTCCTGACTGTATGGCCATATTTCCCATAGCAGTCAATTGTGAATCGCACATATGGTATTTCCTGCGCCTGCGCAGACAGTTTGGAATATCTATGGAAAGAACTCTTGTCTGCTGGAGGCAAGTGTGAATGTTGCAACTGGCCACCTTGATTAGCATTTGATGACCTTGCAGTTTCTAGACCTGGCTGATTACTGCCTGGGGGAATCCTTTGTTAGGAGGTGTTAGCTGGCCTTGATTGTTTACTGTCTGGAATTCCCTGTTCCCCATCGTAGTCAACTGTGAATCTCACATATGGTATTTCCTGCGCCTGCGCAGACAATTTGGAATCTGCTAGAAAACTTATTAGACACTTTTAGGTGGTAACCCCTGCCCACTCTCGTCTTGAGAAGATATATATAACCAATGGGTGAGGCTACTGCTTCAGTTCCTTTCATCCGCCACCATTGCAGCAGCTAGGAATCTTTATCCTAGATTTTGTTCATTTTCATGGTTTCCTCCTTTCTGTTGAAATTGTCCACATGCTTGTGGATTTCAATGGCTTCTCTGTGTAGTCTGACATTGTGATTGTTGGAATGATCCAGCATTTCTGTGTTCTCRAATAATATTTCCTAATAATATTAGGAAATCGAATGACAAGACAATGAAATTGGACAATGTTTTCATAATAAGGAGATGCTTATGATGTTGTTTTTATTGCTTCTGTTGTGGTTTAAATTGTTTTAATGTTGTTAACTTGTATTGTGATATTATGGGTACTGATTTGTTGTAAACTRCCTTGAGTTGCYGACAGGCTGAGAAAGGTGGTATACAAATACAGCAAATAAATAAATCAATAAAATGCTGGTTCCAGGTTGGTTCATCAGGTGCTCTGCTATGGCTGACTTCTATGGTTGAATTAGTCTGCAGTGCCTTTCATGTTCCTTGATTCGTGTTTGGGTAATGCTGTGTTTGGTGGTCCCAGCTAGCACCTTCCAACAAAGGATTGCCTAAATARTGTGCTGGTTCCAGGTTGGTTCATCAGGAGCTCTGCTATGGCTGACTTCTCTGGTTGAAGTAGTCTGCAGTGCCTTTCATGTTCCTTGATTCGTGTTTGGGTATTGCTGTATTTGGTGGTCCAAGCTAACACCTCCCAACAAAGGATTGCCTAAATAATGTGCTGGTTCCAGGTTGGTTCATTGGGTGCTCTGCTATGGCTGACTTCTCTGGTTGAATTAGTCTGCAGGGCCTTTCATGTTCCTTGATTCGTGTTTGGGCACTGCTGTGTTTGGTGGTCCCAGCTAACACCTCCCAACACCTTCCAGGCAGGAAGCAGCCAGACATTGAAGCTGCAAGGACATTAAATGTGAATCAAGGTGGCCAATTGCAACCTTCATCCTTACTTCCATCAGACAAGAAGGGCAGGAGGAATCTTTCGCCCACCCTGGACTTTCCACAGATATATAAACCTCACTTGCCTAGTTTCTAACATACCTCACAACCTCATAGGTGTAGGTGAAACATATTCCAGCCATGACAACAAGTGGGACCTAATTGTTTCTCCTTTCCTCTTCCAGGAAAACTGCTCCAAAGAAGCCCAAAGCAGATGGGCAGTGAAGGGCGTCCCCAGCTGTCCTCTCTTCCTGCCTGCTCCACAGCCTCCGCCTGAACCCCCAGCCGGTCAGCCGCCCCCTGTGTGTGGAGGAAGATGGAAGCACCGAAAGCACATTTCATACACCGTGGGGCTGGACTGTTGGGGGAGGAGAGATACAGAGGCTCGTGCGAGGGCGCCCCAAGCCGGGCCAACCCCTGTGCCATGCCCCAGCCTAGGAAGGGGGACAAAGGAATGGCATTCCTCCCCCGCCCCCTGCCCACCGCCCCATTGACATGGACACTGATATTGGGGTGGATTTGAAAGGGGGGGACTTCTTAATGGGGGGAGGGGGCCGTTGGGTTTTTTTACAAGTTGCAGTTACAGGAATGAAATTCTTTTGTATTTCCCAGCATCCTGTGTGTTGGAGGTGGGAGAATTCACTCTCCCCTTCCTTCCAGTTTTTGCCTCTGTACAGACCCGCTCCCTCAGTTTAGTTTTTAGTGTCTGCGTTGGTAACGGAGAGGAGTCTCTACTGTCTGGGGATGGAGGGGGGAATGTGCTGTGGTCGGACCACGGAAGTCGCTAATTTGAAAAGGGGGGGGGGGGAGGTTGCAGCTTATTCTGCGGCAGGCAGCTGTGTTTGTGGCTTCAACCTATCCCCTAAACATGCAGCAGATCCTCCCCCTCCCCCTTAAGCAGCCCAAGTCGATCCTCCCCTCCGCTATTCCTACTTCACCTGGCCACAAGGTGGCACACTCTAGGCAGTTATCTTGCCATTACTCTCCATTGTTTTGTATAAAACCTTTTTTTAGGAAAAAAAAATCTAAAAATGGTTGGGGGCAGTGCATCCCGCTGTATTACAGCAGGGCGACATTGGGTGGGAGCTGTTGACATGCAATGCTCTCCCTATCTGAGGCAGTGGTCTTGGGTTATTTTTCCCTCCTGGAGGAATACTTCCATCCCGCTCTGGCTGCCTCTCTGGACATTCCACCAAGAAGAGCAGGGAAAAGCAGCCAGAACGCTTATTCTTTCCAAGTGAGGGCAGGGTAGATGCCCTCATAGGTGCACACTGATCGATGGGCCTTGCTCTCCATTCTCAAGGAGACTGGCAGACAAAAGAGCCCCTCTCCCCAGGAAAAAAAGAGCAACCCCCAGGAGCAGATCCGTAGCCCCATCTCGCTCTGTTCTCTGGTCTTTTGTATTATAGTGTATTTCGCTGTGTTGCCCTTTCCTGTTCAGACCGTAAAGATTCCTCCTGCCCTTCCTATATCTTACCCAATTTATTTTCCATTGAGACAGGAACAGCCCTCATAGGAGTTCCCCATAGCTGTCCACCCTGCCTCCCCCATCCAGTGCTGCGTATCTGTCGTTTTTGTGCTATTTTGAACAATTAAAGACCTTTTTTTTTTTGGAAACAAGACTTGGCACTTTCTGAAATTAGATCCTTCACCAGCCTCTCCATTTTGATTGTGTCTGGCCAACTTTTGAGAGAATAGGGTTGCTTTGAATATAGGAATGAAACAGATTTATTTCCACATTTATCAGGGAGAGCCCCTAAAACACGGCAAGTTTCCTCCAGGCTAGGAAGCAACTGATGCCAGGGAGATCCAGCTACATGATGTAACCTGACAAATGTCCCTGGGGCTGTTGTGTGGGTGTTCCCCATACCCACTCCTTGGTCATCGCAATGCACAAAGCAGCCCCTTTTCATAAGTAGGACTGAGGAAGATTCTTCCCAGCAGCACTGGGGTTCATCAGCAGCCACATTTATCTCTGTGTGCCCCTTCTGCTGGCCTAGTCTCCAAGCGGACAGAGTCTGGTTCTGGCAGTTCAGATATCCTGCGCTGGAATGAGAGAGAATCAGAGGAAGTGGAAGGATGAGAAACGCCCATGATGGATTTTTAAAAAAAATGGAAACCTAGTGAGAACTCTCCATTATTATTAAGAAAAGCACCAGTGGGAGTTCCTTACATGCTACAAAAGTATACGGACTGTCCAGCACCTAAATACTTACCCTATATACTCATGTATATAAGTTTAAATTTTTTAGTCGATTATCAACTCAAATGTGGGTCCTGTGAAAGGTAAGGGTAAAGGTTTCCCTTTACTTACCCTATATACCAGTGGTTCTCAACCTGTGGGTCCCCAGATGTTTTGTCCTACAACTCCCAGAAATCCCAGTTGTTAGGATTTCTGGGAGTTGAAGGCCAAGACATCTGGGGACCCACAGGTTTAGAATCACTGCTATATTCTCTGTCGTAGTCGGTGAATCGCACATATGGTTATTTCTGCGCCTGCGCAGACCAGCTTCGGAACCTTCTGGAAAATAAAGATAGACATTTTTACCCCTGCCTCGCCCCGCCCACTCCCTCGAGTATAGTCCATGGGCGGGGCTAGGCCTCCAGTTCTCTTCATCCGCTGCTTAGCTAGCAACTAAGCCTTCACTCTTGCGAGCTCTTTCGGACTTAAAAATTTTAGTCAATTATCAACTAAAATGTGGGTCCTGTGAAAGGTAACGGTAAAGGTTTCCAAATCCAGAATTGGACATGACATTAAATCTAGTCATGTCCAACTCTGAGGGGTGGTGCTCATCACCATTTCCAAGCTGAAGAGCCGGCATTGTCCGTAGACACCTCCAAGGTCATGTGGCCAGCATGACTGCATGGAGCACTGTTACCTTCCCGCTAAAGCAGTACCTATTTAGTCACAAATAGTTAAAGACAATCAATTAATACAATAACAACTAAAAGAAAATCCAATCTAGTGGCTAACATTCACCGAGTTCTGAAAATCCGTAAGTCCATTCAGCATTATCATAATCCTTTCCAAACTCTGGTCGTCATTACCTTGTCAGTCTGCCAGATTACCCAAAGGCCTGGTCCCATATCCATGTTTTCTACTTCCTTCTGAAGGAAAGGAGGGATGTTGATGACCTAATTTCCCCGGGGAGTGAATTCCACATGCGGGGGGCCACCACTGAGAAGGCCCTGTCCCTCGTCCCCACCAGTCTCACTTGTGATAAATGTGGGGCCGAGAGTAGGGCCTCCCCAGAAGATCTTAAACTCTGAGGTGGGACATAGAAGGAGATACGTTCGGCTGGGCCGGAGCTGTATAGGGTTTTATATTGATCTACTCACACTTGAACTAGGTTGGCAGAAGCTGGGGCTAACAGCGGGAGCTCACCCCGCTCCCCAGATTCGAATGCCAACCTTTTGGTTAGCAAGTTAAACACTGCATATAAATAAATAAACACAATAAATAAATAAGTTCCACAGCTCAGCAGTTTAACCTGCTGCACCACCATGGAGCCCAATGGGTCCTGGACTCTTACCAAAAAAAAGGAATAATCCCTTTCTCTCTTTTGATTGACAAAAGGAAGAACTGAGTCTGTCCTGGGATAACTTTAAAGTGACTGACCCCCATCTCTTTCTGGCTTGGCCTTTTTGAATGCTTGGACAGAGAAATGGTGGCAGCCAGGAGTGGCAGGGCTCCAAAGCAGCATTTGTGCTTTCAGGGGTCCTCAAACTTTTTATACAGAGGGCCAGATCATAAACTGTTGGAAGGCTGGATTATAATTTGAAAAAAAAATATGAATGAACTCCTATGCACACTGCATATATCTAATTTGTAGTGCCAAAAACACTTAAAAACAATACAATAATTAAAATTACGAACATTTTTTAACAAATAATAACAATAGAATTAAAATGAACAATTTTAGCAAATATAAACTTATTAGTATTTTAGTGGGAAGCATGGGCCTGCTTTTGACTGATGAGATAGGATTGTGGTGTGTTTTCAGGTCGTTTCAGACCTGGCACAGGCCAGGTAAATGACCTTGGAGGGCTGTATCCGGCCCCCGGGCCTTAGTTTGAGGACCCCTACTCTATGTAATGACCCTCAACTTATCCTTAGGCCATATAAAATCCATAATTGTGGCTCTGAAAACATCCCTCTTACTTGTACATGAGTATATGTAGTAGGTTTTGAGGCTGGAAAATTAAGTCTGGAAATCTTACATTTTTTAGGCCTGCCCGTACCGCCCACTGAAACACTTCTTGTACGTTGGTGGCAGCCTTGGCACTGGTTTCGAAGTACGTGGCATGGTGAAGTCTGCTCCACAATTCAGCTTCCTCTAACGAGACCTGGATAAAGACAGGGCTTGATCTTATTGGGTTATCTCCCAATTCTTTTGACTGTGTCCCTGAGAACTAAATACTTGCTCTTTTAGAGTATCTCATGAAAGCAAGCTCTTAAGGTGTTTTGATTGTTGCCTGCATACCAACCTCTCCTGTTTTGCCTCTGTACTGTTAACCCCCTTCCATAATTGGGTTGGGGGCTATATAGGACCACCACCTCCAGCCTCCCCCCTTGCTGTGAGTATAACGGCACCTCTCGATTCTCAAGGTCGGTCTTGTTCCCGATGACAGCGATGGGGAATGCAGACTGTTCCTCAATCTGAAACAAAAGCTGCTTGTGCCACTTGTCCAGGGCCTGGAAAGAGCTGGGAGACGTGACGTCAAAGACGAGGAGGCAGCAGTCTGACCCCCGGTACAGGGCAGTCCCCAGAGCTTGGAACCGCTCTGTGCCGGCCGTGTCCCAGATCTAGCATCAGGAAGAGAGGCAAGAGGTTGGCTCCTCCAAGACTTCAGAATAGTGGCATCTTTTATCACTTCTTCCTAGTTGCCTTTTTTCTCATGCTGTAATTGAAAGGATGGGGTTTATTCCCCGGTTTTTTGGGAGCTGCCATATACAAGTCTCGATTGATTCAATTTTACCATCGTGGTCCCTGTGAATCGCACATATGGTAATTTCTGCGCCTGTGGCATACTGCACAGAAGTAGAAGCCGTAACAGAAGCAGTTCCCACCCTTTTTGTTGGGTTGACTGCTCCAGAAGCACGTCGTGGCTATTTTGGCGGTCCTTCGCCTTGGCCTTTTTGCGGCCATTTTGGTGATTTTTTGCCTTGCCCTTTTTAGACTTTTCCTTTTGTGGTGCTGCCGCTTAATTCTCAGAAGGCGCAAAAGGCAAGTTATTGTCCCCACAGGGAAAAGGAGATGCCGGCTAGTGCTTCAGGGGGCCTGATGGCAAAAGGGCTCCTTGATAGAGCGTGGCTTCAAGCCTAGACTTGCGATTCTGCCTCGTTTGAGGAGTAAACACCTAACACACAGAACAAGACTGCGAAAGATGCCCCTCTCCAAGGCATAAAAAATGGCCACCGTTATTGGGATAGTTATTTGGGCAGTTAGCACAACATTTGAGTGACGTAGAGGCCGACATTATAAAAACAACTTCACAATAAAAGATACGAAAGTCAGGTACGAAAGAAGGCAGTCCAATAAAAGCTAGTCCGGAACGAAGGTTCAAGAGCAGCTGCTAAAGCGGCGGATGAAGAGAACTGGAGGCAGTAGCCCCTCCCATTGGCTATATATACTCATAAGGGGAGAGTGGGCGGGGCTAACTGCCAGAATGTTTGATAAGATTTCTAGGAGGTTTCGAAGCTGTCTGCGCAGGCGCAGAAATTACCATATGTGCGAATTCACAGGTGACCACTTGGGAAACTACAGTTACAGGTAAGCAACCTATATTTCTCTCTGCCTAACGAGGGCTCTTTGGCCAAAATCAGAAGTGAAAATTGTATAGTTTTCCAAAAGTTAAAAGTTGAAATTGCACATCTTCCAAATGCTGGACTGCAAGTCCTATTACCCCTGGCCAGCCTAACTCAGGATGTATCCTGGGATTTTCAGTTTAGCATCAAGATTTCTACCCCAGACTAAATCCAATTGCTTATCACAGTTAGATTACACCTAATGAATTGATTGCTAAATGACAAGTACTTACAGTACATGCAGCCTATTAATTAAATTAGTCTGCAGTGGTATTTAGTGGTTGGATACAGGCCAGCAGAAGGAATTGTGTGGCCTCCAGAGGTTGCTAGAGATGCTGGGAGTGGCAGAAAGTAGCGGGCCAAGTCCCACCTGTGATTTAGGTTTTTGACTGCCATGATCCTTGGTATTTGTCCTGCTGCTAAAGCGGCGGATGAAGAGAACTGGAGGCAGTAGTCCCTCCCACTAGCTATATATACTCATAAGGGGGGAGTGGGCGGGGCTAATTACATGTCAGTGCAGGTCACATTAAATATCTATCCCAGGGAATTGGAAACAGAGCTAACTCAGATTTTTTGCAGAGGAAATATGCAGACCTTCTTTATTATTCAAGCTATGTTTTCACAGTTGTCCATCATAACCTGCACTCTGTAGCAAAAGTGGGAATTGAACCACCCTCCAGATTTTCTGCTAACCAGCAATGCCAACAGTGAGATTTGATAGGAATTGTACTTCAAAATATTGAGGGAACAGCGTGATCCAAATCACTCCCATAGCTGACAAAAAGTTTTTGAAGTTTAATAAACACTTTCCATGTTTTATGATAGAACTAATTAGGAAATGACATTTATAATCCAGGAACAAAAATGGTGTTACTAAGGGCCTTTCTAAACTGCCATATAAAATCCAGATTAACTGTTTTGAACTGGATTATATGGTTTTTTGGTTTTTTTTTGTCGTGTCAGGAGTGACTTGAGAAACTGCAAGTCGCTTCTGGTGTGAGAGAATTGGCCGTCTGCAAGGACGTTGCCCAGGGGATGCCCGGATGTTTTGATGTTTTTATCATCCTTGTGGGAGGCTTCTCTCATGTCCCTGTATGAAGAGCTGGAGCTGATAGAGGGAGCTCATCCACCTCTCCCCAGATTCGAACCTGTGACCTGTTGGTCTTCAGTCCTGCTGGCACAGGGGTTTAATTCACTGTGCCACCGGGACTCTGGATTATATGGTAATGTAGCCCAATATAATCCACTTCAAAGCAGATAATCTGGATTATATGGCAGTATAGAAGGGGTCATAGTGTTATAGACTGAGTATCCCACATTCCAAATTCTTGGGACCAGAAGTGTTCTATATTTCAGATTTCCCCCCCTCTATATTTTAAAATATTTGCCTATATATAACAAAATATCTTGGATGTGGGATCCAGTTCTAAACTTGAAATTAATGTATGCTCCATGTACACGTAGCATGAAGTTAGTTTTTTTAATAATACTGCACATGGAAAGTTTATAAACATCGAGTTGCCAGAAAGTAGATGTGTCGTGGACAATTTTGGAATTCTGACTAAGGAATGCTAACTCTGTACTCGTTTTTAGGAGCGAGAGAAGAGCACATTTTTGCGGACCTAGGCTTGCGATCAAGCTTGACAAAAGTTGGAGATTTGTTTTGTTTTTTTATCATGTCAGAAGTGACTTGAGAAACTGCAAGTTGCTTCTGGTGTGAGAGAATTGGCTGTCTGCAGAAACTTTGCTCAGGGGGCGCCCAGATGTGTTACCATCCTGTGGGAGGCTTCTCTCATGTCTCCTCATGGGAAGCTGGGGCTGACAGACAGGAGCTCACCCTGTCTTGCAAATTCAAACTGCCAACCTTCATGTCAGCAGTTTAGCTGGAGGTTAGAGCAGTGCTTCTTAGGCTCTCATGTGGGGAGATTGCCAAGGGTTTTCCTAATTGTGCCAGGGACTAGTGCCCATTGTATTCTTTCCTGGAAGCTGACTGTGGGCCAGGAGCTGTCCACTGATCCTGAAGAGCGCTGGCCAAGATCCCAACCAGCAGTTAGTGACCCTACCTGTACCGTCAGTGTACGCCCATCAATGTGAACTTGTTTGCTGAGGAAGTCAGACCCAATAGTGGCTCGATAGCGGCTGCTGAAGCGGTTGTTTACATACTGGTTCATCAGGGCAGATTTGCCAGCCCTGTGAGGAAGGGAAGCAAGCTGGCATCAGGTTTGGAGAGCTGGCTCCTGGTATCCTTTCTCCATTAAAGGGCAGAGGGGAGTGTTGGAACTGGAAAGGGAGGAATGCATTCCCTGCCACTTCCCAGATTGATTGTTCCCTTTTCCTGGTTTATGTACACATTACAATTACTCATAGAACCACAGAGAATAATGTCATTTAGTGCCCATACCAGTGGATGGAGAATAACAACCAAGGAGGGTAATTACACTCACTGTATCCTTTGGGATACACTGTGGTCGGCTCCTGTAGGAAAACGGTGCTGGATTATGCTCATGGGGAAAGCTGCAAGAAATTCCTGATGAAACTCAAGAGCCGGGATCAATTTTTTCCAGCCAGTAATACCTGGACATACAGCCCAGAAAATTCACAGCAACTCAGTAATACAAGAGTTCACCAAGTTGTGACAAAGGCCAATCTTAAGTCGAAATGCTCTGCCATACAAAATGCCTCCCGAAATGAATCAGCGCAGCAACACCTATTATGCAATATCTATTATTGAGATATTGACAAGCTGGAATGTGTCCAGAGGAGGGCGACTAAAATGATCAAGGGTCTGGAGAACAAGCCCTATGAGGAGCGGCTTAAAGAGCTGGGCATGTTTAGCCTGAAGAAGAGAGGGCTGAGAGGAGGCATGATAGCCATGTATAAATATGTGAGAGGAAGTCATAGGGAGGAGGGAGCAAGCATGTTTTCTGCTTCTCTGGAGACTAGGACACGGAACAATGGCTTCAAACTACAGGAAAAGAGATTCTACCTGAACATTAGGAAGAATTTCCTGACTGCGAGAGCTGTTCAGCAGTGGAACTCTCTGCCCCGGAGTGTGGTGGCGGCCCCTTCTTTGGAAGCTTTTAAATAGAGGCTGGATGGCCATCTGTCGGGGGTGCTTTGAATGCGATTTTCCTGCTTCTTGGCAGAATGGGGTTGGACTCGATGGCCCATGAGGTCTCTTCCAACTAGGCCTGGGCACTCCATGGTTCTAAATGGTTCTAAAGTACTTTCAAATCTAAAGGTCTGGTGGTGAAAATTTCAGAACTCTAGCAAAATCTAATTATTATTTCATTATTGGCGATTTTTATGACAGAACCAATTAGGAACTGCCATTTAGAATGGAATTTTGAGAGTTTTGTTAGAGTTTTTAAATTTTCACCACCAGAACTTACAAAACTAAAGTTCTGGTGGTGAAAATTTCAAGACTCTAACAGTACTTTAGAATAATTTAGAACCATGCATTGGCCAGGCCTACTTCCAACTCTAGGATTCTAGGATTGTATTCTTCCAGCCTGCTGGAAAACCTGCTACAAAACAGGAGCTTTTTTGTTGAGTTCCAGGGCCAGAGAAGCAGATGGCGGAAACAGAAGAACGGCCTGCCTCAGGGGAGCGTGCTTGCTCCATCCATGTTCAACATCTACACAAATGACCAGCCACTGCCAGAAGGGACAGAAAGCTTCATCTATGCTGATGATCGTGCCATTACTGCTCAAGCAGGGAGCTTTGAGATGGTTGAACAGAAGCTCTCCGAAGCTCTAGGTGCTCTTACTGCCTATTACAGGGAAAACCAGCTGATCCCTAACCCATCTAAAACACAGACATGTGTTTTTCACCTTAAGAACAGACAAGCATCCCGAGCTCTGAGGATTACCTGGGAAGGAATCCCACTGGAGCATTGCAGCGCACCCAAATACCTGGGAGTCACTCTGGACCGTGTTCTTACCTACAAGAAGCACTGCCTGAACATCAAGCAAAAAGTGGGTGCTAGAAACAATATCATACGAAAGCTGACTGGCACAACCTGGGGATCACAACCAGACACAGTGAAGACATCTGCCCTTGCGCTATGCTACTCTGCTATGAGTATGCATGCCCAGTGTGGAACACATCTCACCACACTAAAACAGTGGATGTGGCTCTTAATGAGACATGCCGCATTATCACAGGGTGTCTGCGCCCTACACCACTGGAGAAATTACACTGCTTAGCCGGTATTGCACCACCTGACATCCGCCGGGAAGTTGCAGCCAACAGTGAAAGGACCAAGGCAGAGACATCTCCAGCTCATCCCCTGTTTGGGTATCAGCCAGCACGTCAACGACTTAAATCAAGAAATAGTTTTCTTAGATCTACAGAGACACTCGCTGGAACACCTCAGCAAGCGAGAGTCCAAAAGTGGCAGGCTCAAACCCAGCACCTCAATCCGTGGGTGATACCAGATGAGAGACTCCCCCCTGGGCACACAGAAGACTGGGCGACTTGGAAGGCGCTGAACAGACTGCGCTCTGGCACCACAAGATGCAGAGCCAACCTCAAGAAATGGGGCTACAAAGTGGAATCCATGACATGCGAGTGTGGAGAAGAGCAAACTGACCACCTGCTGCAATGCAACCTGAGCCCTGCCACATGCACAATGGAGGACCTTCTTGCGGCAACACCAGAGGCACTCCAAGTGGCCAGATACTGGTCAAAGGACATTTAATCACTACCAAGTTTGCAAAATTTGTGTGTTTTTTAAATGTTTGTTTGTTTTGTTCTGTTAGAAATGTAATACAATTGACTGGTTGCGGATGACACGATAAATAAATAAGCCTGCTGGTCTTGGCAGGGGGCGGGGCCTTTGGGGTGGGCGGGGCCAAAAGAAAAGTGGGCGGGGCCAAGATACTTTCTGTCCCCTCCAACTTCCCCTCTCTCTCTCCCCCCCCCCTCCCTTGGTCAAGCCGGCCTTGCTTTTCCTCACGCCTTATCTTCGACTCCCTCCTGGACCCCAGTCCATGACACGTATTCCCCCCCATTCTGAGGCTAGGGCTTCCTAACACGTGTCCTTCCCTTTCCCTTCCCTTCCCCAACTTACCCTGAATTCCCAATCAGGAGGATTTTGATGTGTGAGCGTCTGAACATGGGGCACCTCCTCCAGAACCTGAGAAGGAAGAGAGACAATGCCACCTGTTGTCTTGCCTTCGGGAATCCAGGCGTGAGGACTCCAATTCCCAGAATTCCCTCTCCTTGGCCCAGGCGGCAGAGGCTTCTGGGAGTTGGAGTCCCAAACCCATGAGGGGTCGCGTTTGGGCGCTGTGGAGCGGGGCTCACCCTGGTCCTGCTGGAAACCCCTCTTGAGCTGCTTCCTCTTCTGCCTGACACGGAAGGTGAACGTGTGAAGGGAGAAGACACGCCTCTCTGGAGCCGCCCTGGATGGGGCGGTTTAAAGAAAGTTAGGTGAAGGGCCAAAGCAAGGCGGAGGCAGGAGGAGGAGGAGGAGGGCCTGGCGTTGCCTTCCCCTCAGAAGAGCCAAGGAAGGAGGTAAAGGCTACATCCACACCAGTGGTTCTCAACCTGGGGTTCCCAGATGTTTTGGCCTTCAACTCCCAAAAATCCTAACAGCTGGTAAATTGGCTAGGATTTCTGGGAGCTGTAGGCCAAAACACCTGGGGACCCACAGGTTGAGAACCACTGATCTACACTGTGGAGTTAACGCAGTTCCATATCACTTGGATCTCCCATGGCTCAGGGGATCCTCTTGAGTTGTGGTCTCAAAGGTCTCCAGCCTTCCTCAGAATTCCAATTGGGGATTAAGGCGGTATCAAACTGCAACAATTCTTCAGTGCAGATGCAACAACAAAACTTTATTTATATACCGCTCTATCTCCCCAAGGGGACTCAGAGCGGTTTCCAAGTAGCATAAACAGTACATACAAGAAAAACGGCATAAACATAAAATTTACAATACAAGCATTAAAACCACAATAGCACATATATTTAAAATAATCATGTCTGATCAAGGCAGTTTGAAAGGCCAAAGAGAGACCCCAGGCACGACTTGGGATAGGTGGAATCAAGTTCATTTTTAAACCTAGACATGTATTAATGTATTGTCGAAGGCTTTCATGGCCGGAATCACTGGGTTGTTGTAGGTTTTTCCGGGTATATGGCCATGTTCTAGAGGCATTCTCTCCTGACGTTTCGCCTGCATCTATGGCAAGCATCCTCAGAGGTAGTGAGGATGCTTGCCATAGATGAAGGCGAAACGTCAGGAGAAAAATTGCCTCCAGAACATGTCCATATAGCCCGGAAAAACCTACAACAACCTAGACATGTATTATTTCCCCCTAGCAATATCAGTATTATATCTTCTATCTATCTATACCAGCAAAAGATTTTCCCAGGCTCAGTCAGGCCTTCAAATGCTAATGAAGGTGGTCAGTTGAAACATTCACACCTAGCTCCAGCAGGAAAGAGCTCCTTGCCCCACCCCAGCCATTCCACAGATATATAAACCCATTGTCCTAATTCCAACAGACCTCACTACCTCTGAGGATGCTTCCCATAGATGCAGGCGAAACGTCAGGAGAAATGCCTCTAGAACATGGCTCTATAGCCCGAAAAAACCCACAAGAACCTAGTGATTCCAGCCATGAAAGCCTTCGACAATACATTAAAAATGTAATGTTAGTTTGTGAGATTAACATAACTCAGAAAGCACTTGACGAACAGACACGAAATTTTGACACAATATACCTAACAGTCCAACAAGTGTCCATCACCCCTAAAAACACACACACACACACACAAAACACCCAGCAGAACAGACTTAAAAACCCCCAAAATACACCGCATATATCTATATAAATAAAAATGTAATGTTCGTTTGTGGGTTAACATGACTCAAAAACCACTGGGCGAATTAACACCAAATTTGGACACAAGTCACCTATCAGGCCAACAAGTGGCCATCACTCATAAAAACACTGAAAAACACAGCAGAAGGGACTTTAAAAGCCAAAAAAACCCCAAAAACATTACAACGCATGTGCAAAACCACATATATATACACAAACACACATATACACACACAAAAAAACACATATACACAGACTGGGCCACAGCAAAGCGCGGCAGGGGACGGCTACTTTAAAAGCAAAAAAAAAAAAAACAACCCCAAAAAAGCATTACAATGCATGCACAAAACCACATATATACACAGACTCACATATATACACATATACACAAACACTGAACTTGGAGGACAATATTACTCAGAGGAGGGATCGCCTAAGTAAGTACACAAACATACACACACACAAATATAGACATATATACACACACAAAACACATATACATAGACTGGGCCACAGCAACGCATGGCAGGAGATGGCTAATCTATATAAATAAAAATGTAATGTTCGTTTGTGGGATTAACATAATTCAAAAACCACTGGATGAATTGACACCAAATTTGCACACAAGACACCTCTCAGGCCAAGGAGTGACCATCACTCATAAAAACACTGAAAAACACAACAGAAGGGACTTAAAAAGCCAAAAAATAAAAAAATACATTACAACGCATGCACAAAACCACATATATACACATATACACAAATATATACACACAAAACACATATACACACAATGTACACACACACACATATATACTCATGTACATAAATACACACACATATATATGCATATATAAACACAATACACATATACACAGAAAGGGAGAAGGGGGGAGAAAAAGGAGACGAGAAAAGAAAGAAAGGTAGAGAAGGAAGGAAGGAGAGAAGGAAATAAAGTGCAAGAAGGAAGGAATGAGAGAGGGAAGGATGGAACCAAAGAGCAAAGGAAGGGAGGAAAGAAACAGGTAGAGAAGGAAGAAAGAAGAAGGAAAAGAAAAGAAGGGAAGGAAGGAGAGAAAGAGGGAGGGAAGATTGGCCACAGCAATGCGTGGCGGGTACAGCTAGTCTTCTATATAAGTAAAAATGTAATGTTCGTTTGAGGGATTAACATAACTCAAAAACCACTGAGCGAATTGACACCAAATTTGGACACAAGACACCTCTCAGGCCAACGAGTGACCATCACTCATAAAAACACTGAAACACACAGCAGAAGAGACTTTAAAAAGCCAAAAAATAAAAAAATTACATTACAACGCATGCACAAAACCACATATACACACACACACATTTATACACATATACACAAATATATAAACACACATATATACTTATATACACACACAACACATATACACACAATGTACACAAACACACATATATACTCATGTACACAAATATACACACACATATATGCATATATAAACACAGGAAGGCTTTGATTGCGTTTTCTTGCCCTGGTGAAGGGAGTTGGACTGGGTGGACTTAAGTATGGGGGTTCTGTGTAGGAAGTTTGCCCCAATTCTGTCATTAGTGGGGTTCAGCATGCTCTTTGATTGTAGATGAACTATAAATCCCAGTAACTACAACTCCTAAATGTCATGGTCTATTTTCCCCCAAACTCAATCTGTGTTCATATTTGGTCATATGGAATATTCGTGCCAAGTTTGGTCCAGATCCATCATTGTTTTGAGTCCAAAGTGTTCTCTGGATGTAGGTGAACTACAACTCCCAAACTCATGGTCAATGCCCACCAAACCCTTCTACCGTTTTCTGTTGGTCTTGGAAGTCCTGTGTGCCAAGTTTTGTTCAATTCCATTGTTAGTGGAGTTCAGAATGCCCTTTGATTGTAGGTGAACTATAAGTCCCAGCAACTACAACTCCCAAATGACAAAATCTTTTTTTTTTTTTAGTGATGGTCACTCCTTGGGTTGTTAGGTGTATGCTGCCCAAATTTGGTGTCAATTCCCCCAGTGGTTTTCGAATTCTGTTAATCCTACAAACGAACATTACATTTTTATTTATATAGATGACTTTAATGCACACATAAGCAAGTGCTGGAGAAGTTTGAGCATTGGATTACGACTCTGGAGATTAGGTTTTGAATCCCTATTCAGTCATGGAAACCCAGCCTTGGCCCAGTTGCACTCATTTCCAGAGGAAAACAATGGCAAGCCTCCCCCAAACCAGTCCTGCCAAGAAAACCCTGTGATAGGTTTATCTGGGGGTCAGCTTAAATCGGAAATATCTTGAAGACAAACAAGAAATGTCTGATTCAGCAAGTTTAGGATTACGCCACAGGAAATGTGAGCTTGCGGGGAAGTGATTTGAAGCTCGCTCCTGCAACATGTATCTAATATTTCTCAGCTCCTTTCCAACCCCCTTTTTGCAATAGAAATAATGGTTGCCTTGCATAACACAATGGGCTTTTCCACACAGCCATATAACCCCAAATATCAAGGCAGATAATTCACAATAATCTGCTTTGAAATTGGGAGCTCTTCCACACAGCTCTAGAGGCTATATCCCAGAATATCATGACAGAAAATCCCACATTATCTGCTTTGAACTGGGTTATCCGAGTCCACACTCAGATAATGTGGGATTTTCTGCCTTGATATTCTGGGCTATAGGTCTGTGTGGAAGGGCCATGGGTTATCTGAGTCCACACTGCCATATAATCCAGTTCAGTGTGGATTTTATGCAGCTGTGTGGAAGTGGTCTTGGTCACTGGAATCAAAGTAGTTGGCACGTTAGGAGGAAGTGATTGTTTACGGTTACAATTCACAATTGTGGGACAGGGCAAAGCATGATAGTTAAACATGGACCCCTGGATTTCAGAAAAGTTGATTTTAACAGATTCAGGCATATATAGAGTGGAATTTCACTGCTAGACATGCAGGGGCGGCTCAACCCATTACGCAAAGTAAGCATTTGCAGTATAGTTGATTTTGCCCAGGGGCGCTCTTGAGGCGCTCTCGGGGGGAAATAGACCTTGACATATGTGAGTTGTAGTTACTGGGATGTATAGTTCACCTACAATCAAAGAGCATTCTGAACTCCACCAATGATGGAATTGAGCCAAATATGGCACACAGAACTCCTACGACAAACAGAAAGCATATATCAGTGATGGGGGGGGGTGCCAAAATACTGTTTGCTTACCGTTGAAAATTACCTAGGGCCGCCTCTGTAGACATGGTAAAGGGGCAGGAGATCACAGAACAAGGGTGGGAATACTTGAAGAAGGAATAGTAAAAATAATTCAATGGAAGAAGAAAAATGGGAAATGTTTGAAAAGGGCAGTGTGGCTGCAAACTCGGATTGGAAAGGGGAAAAGAGTATGTATAACAAATGGAAGGAAAGGTGAATCACGAGAGAGAGAGAGAGAGAGAGAGAGAGAGAGAGAGAGAGAGAGAGAGAGAGAGAACAGCTGTGTAGCACAAGCTTGGAAAGCTGTATCTCAGAATGAGCTGAGACTGGGGGCATTTCTATACTGCCATATAAAATCCAGATTATCTGCTTTGAACTGGATTATATGGCAGTGTAGCATCAGGCTGGATCTACGCTGCCATATAATCCAGATTTCCAGATTATCCCCTTTGAACTGGATTCTATGAGTCTACACTATCATATAATCCAGTTCAAAGCAGATAATCTGGGTTTTATGTGGCAGTGTAGATGGGGCATCAATAAATCCAGTTCAAATCAGATAACGTAAGACCCTTCCACACAGCTATATAACCCAGAATACCAAGGCAGATAACCCACAATATCTGCTTTGAACTGGGTTATCTGAGTCCACACTCAGATAATGTGGGATTTTATGCCTTGATATTCTGGGATATCCGGTGCCCCAAGTGGCGTAGTGTTAAAGTGCTGAGCTGCTGAACTTGTTGACTGAAAGGTTGCAGGTTCGAATCCGGGAAGCAGCGTGAGCTTCTGCTGTCAGCCCCAGCTTCTGCCAACCTAGCAGTTCGAAAACATGCAAAATGTGAGTAGATCAATAGGTACCGTTCCGGCGGGAAGGTAACGGCACTCCATGCAGTCATGCCAGCGACATGACCTTGGAGGTGTCTATGGACAACGCCAGCTCTTCGGCTTAGAAACGGAGATGTGCACCACACCCCAGAATTGGACACAACTGGACTTAATGTCAGGGGGAAACCTTTACCTTACCTTTACCTATTCTGGGATATAGAGCTGCGTGGAAGGGCCCCCAGAATAATCCAGAATATTTGCTTTGAACTGGGTTATCTGAGTCCACACTGCTATATATTCCAGTTCAAAGTAGAAAATGTGGGATTTTGTTCAACTGTGTGGAAGGGGCCCTCGATTATCTGATTTTCTAATCTGGATTATATGGCAGTGTAGATGTGGCCTTGATTGGCAAGCAAAAAGAAACAAGATATTTTTCTGATGCATTCAAACCAAGAGTACAACCAAGGAAACAATGGGGCTGCTGTTCAGCAAAGGTGGCAAAATGCTAATAAATCATAACAAAAAGCCAGAACTAGTTGTTACTAATTTTGCTTCATTTTTTTCTGGACTAAAATATATTTACATTTTTGTCCAGCATCAGATGCATTGGAACCAGGATTTCCAATCAAGACTGATGGAGTTAGGAAGCACTTTGCTAACTTCAAATTTGAAGGGAAGCAAATAAATACTCTCTGAACCATTTGCCCTCATTTTTTGACAAAACTCTGCAACAGTGTCACTGTAGGGTCACCAGAAGTCAGAAATGCCTTGAAGGCACACAACTGACCATTGTTCCCGGAGTCCTGGAGCTAGTATCCTACATAGAGAGTAGGCAAAGAGTATGCATCCCATCTGAAACCATATGAAATCCTTCCTGCAGGATTCTGGGGCTTGGAGTTTAGGGGAGGGGTCTTTAAAGTGCTCTGCCAGAGAGATCCTGAGCCCCACTAAAGTACAAGCCCTGCAAACCACTGCTGCTGCTATGATTGCTTCTTCCTTACTGTCTCTTGTTCTGTTGGACATTCATTCACAGCAGCAGAAGGGTTAACAAGACTGCCAAAACTGCAGAAAACAAGTGGGAAGGAAGGGTCGGGTGCAGTCAGATGACTTAGCCAAATCATATGACCACCAGTTCCCAAATTAACTCTGGCACTTTTTTTGCAAAGTTGTTGATAGCAACTGCTACGCCTGCCTTAGTGTGGAGGAGCACTTGGGTCCCCTATCACCCAGTCCAGCCCCAGATAGACTTCCCAGGTATATTATTCTGTATCTGCAGATTTATTCTTTGGGGTTCAATCTCCACTCCTACTCCCCACCAAAAACAAATCTGTATTGTTGAAGGCTTTCACGGCCGGAATCAGTGGGGTGTTGTGTTGTGTTGTTTTCCATCCCAGCATTTTTTCCCAATGTTTTGCCTGCATCTGTGGCTGGCATCTTCAGAGGATGCCAGCCATGCATCCGACCATGTCCTTCAATGTGCTGACCCAGCTGATCCAATGCCTTCTCCACCCCTCCCCTCGCTCTCCTCTCCAGAGAGTGATCCCTTCTTTGTTTTTTGTTTCTCTGCAGCAGAAGCATCAGGAATGGATTTGCAGGGGCTCCGAAACTGGCACCGAAGGATCTCTGGCGAGCTGGATTTGGTGGTGGCATTCTGGCTGCAGCACTCCCATGACGAAGAATACGGGTGCTCTCTCTTAAATGTCTTTTATGGGTTGTTGTAGGTTTTTCGGGATATATAACCATGTTCTGGAGGCATTCTCTCCTGACATTTCGCCTGCATCTGTGGCAAGCAACCTCAGAGGTAGTGAGGACTGTTGGAACTAGGAAAAAGGGTTTATATATCTGCGGAATGACCAGGGTGGGACAAAGGACTCTTGTCTGCTGGAGCTAGGTGTGAATGTTTCAACTGACCACCTTGATTAGCGTTTGATGGCCTGGCAGTGCCTGTGGCAATCTTTTGTTGAGAGGTGATTAGATGTCCTTGATTATTTCCTCTCTGTTGTTTTGCTGTTCTAATTTTAGAGTTTTTTTTAATATTGGTAGCCAGATTTTGTTCATTTTCATGGTTTCCTCCTTTCTGTTGAAATTGTCCACGTTCTTGTGGATTTCAGTGGCTTCTTGGTGTAGTCTGCCATGGTGGTTGTGGAAGGGCCTGAGGCTGGATCTACTGCCCTACATCCCAAATTATCTGCTAATCCCAGATTATCTGGCAGTGGAGATTCATATAACCCAGTTCAAAGCTGATCACCTGGAATCAGATCCTGCGATATAGGGCAGTGTAAATCCATCCTATGACAGCCCTTTGCTTTCTCTAACAAGATGAGGCCAACATGCGACATGAATACAACTTCCTTTCAGACTTTAGTTTTACAAGTTCAGTCTTCTCTGCCAAAGAGAGGTAGTACCTCGCCAAACTACAGATCACGGCTTCCATCACAGTTAAAGTGATGTCCAAAATGCATTAATTCTGAGTACTTTCTTTTCTAAAATTTTGTTTTGATTCTCCTCTTCCTTTCCCCTGAAGAACTCTCACATTCTCCTTCCATCTGGTTGTAAACAGTGTCTGCTTTCTTTTTCTCCCTAGAGGCTTCTTTACATGTCTGGGCCAGGATGGGAAGGTTTATGATGACTTGAAATATGTCTGGTTGCAAGGGCGGCAGGTAGGAGTGCTCAGGATTTTTATCTTTCCTGTCATTATAATTTAGAACAGCGGTCCTCAAACTAAGGCCCAGGGGCCGAATACAGCCCTCTAAGGTCATTTACCCGGCCCTCACTCAGGGTCAACCTAAGTCTGAAATGTCTTGAAAGCACACAACAACAACAACAACAACAACAACAACAACAACATCCTATCTCATCAGCCAAAGCAGACCCACACTTCCCATTGAAATACTAATATGTTTGTTGAAATTGTTCTTCATTTTAATTATTGTATTGTTTTAAGTGTTGTTGTTTTTTTGCAAGACAAATAAGATATGTGCAGTGTGCATAGGAATTCATTCTTCTTCTTTTTTTCAAATTATAATCTGGCCCTCCAACAGTTTGAGGGACTGTGACCTGGCTCTCTGTTTAAAATGTTTGAGGACCCCTGATCTAGAACATTTATTATTATTATTATTATTATTATTATTATTCGTTTATTGTTTGAGAAACCTTGAGCTAGTGGATGAAAGGTCAGTAAACCAGCTTAGGCCCCATTTACACTTCCATGTAAAATCCAGATTATCTGTTTTGAACTGGATTATATGGCAGTGTAGACTCATATAATCCAATTCAAAGCAGATAATCTGGATTTCATATGGCAGAGTAGATTATTACTAAATTATTATTATTTTACTGCCACAAAAACACAGTAAGTCACAGCAAACGAGATCTATATGCTGGATTCCGTATCGCAAAATCACAAGTCAAACACTTCCCAAGCGTCTAGGACTGTGTGATGTATTTTCGAATGATGCGCGCAGATCCAAGTAAGGTGGCCTTTTGCAGTTGACAGATCGTGATTTTGTCAATGTTTATTGTTTCCAAATGCCGGCTGAGATTTTTTGGCACGACACCCAGTGTGCCAATTACCACTGGGACCACCTGCACTGGTTTATGCCAGAGCCTTTGCAGTTCGATTTTGAGGTATTATTACTATTATTATTATTATTATTATTATTATTATTATTAGAATCATTTCTATCCTGTTCTTCTTGCCTCCTAAGAGGAATTCAGGACAGCTACCAACAGGCACCATTCGGTGCCAAACAATAAAACAAGCATAACATACAATTAACCTACATTAAAAACAATTATAGATACATTAAAACAGTTCACTGTTTAGATGGGGCCTTAATTTGAGATGAGTTGTGCCAGGAATTAGCCTCAGAACTTTGTTCCGGTGAATGGAATGAGTGCAAAATAAAATCTCAAGGATCCCTCTGAGCACATACGGAGTGCCTTTTGTTATGCATTGCACAATTCAACTAGAGCAAAGAGCCTGGCTGCATGGCAAAGTAGGCCTTCTAAGCAACTTTCAGCCCCATCGCTTTTTTCTTTAGATGATCAACCCAGGGCAGGTTAATGAGTGCATCTGCATTGCCAAACATCGGATTTTAAGACAGGGCCGGGAGCCTAAAGTCCTTGGCTGAAGTTTAATAAAATGAGGGGGCATAGAGAAGGGACACACAAAAAGTGCAATGAGGTTCTACTTTTGTCCCTGTCTCCAGCCACTAATGGCCAAGGGTTCTGGGCTATTCATCCTGCAAAGCAGCAGCACATCTGGGTACCTTTCAGATGACTAAGGCCCCATCTACATTGCCATATAATCCAGATTATCAAATCAGAGAATCCACATTGCTTTGAACTGGATTATATGAGTCCTCACTGCCCTATATTCCAGTTCAAAGAAGATAACTATGTTGTTTTATATTGTTGATTTTGTTATTTCATATTTTGTCATGATGTATTTTGTTATTGTGTGTTTATTATGTTGTATTATTTTGGGCTTGGCCTCATGTTAGCCGCCCTGAGTCCCCTTTGGGGAGATGGTGGCAGGTTATAAATAAAATGTATTATTATTATTATTATTATTATTATTATTATTATTATTATTTTATATGGCAGTGTAGAAGGGGCCACAGTTATCACCACCATTCCACTTCAATGGCCACAGTTCCTTCCTGTAGTATCCTGGGAGGGCTAAACTACAAATCCAAACAAACAACCAATCCCAAGGTAACTAAGGCCACTTCTACACTGCCAAATAATCCAGATCATCAAAGCAGATTGTCTATATTATCTGCTTTGAACTGGATTATATGAGTCTACACTGCCAGATAATCCAGACCAAAACAGATAATCTGGATTTTATATGGCATTGTAGAAAGGGCTATAAGATGCTACCAGAGCAGTCAAGAGTGGATCATATTGCTATAGGTATATTGTGTGTAAAGATGACATTGGAGAAGTCAGTCTGACAACCCCAAATTCCTTTCCCAAATAGGTTTGGATGTACAGTCGCTTGTATCGGAAAGTACCACGTTTCCGGCGTCCTGAACTCCTGCAAGCAGCCAGAGCAGGTAAACTTCTCTTCATCTGATAGGCAGTGAATGGAGGTTGGTGTTATTTATGGGTGGAATGCATGGAATGGCATAAGAGGCAGTTATAGAGGGAAAGCAGCACGTTTTGGTGCTTTGAAAAAAAAGCCAAAATGCCCAGAAAATGAGCCAAGAAAATGAATTATGATAAATATTATGATTATCTGGCCTGACTGTCTGTCTGAATAATCTTGTTATCAACTCAGAATGGTAAGAAGTAGGAACATGTAGTCTGCCAAGATTTTTTTTTACATTTAGCATTCTTTTAAACTAACTATGCTACCATCCAACAGCATCTGAAAAGCCAAAGATTTCTGTTCCTTGCAGAGAGTGAGTCTTAAGTTGCCATCCACACTGTAAACCTATAGCAGTTTGGCACCATTTGACTGTTGTGGCTCTGTCCTGTGGAATCTTAAGACTTGTAGTTTGTTGTGGCTCTAACCTTTCTTGACTAATAATGATAAATATCCCATAAAACTACAAATCTAAGAATCCCAGAGCATTGAGATATGGACATTGATTTGGAGGGGGGGGGGGGGGATGAAACGGCTATAATTCTGCAGTGTGGATACAACCTAAGAAAGAAAATAATAAAACTACCTCTGAGGATGCTTGCCATAGATGCAGGCGAAAAGTCAGGAGAGAATGCCTCTAGAACATGGCCATATAGCCCGAAAAAACCTACAACAACCCAAGAAAATAATTGTTCAACCCCATCATGGCACAGTTAAAAATTTGAACTGGGCTTTCCTTGTTCTCAGGGACCGAACTTTGGGGGCCCTTCTACGCTGCCATATAAAATCCAGATCATCTGCTTTGAACTGGATCATATGGCAGTGTAGACTCATATAATCCAGTTCAAAGCAGATACTGTAGATTTTCTGCTTTGATAAATTGGATTATATGGCTTTGGTCACCTCGGAAGCCTCTTCTACACTGTCTTATAGAATCCAGATCATCTGGATAATATGGCAGTGTAGACTCATATAATCCAGTTCAAAGCAGATACTGTGGATTTTCTGCTTTGATAAACTGGATTATATGGCAGTGTAGACAAGGCCTTGGTCACCTTGGAGGCCCCTTCTACGCTGCCATATAGAATCCAAATCATCTGCTTTGAATTGGATTATATGGCAGCGTAGACTCATATAATCCAGTTCAAAGCAGATACTGTGGATTTTCTGCTTTGATAAATTGGATTATATGGCAGTATAGAAGGGGCTTTGGTCACCTTGGAAGCCTCTTCTACACTGCCATATAGAATCTAGAAAATCTGGATTATATGGCAGTGTAGACTCGTATAATCCAATTCAAAGCAGATATTGTAGATTATCTGTTTTGATAAACTGGATTATATGGCAGTGCAGAAGGGATCTTGGTCACCTTGGAGGCCCCTTCTACACTGCCATATAGAATCCAAATAATCTGCTTTGAATGGATTATATGGCAGTGTAGACTCATATAATCCAGTTCAAAGCAGATACTGTGGATTTTCTGCTTTGATAAATTGGAATATATGGCAGTGTAGAAGGGACCTTGGTCACCTTGGAGGCCCCTTCTACACTGCCATATAGAACCCAAATAATCTGCTTTGAACTGTATTCTATGACAGTGTAAAACATGATGTGGATTATCTGTTTTAATAATCTGGATTATATGCCAGTCTAGAAGTGGCCTGAAGCTCTTACTCAGGGTTTTGACAAAATAAATTTAGGGTTAAAATTGGGGGGCGGGGGGATGCATCTATAAAATAGAATTAGGGCCATTTGACATCTCTTTAATGGCCTTGACTTGGTACTCTGGAATCTTGGGAATTGTAGTTTGGCAAGGCACCAGAGCTCTTTGACAGAGAACGCTAAACATGTTGTCACTACAAGCCTCATGATTCCCATAGCATTTCAGGGTCCTTCCACGCAGCCCTATATCCCAGAATATCAAGGCAGAAAATCCCACATTATCTGAGTGTGGACTCAGATAACCCAGTTCAAAGCAGATATTGTGGGTTTTTCTGCCTTGATATTCTGGGATATAGGGCTGTGTGGAAGGGCACTGAGCCAGGATAGTTTAAGCTGTGTTGAATGGCATTAAGTCTATTGTGTAGATGCATTCTGGGTTGGAAGATCGTCTTGAAGACCAAAGGGGCCTCAGTACCCAACAAGAGGGGATACCTGCCTTGGATTCCCTGTCTTTTCCCTTGAGGTGGGGAGTTTTTGCTCCGGCATGCGCGTGTGGCCCTACCTTCCCAGAAGTGTGCCTTTGTCCTGACCCGGGATGGGCGTCCGGTGAAAATCCAGCGCACCATTTTCAGCGAGTGCTTCTACGTCCTTGGGCTGGATGAGCTTGGGCGAGCGACAGGAGAATCCCGATACCAGGTATGGCCAAGAGAGTGGCAGAACAGGTGTCCTGCTTCAAATGTGCCCCTGCTCCCAGTTCACTGGGTATGATGCTCCATTAAGGCTTTACCTTCTCTCTCCCTACAGACTTAGCCTGGCAACCTCCCCCAAAATCCTAGTGGACAGTTCGTTTTTTTAAAAAATGCATGAGATTTGACCCCATTTGGGGCACAGTGTTCATTACCTCATGGTACTGCCATTAGAGATGGTCTTCCTGTCTCTACGGCTACAGGTTCTGCTGCTAGAATAAAGAATCACCACAATCTAGAGCATCCCTGAACCAGAATTCTGAAGCACAGCCAGTCCCCAAGTTACAAACAAGATCAGTTCTATACATTTGTTCTAAGGGCTCTTCCACACAGCCCTATATCCCAGAATATTAAGGCAGAAAATCCCACAATATCTGCTTTGAACTGGAATATATGGCAATGTGGACTTGGATAACCCAGTTCAAAGCAGATATTGTGGGATTTTCGGCCTTGGTATTCTGGGTTGTAGGGCTGTGTGGAAGGGCCCTACATTACAACGCATGCACAAAACCACACACACACATATATATACACAAACATACATATATACACACATATATGCATATATACACACAAAACACATACACAGAAAAGGGGGAAAGAAGGAAGGAGAGGAGGAGAGAAGGAGAGAGAAAGAGGGAAAGAAGGAGGGGAGAAAGAAAGAAGGGTAGAGAAGGAAGAAAGGAGAGAAGGAGGGAAAGAAGGAGGGAAGGAGAGAAAGAAGGGTATAGAAGGAAGGAAGGAGAGAAGAGGGAAGAAGGAGGGAAGGAGAGAAAGAAGGAAAGAAAGAAGGGTAGAGAAGGAAGGAAGGAGAGAAAGAGGGAAAGAAGGAGGGAAGGAGAGAAAGAAGGAAAGAAAGAAGGGTAGAGAAGGAAGGAAGGAAGGAAGGAAGGAAGGAAGGAAGGAAGGAAGGAAGGAAGGAAGGAAGGAGAGAGAGAAGGAGGGAAAGAAGAAGGAGAGAAAGAAGGGTAGCGAAGAAAGGAAGGAGAGGAGGAGAGAGAGAAGGAGGGAGAGAGAGGGAAAGAAGGAGGGAGAGGAAAGAAAGAAAGGTAGAGAAGGAAGGAAAGGGAGAAGGAAATAAAAAAGTGAAAGGGAAGGAAGGAGAGAAGGAAGGAAAGAGAGAAAGAGGGAGGAGGAAGGAGAAGGAAGGATGGAACCAAAGAGCAAAGGAGGACTGGATAAGATTTTGACACTGGAGGGAGATAAAAAAAAAAAAGGAAATGGGGACTAAATTTTGGGTTTGTTCAAAGTCACCTCCGACATACGATGTGATTCTATCTACTGTCTTCTATATAAATAAAATTGTAATGTTATTTCGTGGGATTAACATCACTCAAAAACCACTGGACAAATTGAGACCAAATTTGGACACAAGACACCTATCAGGTCAACGAGTGATCATCACTCATAAAAACACTAGAAAACACAACAGAAGAGAGTTAAAAAGCCCCAAAAAAACACATTACAACGCATGCGCAAAACCACATATATACACAAACACATATATACACTTATACACAAATATATACACACACATATACACATATATACACACACAAAACACATATACAGACTGGGCCACAGCAACGCATGGCATGGAACAGCTAGGACAGACAGACAGACTGACAGATAGATAGATAGTTTTGTATAGGATAGGGGAGGGTTATTACCTCTGTCACATTTCTTTTGCTGTCTGTGCCCCTATTCATAGACTTTCACCTCACTTTCTGTCTTTGTGGTCATTGGACTTTGAAAATTTTGTCTTGTTGTGGAAGCAAGGATTGGTGATAAGACTTCAGTGGAGATGCCTTTCCCCCATAATAACTCTTCTAGGAGTGGATTTCCCTTCTGATGAGTAGATTTCCATCACTTTCTGTTCTCCCACCTCCATTCTTTACTATGAGTCATTTGTAGGTAGGATGTTTGTAACTCGGAGACTGCCTGTCCTCCAAAATCTTCCACAGGTGTGGCTGAAATACTGAGGCCTTTGTGCACAAACTTTGCTTAACGCACAAAATTTTTTAAATTACTTTCAGTCTGGATGTATAAGGCATACATGAGTTTCATGTTGAGACCTGAGTCCCATCCCCAGGATATCTCACTATGTATGCGTATGGTAAGATAGATTTTACGAAATCTGGAAAAATACAATATCCAAAACATTTTAAATAACAGATACTTACCCTGATAAGAAGAGGCCTGTCAGCAGGTTAATCCTGTTATTCCTCATGGTGGGGATTTGACCAAAATATTGTCAACAGGAGATGTTATCAAGCATCGTGCTTCATCTACCAGTTTCTGCTAGACTGAGAGACGCACTGGGTGGTTGGTTACCTAGGAAAATACTCTTTCTGTAGCTTGCCTCCTTTTTAGACTTTTTTTTAACCATCAGTGAGCCCTTAAATATTCTAATTTAAAGGAGAGGCAACTATGATAGCAAATCAATCACAAATATAACATGACACAAACAGCTATTTTATCAGTTTAGAGAATGGGAAAGGGTACAGCAATATATTCTACATAGCTTGAATGTGGAATGATTGATTGTCAGATCAATTTCTTCCTTTTTTTTTCTCTCAAACCAGAGATTGGAAAACTTGCATTTTTTAGCTTCCATGTTGGCTAAGGGATTCTGGGAGCTGTAGTCCAAAAATGTAGTTTTCTGAACCTTATTATTTAACTTTGTTTCCAGTTGGTGCAAAATATGACAGCCAGACCATTACCTGACCTATCCTTTAGTGATCATATAGCACTAATACTGGCTGCATACAGTGACTTCCTATTTTTTGGACTCAATTAATGGTGCATTTCTGGACTCACAAAGCCCTTTATGGCTTGGAACCAGGCTGTCTGAAAGACCGCTCCCTTTTTTAAGCCCACCCATAAACTGAGATTCTCAAAAGAGGCCCTGTTATGTTTTCCTCCATCACCAAAAGATTAGATCAGTTTCTACAAGAGACAGGACATTCTTTGTGGTTGCCCCTTAAGCCTGAAGTCAGCCTGAATTTTCTTGAATTTTTGGCACGTAGTCAGACTGTCAGAAATATTTTAAAAATAACTAGGTATTTTTAATTACAAAAATGTGAGTCAAGCACTGAAGCATTGCATCCACTAAATGGATGCAATGACTCAGCAAAAGCTGTAGTTCAATATAAGCAGGTGTGTCTGTTGCTTAGTAACGCCTCATTCTGAGAGAGTTCTCAGTGTGAGAGAAGCCTCTCTGTGTGAGAGAAAGCCTCAGTGGGAGAATAGGCCTCACTGTGGGAAAGAGGCCTCAGAATGYGAAGTAGGCCTGTTATGAGAAGGCCTCGTGTGTGAAGCTGTAGTATGAAAGTTGACCTTTATTTGTGTCATGGAAATCTTGTTCTTGTAAATAGCGAAACTGTATTATTTTGCTATAAAGACAAACCTTAAATGGAAAAGATAATATTGATTTGTGTGTTTTTGTTCTTTATATCACTTTGGGCTACTGGTGCTGGGTCACGCTGCTGCTGATAAGTTACTCTGCTGTACATTTATGGGGAGGGTTTTTTCTTAATAAGCCCACTCGCCCAACAAAGACTGCATTGCCTTTGAGCCTTAAATCTAGCTTTAGAGTTGGCTTTTGGGGCTGCTTTGAGCTGTTTCCAACTTTTTTATTTTTTTTCTTTAGATATGTTTTTATCTATAGGGAACCAAGGTGGGCTGATAGATGACAAACAAGAAGGGAGGGAAGGAAAGATGGTGGGTTGATAAGTAGGTAGATGGCCTGAAATCCTATCAGTGAACTAAGTCCCTTTCTCGTAAGCCTTGTGACTCGCCAGTAACTTCTTAAACTTTTTCCACTCGCGATCCCTTTCCTTCCGAGAAATTTTTACATGACCCCAGATATATAGGTGTATACAATAGTTATAAAAACCAAACATTTACTGGTAATAAATCAGCATTTGCAAGGTTTGCTAAACAGGCCGGTTTTCCTTTTTATGAAGTACGGCTGAAGCATTTTCTGCAGAGTCCACTGTAAACACAGCATGTTGCTGCTAACAGATTTGTGTAAATGGGTGACGTTAGAAACATTTTACTTTTGCCATATTTTTCACAACTTCAACATTGTGTTAAGGTTTTTAACTGAATATTTTTAATGGTTTTTAACTGAAATTTAAAAGCTGTTTATATTTAATCCTGATAATGTTTGCATACTAGTATATTTTAAATTGTATGCTAATGTATTGTCGAAGGCTTTCATGGCCGGAATCACTGGGTTGTTGTAGGTTTTTTTGGGCTATATAGCCATATTATAGAGGCATTCTCTCTTGACGTTTTGCCTGCATCTATGGCAAGCAACCCCAGAGGTCAGACCTCTGAGGATGCTTGCCATAGATGCAGGCGAAATGTCAGGAGAGAATGCCTCTAGAACATGGGCATATAGCCCAAAAAAACCTACAACAACCCACTGTATGCTAATGCTTTTAAGTTAAGCTGCTTTGAGTCCCCTTTGGGTGAGATAAAGCAGGGTTTTAATAATAATAATAATAATAATAATAATAATAATAATAATAGGGTCCATTTTCGGGTTGGGACCCATGATTTAAGAAGCAATAATGAGAAGGTCAGATTTCTGTCTATCTGTCTGTCTTGGTAATGGTGTTCCTATTGACAGAGGGAAGCACAGGCGATGATGGAAGCCATCGTGCGCTGGGTGAGGGAGGACCCCTCTGAGCTGGGGCGCCCACAGTTGGCAGGAGCTGCCCCCCACGACTCCATGGCAGTTCCCATGATGCTCCTCAATCTGGTGGACCAGCTGTCAGAAGGTGATGGGGAGGCTGCAAGCCAATTCAGCGAGCTGGGGAATTGGGCTGCTAAGCGAATCCTCATGCATGTGCAGGTAGAATCAGCCCATCTTAGGCATGTTTTGTGTGGTTTTTTATTTGTTCTGTACCCTGATGAGGTCCCTCTCTTCTTTCCCTGTAGAGGAATGGGACTGCTGTTTTGGAGAATGTCTCTGAAGATGGCAAGGAATTACCAGGGTGTTTGGGAAGACAACAGAATCCTGGTAGGAAGGGATGTCACAGGGTGCATCTGCACTATTAAAATAATGCAGTTTGTCACCACTCTCAATGCTATGGAATCCTGGATGTGTAGTCTTGTGAGGCACCAGCACTCTTTGGCGGAAAAGGCCAAAAACCATGTAAAACTGTAACACCCAGGATTCCACAGCAAGCATTGAGTCATGGCAGTTCAAATAGTGTCAAACCGCATTAAATCTACAGTGTAGATAACCCATAGTAACTTGTATGTGTTTTACCAGATGGTTTTGTATGTCCTATAATTTGTAAAGTAAAGGTAAAGGTTTTCGCCTTGACATTAAGTCTAATCGAGTCCAACCACAGACCTGTACCTAATATTGTTGTTGCCTGCCATAGCATTGCACTTAATTCCCCCCCAACCCCCCCTAGAATTTTTGGGCTTGCACAAATCTTGGCCCGGCCTTTTAAATTTTTAATTCGCCTTGAACAGGCAGGATTACTTTTAATATATGTGTGTTATGGTGACAATTTTTATGCTTATATTGTTTTGTTAATCTTATGATTATGTTGTTTTACTTTGAATGTTTTGTGATGTTACCTGGGAACCGCTCTGAGTCCCCTCGGGGAAATAGAGTGGTATATAAATAAAGTTTTATTGTTATTATTATAACTCTGGGGGTGGTGCTCATCTCCATTTCTAAGCCGAAGAGCCAGGGTGTCCGTAGACACCTCCAAGGCCATGTAGCTGGCATGACTGCATGAAGCGCTGTTACATTCCCACAGAAGCAGTACCTAATGATCTACTCATATTTGCATGTTTTCGAACTGCAAGTTTGGCAGAATCTGGGGCTAACAGTGGGAGCTTACCCCGCTCCCCGAATTCGAACCGCCAACCTTTTGGTCAGCAAGTTCAGGAGCTCAGAGGTTTAACCCGCTGTGCCATCGGTGGCTCATAATTTGTACTTGTTTTAAATTTGAATGCCAAGGGGAAAGATAAAAAAGGTAAACAATATTCAGAAGCAAGACCCTGCCATGCTACAGTCCTAAGCAGTGCTGATTGACTTGAAACCATTCTTTCCCCCTGCCTCCATTTCCCCCCCAAGGTCATGCTCTGGAAGCAGGCTGGTTCCTGCTCCGTCATGCCCAGCGCCAGCAAGACTCAGCCCTCCAGTCCCAGGCTGTGGAGAAGTTTATAAAGCAGCCGTTCCATTCAGGCTGGGACCCTGAGCACGGGGGTCTTTTTTCCTTCCAAGATGTGGATGGGCTCTGTCCTACTCAGGTATGATGGTCTCTGAGCCCTGCTGCCTACTCTCACAGTTACTTTAAGAAATATACACACGCCCCTCCACACATACATTATGCACTCTCACTTCCACCTATATCTTCTGCATTTCAGTTTTCCCTTGCCCTCTTTTTCCCCACCAGCTGGAATGGAAAATGAAGCTTTGGTGGCCACACACAGAGGCGATGATTGCTTTCTTAATGGGTTTTGCGGACACACGAGACCGAGAGCTCTTAGAACTGTTTGATCAGATGGCAAAATATACGTTTGATAAGGTATGTCTGAATATTGAGCTCTGAGAAGCCTGGGATCTTTTTGAGCTGGGAAAGTATTGTGACTTTTAGCCCTTTGGGATATCCTGAGCACAGAACAACACATTTAGAGTTCCCATGTTTCCCTTTCTCACAGTTAGGCACAATAGGCAATATGAGGTCCAAGGGTGCTTGTATCTTTTTTTGGTGGTCTCCATGAGAAATCTGCAGAATGAATTTGCACTAGCCTTGGCTCGGCTTTTTTATTGCTTTGAATAGGCAGGATTATTTTTTAATATACATGGGTTATTGTGATAATTTTATGCTTATGTTGTATTGTTAATTTTATGTTATGCTGTTTACTTTGTATGTTTCGGTAATGTTACTTGGAAACCGCCCTGAGTCCCCCTCAGGGAGATAGAGCGGTATATAAATAAAGTTATTATTATTATTATTATTATTATTATTATTATTATTATTATTATTATTATACTGTCTATACGGCTGAAATCATAAATCAGAGGAGAAAATATGTTTTACTTTGGAAACTCAGTGCTTTCTTGTGCAGGAAAATTCTCTGGGACTCTCATTGCGTTAAAGAGAGGCCACTGTGGTTGCATTTCATTGGTGGGTAGAGATTTTGGGTGGGAAATATGATTTGCTACCTCAACCCTGGTGAGTTGCTTGTGCCAGGGCTAAAGCAAAGCGACTTGCCAATTACCAGTTTTGAGCTTCTATTTTCTCCTGTCTGAGATTTTGCTGCCTGTGACTCCATCTATTTTGGCACTTAGGCCCCATCTACACTGTCATATAATGCAATTTGATAATGCAGTATTGAACCACATCTTATGAGTCTATGATACCCTGTAATACAGTTTGGTACAGTAAAACTATATCATGAACCTGCATTATATGCCAGTGTAGATGGAGCCTAAATGTATCCTGATACGGACACAATTCTCCCTCTTGTGTTTTTTCCTTTTTAGTTCCATGACTCAGAGGCGGGTGAGTGGTTTGGTTATCTGGCCCAAGAGGGCAAGGTGGCGCTCACAATCAAAGGAGGGCCATTTAAAGGTAAGGAAGCTAGAGAAAAGATATCTTGAGTCCAATAATGCTTCAGTGGAAAAGGAAACAGGGCACATGTGGTTTAGTTTGTTCAAGAATTTTCTGGTAGGAAAATGTAAACATTTTTTGAAGTGTTCCTGTCTGGATGCCTCTGATATGCAGAGTGTGTAGTTAAGTCACAGCCTATAACAGATATTACAAAGCCACTGTGGCACAATGGGTTAAACCCTTGTGCTGGCTGAACTGCTGCTCTGAAGATTAGCGGTTTGAATCTGCAAGACGGGATGAGCTCCCATATGTCAGTTCCAACTTCCTATGTGGGGACATGAGAGAAGCCTCCCACAGGATGATAACACATCTGGGCATCCCCTGGGCAACATCTCTGTAGATGGTCGATTCTCTCACACCAGAAGCGACAATTTAAAAAAATCCAACATATTAGAATTTAGAAGTGTAGGTTTCTAACTTAGTTTTGAACTTCAGCTCTCAGAATCCCGAATCATTGGGCAAGGCATCTATGTTACCTGACAAGACAGGTCCTCCAGGTCAGTCACTTGTCTGACCCGGGTATTGGGTGGCAACCTGTGCTGGACGGGGTTGCACTCCCCCTGAAGTCACAGATCCGCAGCTTGGGGATCCTCCTGGATTCAGCGCTGACGCTTGATGTGCAGGTGCCGGCGGTGGCCGGGAGGGCCTTTGCACAATTAAAACTTGTGCGCCAGCTGCAACCATACCTCGTGAAGGCTGACTGGACCATGGTGGTCCATGCCTTAGTTACTTCTAGACTGGACTACTGTAATGCTCTCTACACGGGGCTGCCCTTGAAGGCAGCCTGAAAACTACAACTTGTCCAACGCTCGGCAGCCAGATTAGTAACTGGGGCTAGCTATAGAGAGCGTTCGACACCCATGTTTAAGGAGCTCCACTGGCTTCCGTTTATTTTCCGGTCCCAATTCAAGGTACAGGTTATCACCTACACAGCCCTAAACTGTTTGGGACCCGCCTACCTTCATGACTGTATCTCCCTCCACGTACCAACCCTGGGCCCTTTGTTCCTCGGGGGAGGTCCTCCTTTCGCCTTTACCAATCTTACAAGCTCGTCTTGTGGGCACAAGGGAGAGAGCCTTCTCTTCTGTGGCCCTCCGACTTTGGAACTCCTTACCTGGGAAGATCAGGAAAGCCCCTTCACTAGAAACATTTAAAAAGAACCTCAAAACCTGGCTTTTCCACTGCGCGTTTGGTGAGTAGGTGCACAGCATAATATTTTGCACCCCTCAACGTTTTCTGCTAATGGAATTCGTGCCCTCCAAATAGGATGTTTTGTCTCACAACTCTGTCTGTCTTATGAGTTCCATATAAACATCCTGCTCCTATTTTATATCATCATAGTTTGTTGTTTTTATCCTGAATATGTGGCCCGCCCATTGTCATCACTACCATGATTGTGTTTATTGGAATATTTATTTTATGATTTCTTTTCTTTTAATGTCATGTTGGTAATGTTGTTGTTTGTTGTATATGCTTTGACTTTATTGCTGTGTTATGTTGTCCGGGCTTGGCCACATGTAAGCCGCTCCGAGTCCCCATTGGGGAGATGGTGGCGGGGTAGAAATAAAGATGATGATGATGATGATGATGATTATTATTATTATTAGGACAACTGGGAGTTGAAGTCCAAAACACTGGAAGGATTAAAGTTTGGGAAACACTGCCATAGAGTATATGAACTTTTAATTGACCAATTAGATTAGAAAGTAATTGGATTTGACTGATTATTTGATCCGAACTGATGGGAACCGAAGGGCAACAACAGCTAGAGTCTACAAACTCCTTGTCCGTGATGGAAAGAGCACATGATCCCCGTGTTCTGTTCCCCATTTGAATCTCCCATTTCTCTCTTCACAGGCTGTTTCCATGTCCCCCGTGCACTCTATATGTGTGAAGACATTCTGGAAACACTCATAAGGGAAACTGAATCTAAAAGTGGGAAATAAGCCACTCCACTGACTCCTGTATTGAGTCAAAAGCTGGGGCTTCTCCATATAATTTCTCCCGCGTACCTTAATTCTAATCACATTCCTATCATGATAGTAGTAACCAAAAAAACAAAAACTTTCAGGCTTCTCATTAGAAATGCTAATAGGCAGACTACGCATTTTGGGCAAGCTTGATTGCAAAGCTGACTATATGACTGCACAATTATGAGCAAGCTGACTATGGCTACAAAACGATTCAGTTAATAGTATTTTAGTTTTTCTCAATTGTTGGGGTAAAGGAATAATTTCCTTTGATGCTCTCTTCACTTTGTCTCTCTTTGGCTGCAGAGTCTTTCCTGTTGGCCAGTTTGTCACAATTCAAGGGCCTGCTGTCTTTTCTGGATCTGGGCAATACATAATTTGTTTTTATAAATAAACATTGCAATTTTGTGTAATATTTACACCACTGTTGTTGTTTAAGGTACAGGATGAGAATGTGAGGTTCTGATAAATGCTTACTTTCCCGTCGTGGTCAGCTGTGAATCGCACATATGGTTTATTCCTGCGCTCGCGCAGGCAGCATCAAAAATTCATCTGGACTATTGCATGTCGATTGCAGGTAGACTTCTGGTGACTGAATCAATGTTTCTCCCTAAAGCAGTGGTTCTCAACCTGTGGGTCCCCAGATGTTTTGGCCTTCAACTCCCAGAAATCCTAACAGCTGATAAACTGGCTGGGATTTCTGGGAGTTGTCAGCCAAAACAATCGGGGACCCACAGGTTGAGAACCACTGCCCTAAAGCAAAAGCCTTTTGCCATAGATATATCTAGCATGCCTGAGGACCTTTCTACACTGCCATATAAAATCCAGGTTGTCTGCTTTGAACTGGATTATATCACATAATCCACTTCAAAGCAGATAATGTGGATTGTCTACTTTGATAATCTGGGTTATATGGCAGTGTAGAAGGGGCCTGAGGAAGGATTTCTACTCGGTGTGATTTGAATACAATATTCCTGCTTCTTGGCAGGGGGTTGGACTGGATGGCCCATGAGGTCTCTTCCAACTCTTTGATTCTATGATTCTATGAATCTACCCATCTTCCCATTACAAATGATTTCTCTGTGAAGGAATAGCCCCACTAAAAACAAATTTTCCATCACTAACAAACCTCATCCCAAGGCCTGAAACAGAATGAATCTGCATAAGGTAAAAGAATTCAACAACTTGTGTAACACCATACCAAGTCTTAAAAGATTTCTGAAAATAAAATAAAAACCTTATGTCCATACATCTCCAGTCATAGGAATTGAATGAGGAAAGATTTTTTTTTTGTTTTCAGTCAGTCATTGATTATTCAGATTTGATCAAATTGTTCTCTCTAGAAATTTCTTCAGTTCTTCAGTGTCGCTCTGTGGAGAACCTCCACCTGAACACCTCTCTAGCAATCTCTATGGCAGTGATCCTCAAACTTTGAATCTTGACATTTGGGAGTTGTAGTTGCTGGGATTTATAGTTCACGTACAATCACAGAGCATTCTGAACCCTACCAACGATAGAATTGGGCCAAACCTCCCACACAGAACCCCCATGTGGTCCACAGCAATGCGTGGCAGGGGACGGCTAGATATATATATATATTGTGTGTCAGGGATCAAAGGTAAAGGTTTTCCCCTTGACATTAAGTCTAGTCGTATCCGACTCTGGGACTCTGGTGCTCATCTCCATTTCTAAGCCGAAGAGCCGGTGTTGTCCATAGACGCCTCCAAGATTATGTGGCTGGCATGACTGCATGCAGCGCCATTACCTTCCCGCAGAAGCGATACCTATTGATCTATTCACACTTGCATGCTTTCGAATGGCAGGGATATAAAAGTTAAAATAAAATTAAAATGCCATTTAAAAACTCAACATTGCTAAGCCAGAAACATAAATTTGCCTTAGGCCATGTAGGCAAGATTGAATGGCTTTCCTGATTTTATAGTTTAGGGTGCAACCCTAAACATACAAAGGTGTGAGCCCTGTAAAGGAGAAGAATTTACAAGTGAGTGAGTCACTTGTGAATAAACATGCATAAATCAGCTAGTGAACACACAGACTTAAATCCTAATTTTTTTGAAAAGCATATCAAAGTTGCTCACTATCGCATGATTAGTTTCTAAAAATAATACAATTATGAACACAAAGAGGCTTAATAAGGAGCCGAGGTAGAGAAAAGAACATGGGAAGAAGAAAATGAGTGCTGATTTGTGTGCTGATCTGCTCCAAACAGGGCATTTTCATTGGTTGTGCTTAGATTTGGAATGCATGGCACTTGGAAGATGTTTTCAGTAGACAAAAAAAAGGAGGTGAGACGTGATCCTTAACTGAATCTGATCAGGGCCTACAAGGAAAGCTTGTATTCCAGGAAATAAAGGGTCAGCCTAGAAGTCCCACCATGAATGAAGCAATCCTCATCTATAGTCACTACCATACTCTCAGGAAATGCAGCTCTGACATGCCAGGGAGTAAATACTGGGGTTTTTTTTTCCAGCGGAAGAGAACAAATGTGCTCTTTATGACTGCCGCCTGCTGGAGAAGAATATAATCCTGTCTTCAGGATCTATATTATTTATCCATGGCTTGCTTTTCAACAAGTGTCTCTTAAACTTTTTCCACTTGCTACCCCTTATTATCCATGATGTTTTTGTGTGTCCCTGAGTGTATAGGTATAGGTAATGGTAAAGATTGTCCCCTGACATTAAGTCCAGTCATGTCTGACTCTGGGGTGTGGTGCTTATCTCCATTTCTAAGCCGAAGAATTGGCGTTGCCCATAGACACCTCAAAGGTCATGTGGCCTGCATGACTGCATGGAATACTGTTACATTCCTGCCAGAGAAGTACCTATTAATCTACTCACATTTGCATGTTTTCGAACTGCTAGGTTGGCAGAAGCTAGGGCTGACAGCGGAAGCTCACGCCGCTCCCTGGAATCGAACCTGCGACCTTTTGGTCAACAAGCTCAGCAACTCAGTGCTTTAACCCACCGGGGCCCCCGTATAGGTATAGAACATAGGTATAAAAAGGGTTAGGTATAAAAAGCAAACATTTACTGATAATATTTGTAGGGCTTGCTAAACAGGCTAATTTTCCTTTTTCTGGAGTACAGCTGAAGCATCTTCTGCAGAATCCACTGTAAACACTGCACGTCGTTGCTAACAGATTTGTGTAAATGGGTGGCATTCAGATACCTTTTACTGTTGCCAAATTTTGTGTGACCCCAGCATTGAACTAAGGTAGTGGTTCTCAACCTTCTTAATGCCGTGACCCCTTAATACAGCCCCCCATTTTGTGGTGATCCCCAACCATAAATTTGTTTTTCATTGTTACTTCTTAACTGTAATTTGGCTACTGTTATGAATTATAGAATCATAGAGTTGGAAGAGACCTCATGGGCCATCCAGTCCAACCCCCTGCCAAGAAGCAGGAATATTGCATTCAAAGCACCCCTGGCAGATGGCCATCCAATCTCTGTTTAAAATGTAATATAAATATCTGATATTCAGAATGTATTTTCATTCACTGGACCAAATTTGGCACAAATACTTGATACGTCCAAATTTGTATACTGGTGGGGTCGGTGGGCGGGATTGATTTTGTCATTTGGGAGTTATAGTTGCTGGGATTTATAGTTAACCTGCAATCAAAGAGCATTCTGAACTCCACCAATGATGAAATTGAACCAAACTTGGCACTCAGAATTCCCAACAGAAAATACTGAAGGATTTGATGAGCACGGACCTTGGGTTTTGGAGTTGTCATTCACCCACATCCAGAGAGTACTGTGGATTCAAACAAAATCTAACAAGGAGAATCACAGAATGGTAGATTTGGAAGAGATCTCATGGGCCATCTAGTCCAACCCCCTATTTATTTTTATTTATCGTACCAGGAGTGAACCAAAGGTACAGTTGTAATGTATTTTTTTTTAAAAAAAAAACACAGAGTTTAAAAACTTGGCATTATACTAAGTGTCCTTTGACCAGTAGTTGGCCACTTGAAGTGCCTCTGGTGTTGCTATAAGAAGTTCCTCCACTGTGCATGTGGCAAGGCTCAGTCCGCATTATAGTAAGTGGTCTGTGGTTTGCTCTTCTCCACACTCGCATGTCATGGACTCCACTTTGTGGGCCCATTTCTTAAGGTTGGCTCTGCATCTCATGGTGCCAGTGCGCAATCTGTTCAGTGCCTTCTAAGTCGCCCAGTCTTCTGTGTGCCCAGGGGGGAGTCTCTCATTTGGTATCAGCCATGGTTTGAGGTGCTGAATTTTAGCCTGCCACTTTTGGACTCTCGCTTGCTGAGGTGGTCCTGCGAGTATCTCTATAGCTCTTAGAAAGCGATTTCTTGATTTAAGGTGTTGGCGTGCTGGCTGATATCCAAACAGAAGATGGGTTGCAGATGTCACTGCCTTGGTCCTTTCATTATTGGCTGCTACTTTCCAGTGGATGTCAGGTAGCGCAATACTGGTTAAACAGTGTAATTTCTCCAGAGGTGTTGGACACACTGTCTCATTAAGAGCCACATCCACTGTGTTCCACACTGTGTTCCATACTGGGCATGCATACTCAGCAGTAGAGTAGCAAAGCGCAAGGGCAGGTGTCTTCATTGTATCTGGTTGTGATCCCCAGGTTGTGCCAGTCATCTTTCGTATGATATTTTTTCTAGTGCCCACTTTTTGCTTGGTATTCAAGCAATGCTTCTTACAGGTCAGAGAACAGTTCAGGGTAACTCCCAGGTATTTTGGTGTGCTGCAATGCTCCAGTAGTATTCCTTGCCAGGTAATCCTCAGAGCTCGAGTTCAACCCCTGCCATGCAGAAAAAACACCTCTATTTATTTATTTTATTTATTTCCTATATTTATACCCTGCCCTTCTCACCCCAGAGGGGGGACTCAGGGCGGCCTCACAAACACCATACAGTGTCATCATAATAAAACAATCAACAATATATTAAAATCTTAAAAATATTAAAACAATAATTAAAACAATTGATTAACACACGCCTATTAAAATCAGAGTCTAAAATCCAGTCCTGGTCAAATCATTGCCATAACTGTTAAAATCTTCTTTTACTTGCTGCTCACTAATTGAATGCTTGGTCCCAAAGCCAGGCCTTGATTTTTCTTCTAAAAGACAGGAGGGAGGTGGCCATTCTGATGTCTCTGGGGAGAGCCTTCCACAGGCGGGGGGCCACTGGTGAGAAGGCCCTGTTCCTCATCCCCACCAGTCAAGTTTGCGATGTTGGGAGGGTCGAGAGCAGGGCCTCTTCAGATGATCTTCATTTTTGTGATAATTCATACCAGGAGATACGTTCGGACAGGTAGTCTGGGCCAGAACCGTTTAGGGCTTTAAAGGTTAAGACCAGTACTTTGAATTGTGCTCAGAAGCTGATCGGCAGCCAGTGGAGCTGGTGTATCAGAGGAGTTGCGTAATAGCCTGACTGCCAACCGTTGGACTAATTGAAACAGAGATGGCCATCCAGCCTCTGCTTAAAAGCTTCCAAGGAAGGAGCTTCCAACACACCCGAGCCTGAGAGTTCCACTGTTGAACAATCAGGAAGTTTTTCCTAGTGTTCAGGTGGAATTTCCTTACTGTCATTTGAACCCATGGCTCCATTGAGTCCTAGAGCCCTTCCACACAACTGTATAAAATCCACACTGAACTGCATTATATGGCACTGTGGACTCAGATAACCCAGTTCAAAGCAGAAATTGTGGATTATCTGCCTTGATAATCTGGTTTATTTGGCTGTGTGGAGGGCCCTTGTGTCCAGGGCAGGAGAAAACAAGACTGCTCCCTCTTCCAATCACAGCCTTTCAGTGAGATTTCAATTCATTGTATTGTCGAAGGCTTTCATGGCTGGAATTACTGGGTTGTTGCAGTTTTTTTCGGGCTATATGGCCATGTTCTAGAGCAGGGGTCCTCAAACTTTTTAAACAGAGGGCCAGGTCACAGTCTTTCAAACTGTTGGAGGGCTGGATTATAATTTAAAAAACCATGAATGAATTCCTATGCACACTGCACATATCTTATTTGTAGTGCAAAGAACACTTTAAACAATACAATAATTAAAAGGAAGAACAATTTTAACAAATATAAACTTATTAGTATTTCAATGGGAAGTGTGGGCCTGCTTTTGGCTGATGAGATAGGATTCTTGTTGTTGTGTGCTTTCAAGTCATTTCAGACTTAGGTTGACCCTGAGCGAGGGCCGGGTAAATGACCTTGGAGGGCCGCATCCGGCCCCTGGGCCTTAGTTTGAGGACCTCTGTTCTAGAGGCATTCTCTCCTGACGTTTCGCCTGCATCTATGGCAAGCATCCTCAGAGGTAGTGAGGTCTGTTGGAACTGGGAAATTGGGTTTATATATCAGTGGAATGACCAGGGTGGGACAAAGAACTATTGTCTGTTGGAGCTAGGTGTGAATGTTTCAACTGACCACCTTGATTAGTATTTGATGGCCTGGCAGTTGTTTTCAATTCATTGGAAGTGTGGTGGTGGAAAAAATATCTGCAGAAACAAATGAATTTATTGGGGGGGGGGGGGGTTGTAGGCCACAATGGCTGGATCCACACTGCCTTTATATCCCAGGATCTGATCCCAGATTATCTGGCTGTGTAGATAATGTGGCGCAGTGGGTTAAAGCACTGAGCTGCTGAGCTTGTTGATCGAAAGGTCGCAGGTTCGATTCCGGGGAGCGGCATGAGCTTCCGCTGTCAGCCCTAGCTTCTGCCAACCTAGCAGTTCAAAAACATGCAAATGTGAGTAGATCAATAGGTACCGCTCCGGCGGGAGGGTAACAGCGCTCCATGCAGTCATGCCGGCCACATGACCTTGGAGGTGTCTACGGACAACGCTGGCTCTTCAGCTTAGAAATGGAGATGAGCACCACACTCCAGCGTCAGACATGACTAGACTTAATGTCAGGGGACTACCTTTACCTTAGACTCATATAATCCAGTTCAAAGCAGATAATCTGGGATCAGATCCTGGGATACAGGGCAGTGTAGATCCAGCCATTGTGGCCTACAAAAAAAACCGCAATAAATTCATTAGTTTGTTTCCCACCTCTATAACACTTGTAATTGGGAACTTTATTATAAGAGCGAGACTGGCAATCAATCATCACTTTTTGTAGGTGTTTCTGGTTCCGTGGGCGTCAATCGACCTCAGCGTAGCATCTGATAGGCTCCCTTAACAATCAATCAAAAGCTATTTGAGCGCAGTCTCATTGACGGGTTTGTTCTCTAGAGAAGCTAAAAGAGGCGGGGACTGTCTTCCTAAAAGGGAGTGAGCAAGAAGCTTTGTGATTGGCCAGAGGGGTGACTCAGACACACCCTGATTGGGTGTTGAGGAGGAGGCCTTGCTCAGATTTGGATGGTGTTTCAAATTGGACAAGAGAGAGGGTAAATTCTGCATCGTGATTGGCTAGGGGCGTTCTCTTCTCTGCTTTGCCATTGGTTGCGCGGCAGAGCTGGCCGCGTTCTTCCCGTTCTCGCCCATTCCTTGTCTTCCCGGCACAGCTACAGGGCGTCGGTGGTTCCAGTGGCCGCGTGAGAGCCGAGAAAGAATCGTCGCTGCCATGAACATCCGGAATGCGCGGGTTCGAGTCCCGGTTGGGGCGGAAAAGGGTGGGCTTGTGGCGGGAGGGAAGGAGAGAGAGAGAGAGGAAGGCCTGCCTTGGAGTTCATCCGCCCAGTCCAGAGAAAGGAGGGCAACAAAAAGAAGGCCCTCCTTCATACCATATTTCAGTGGTTCCCAACCTTTGGGCCTCTAGGTGATTAGAACTTCAGCTCCCAGAATTCCTGACAATTGGCCGAGGTGGTTGAGTCTTCTGGGAGTTGTAGTCCAAAACCTCCCCAAAGGTTGGGAACCACAGGCCTAGTTCTTGAGGAATGTGTGTCAACCAAGCCTATATCTGTTGGTGCCTGCATTCTCACTGTGATGCATCTACATTGAGGAATTAATGCAGTTTGATACCGCTTTAATTGACATGGCTTAATGCTGTGGAATCCAGGGATATGAGGCACTTGGTAAAACAAGGGCTCCTTCCACTCAGTTATATAAAATCCACATTGAACTGGATTATATGGCAGTGTGGACTCAGGTAACCCAGTTCAAACCAGATGTGGGATTTTCCGCCTTGATGTGGGTTATATGACTGTAGAAGGGCCCTCCCCCCCCCACCCCCGAGCCTCTGGTGACACAGTGAACTTGTTGACTGAAAGGTTGCAGGTTCGAATCTGGGGAGCGGCGTGAGCTTCTGCTGTTAGCCCCAGCTTCTGCCAACCTAGCAGTTTGAAAACATGCAAATGTGAGTAATATAATAATAATACACTTATAATAAATATACCCCGCCACCTTCTCCCCAATGGGGACTCGGAGTGGCTTACATGAGGCCAAGCCCAAACAACAAATTACAGCGGAATAAAACCGAAAACGCAAACCAAAAATGCAAACAATAAACAACAACACTATAATTACATTGGAAGTAGATCAATGGGTACTACTCCAGCGGGAAGGTAATGGCGCTCCATTTAGTCATGCTGGCCACATGACCTTGGAGGTGGCTATGGACAATTCCGGCTTTTCGGCTTAGTAATGGAGATGAGCACCAACCCCCAGAGTCGGACACGGCTGGATTTAATGTGAGGGGGAAACCTTTACCTTTATTATAGATATTTATATTTATTAGTTTATATTCCTGCTTTTGGGGGGATTCAAAGAGACTAACAAGGTAGAAAACATACAAGGTACATTGGGATAAAAGAAGTAGACACAATTAAAAAATAACAATTGGAACATAACGCCGTTAGACCATAATAGAACACGTTACAGATTAAAATACATTCAACACTTTAGGTATAGTTAAAACTAAATAAACATGGGCATAGATAAAACTGAATAGTACATAAACATATTCACACTAGCCTTCTTCTGCCACGCGTCGCTGTGGCTTACGTGGGGGTTCTGCATGGGAGGTTTGGCCCAATTCCATCATTGGTGGGGTTCAGAATGCTCTTTGATTGTAGGTGAACTATACATCCCAGCAACTACAACTCCCTAATGTCTGGATTCTATTTTTCTTGTAAATTGTAGTAGTTTCTTATAAAGTTGTTCCATTTATTTATTTATTTATTTAGAGTTTATTGCTTGTCCTATATTTTTAGCTCATTGAATCATGTTCTCCTTTACTTGTTCGTCAACTGTATAATCTTTCAAAATGAATTGATATATTTTCAGTCCATTCTTTTATCCAAATCCAGGCTGCAACTCCCTGGATTCCTTAGCTTTGAGCCATGGACAACTGTGTTTTAGGGTCACAATTATTTTAAAATATTGTATGAAATTACCTTCAGACCATGTGTATAAGTCTGTAACACAGGTTTGGTTTACATCCCTAAGATAATCTAATTCTGTAAATTTGTGCAAATACAGATATTCCCAAATCCAAAATGCTTCTCGTCCCAAGTATTTTAGATAAAGGATACTCTACCTGTATTTGTTGCTCTTCTTTTAATTTTCTTGATAGTTTAGTTACATTTTTACTTTTGGACAGTGTAACTTTTTTCATCAGTACATTGGGCCTTCAGTATTGGCTGGGTTTTCAGTATTGGCTGTGGATACCAGAAGCCATGGTTCCTCATGGCACATTGTACACAGTGGCATAGTAAAATAATGTCACTTAGAAAAAATGGTAAAACAAGGAAAAATATTTTCAGACCATGGATTATAGAATCCATGGGTTCAGAATTAGATACAAAGGAATGAATACACACACACACACACACACACATATGAATCCCAAATTGAGAAAAGGTGGGCTATGAATATAATAATAATGGGAAAGCCAAGGGGAAAGAGTTATTGGGTGAAATATTTTGATTTTGACTTTCCACTATTAGGCAGTTTAGGGCAATTCTGTTGTTACTTTTTTAGGTAGCCAGCATTAGAAAAATAGAATCAGAGTTGGAAGAGGCCTCGTGGGCCATCCAGTCCAACCCTCTGCCAAAAAGCAGGAAAATCACATTCAAAGCACCCCTGACAGATGGTCATCCAGTCTCTGTTTAAAAGCCTCCAAAGAAGGTGCCTTCACCACACTCCGGGGCAGAGAGTTCCACTGCTGAACAGTTCTCACAGTTAGGAAGTTCTTCCTCATGTTCAGATGGAATCTCCTTTCCTGCAGTTTGAAACCATTGCTCCACGCCTCAGTCTCTAGGGCAGCAGAAAACAAGCTTGCTTGCTTCTCCCTATGACTTCCCCTCACATATTTATACATGGCTATCATGTCTCCTCTCAGCCTTCTCTTCTTCAGGCTAAACATGCATAGCTCTTTTAAGCCGCTCCTCATAGGGCCTTTTCTCCAGACACTTGATCATTTTAGTCGCCCTCCTCTGGACACATTCCAGCTTGTCAACATCTCCCTTCAATTGTGGTGCCCAGAATTGGACACAATATTCCAGATGTGGTCTAACCAAGGCCATCTTTTTCACACATACTGCTGTCGAGCCAGGAATCCCCCATTTTGTATCCTTGCATTTCATTTTTTCTTCCTAAGTGGAGTGACTTGCTGTTGAACTTCATTTTCTTAGTTTTGGCCCATCTGTCTCATCTGTTGTGATTGTTTTGAATTCTGCTCCTGTCTTCTACGGTATTAGCTATCCCTCCCAATTTAGTGTTGTCTGCAAACTTGATGATCATATCTTCTAACCCTTTTCCAGTGATTAAATGAAAAACAATATGTTCTAGAATTACTCTAGTTGATTTCATGAAAAATGCCTTGCTGGATCAAGATAATCTGAGCCTGTCAATCGTTGTGGGTTCTCAAGGTGGAACAAAGGATATTGGATGCTGAAGGCAAACATGGTAGCCTTCTGTCCTTGTTTATGAATTGCCAGAGACATCTAGGTATTTCTTGTCAGAAAGAAAAGGACGGAAATCCTCAATATTTGATATTTGAAGGTACTCTTGCTCTTTTGAAAACGGAAGAATTATATCTGGTTATTACAGATCATAGTGCTTGACAGTCTATTTGGACTCAGTTTGATCCACCTGGTCAACTGTTACTGTTTGGGTTTGTATTTTGATTTGTGACATAATAGCCTGTTAATGGCAACAATCAACTTTATGCCTTGGGGAAATTATTAGGGCCGGGCCTGAAAATAATGACCACATAGTGGTTGTGGCCATTATTGTGAACACAACTTATGTTCACACTATTTGGAGATATTGTTTAACATATATATATATATATATATATATATATATATAGAGAGAGAGAGAGAGAGAGAGAGAGAGAGAGAGTCATGTCAGGAGTGACTTGAGAACCTGCAAGTTGCTTCTGGTGTGAGAGAATTGGCCGTCTGCAAGGACATTGCCCAGGGGACGCCCGGATGATTTGATGTTTTTATCATTCTTGTGGGAGGCTTCTCTCATGTCCCCGCATGGGGAGCTGGAGTTGATAGAGGGAGCTCATCCGCCTCTCCCCGGATTCGAAACCTGCGACCTGTCGGTCTTCAGTCCTGCCGGCGCAGGGGTTTAACCCACTGCGCCACCGGGGGCTCCATTTATATATGCTAGCCACACTCACCTAGTGGAAGGGGTGGTCTTTTGATGGTCATTGCTGGTTTTGTTTATTCTCTCATCTTTTTTTGTCTGCCTTCCCCTTCCAGCCGGAAGACCTGATGAACATGCAGCACTGCAACCTCCTTTGCTTGCCGGAGAACTATCAAATGAAATACTACTTCTATCATGGACTCTCCTGGCCTCAGGTAACTCCCATTAGATCTATATAACTGGTAATAAACTATTTTTCTCAAGGATTGTGCAGGGTCATAGCCAATCCTTGGTCTTTCAAAGAGGCATAAATGCAGATGCCACTACCATAAGGCTCAGTCCCTTTCTTCCTCCTCTTATGTAGCTGTTTTTGATCTTAATGTCAGGAAACATAGAAGTTCAAACAATCTTTGATGCTAGTTCTGATCTTGTTACTGGCTCCAGTCATATACCCTCACTCTCCCACAGTCTACAGGGCCGGAGGTTTAGCACAGCTGGTAAATCATCAGCAATGGTAAGATCTTTCATCTGAAAGGTTGCAAGTTCAAAGCCCCGGGTCAGCATGAGCGGCCGACCGTCAGCCCTGCTCACTGTTTACCTAACCAGTTCGAAAACAGCTTTAGCTGTAATTAGAGAAATTAGGTATGGCTAAAAGCAGAGGAGGTGTTTTACAACTCCATAAAGAAAAAGATCAGAAAATGCCGGAATGAGGAAGTCCTGATGGCTCTTTGTCATAGAAGATGAAGCGATAGCACCCCTTGTGGACTCGAGCCCAACCATCCATGGCATTGAAACAACACACCTCCTTCTGTTCTGTCAGTCTGTGTACTGTCTATACCAGGGGTCCTCAAACTTTTTAAACAGAGGGCCAGGTCACAGTCCTTCAAACTGTTGGAGTGCCGGGTTATAATTTGAAAAAAACTTGAATGAATTCCTATTCACACTTCACATATCTTATCTGTAATGCAAATACACTTAAAAATACAATAATTAAAAAGTAAGAACAATTTTAACTTATTAGTATTTCAGTGGGAAGTGTGGGCCTGCTCTTGGTCGATGAGATAGGATTGTTGTTGTTGTTGTGTGCTTTCATGTCGTTTCAGACTTAGGTTGACCTTGAGCGAGGGCTGGGTAAATGACCTTGGAGGGTCGTATCTTGTCCCCGGGCCTTAGTTTGAGGACCCCTATACAAACGGCATTGAATGTTTGCCATGTATGTGTACTGTGATCCGCCCTGACTCTCCTTTGGAGTGAGAAGGGCGGAATATAAATAAAGGGTTGCTATTATTATTACAGGCCTTGACCTTCCTCCAGTTTTGAATGGGATGCCATGGCTAATAACTTACAAGTCAAGTTTTACAGGTATTTAATTACTTCTGAAAGTTTGCTGACTGCCTATGATAATTCTTTGGCCCATGGCTGTTCTGTCATTGCCTACAGCGTAGGCCTAGAAGTTATGTGAGCTAATTAACATTCATTTGACAGTAATGGGATTAGAGTTGGGAACGGCTGTGTTCAGTTCTCACTACAGGCACAGATTTACTGTGCTGGGAGATTTCCACCTGTAGAATATGTGTGTGGCTTCCTATAGAATATGTGTGTGTGGCACCTCCCTAAATTCCCTTAGGGAGTTGTGGATTGGGGTGTGTATGGATGTGTATGCGTGTGTATGCATGTTTTCTCTCTTCCGCATGTACAACACTCTGCTGCCTGTCTTGCTTGCAACATACACCCACAGTCTTTGGGTTGCAAAACAGACATGTAGAAGTGAACAGGTTGTTGTGTATGTGAAAGGAGCAAAATATGGCTAAAATGCAAAGAAATGATAGGAGTTTCTTTTTGCTTCTTTGGAGAACATCTATTATGGCTGAATTCCTGGCAAACTGCTCAGTTTGTTTTATCAGATTCCGTTGTACTACAGGATTGCTGCTACTAATAAAAATCCAGCCAATGACAGAACAGCCAAGGGCAAAGGGAGTTAGCAAACTAATAACCTCTGATAAAACGCAACCTATAACTTATTGAACATAGTGTTCCATTCAAAACTGAAGAAATTCACAAATGAATTAATGTATTAGAAGTGTTTTGAATGCTTAAGTGTTGCTATATGAATGCGGAATAGTATGTGGTGAGTATCCCTTATTTGAAATGCTTGGGACCAGAAGTAGGACCATATTCCAGGTTTTGGAATACTTGCATCTACGTAATGAGATATCTTGGAGATAGTGCCTGAGTCCAAGCATAGAATTAATTTATACTTCATAAGCACCTTATACATGTAGCCTGAAAGCAATTTTACACAATATTTGTAATGATTTTGTGGGTGAAACAAAGTTTATGTATACTGAACCATCAGACAGCAAAATACTTTATTTCATATTGGGAGGGAGATTTCTATTCCTTTGCTTTTGCTTTCTGCCGATCTCCCTTTGTTTGTCTCCCATTATTTTAGAGCAGTGGTACTTAACTTGTGGATCCCCAGATGTTTTGGCCTACAACTCCCAGAAATCTGAGCCAGTTTACCAGCTGTTAGGATTTCTGTGAGTTGAAGGCCAAAACATCTGGGGAACCACAGGTTGAGAAACATTGTTCTAGAGCAGTGCTGCCTTTTCTTATCACTGTCTGGAATAGGGAGTAATGGGCCTTTGTCCTTTTCTGAGGGAAGTTATGCAGCTTTCTAGATGTTGGGGGGCAGCAATTTCCAGTATTCCTAGTTGATGGAATTTGCAGTCCACCAACACCTGGTTGCACTTCTTGAGAAGTTTACTTTTTGTTTCTCTAACTACCTTCATGCTCTTCCCTAGCTCTCGTATATTGCCGAGGATGAGAACGGCAAGATTGTGGGATATGTGCTGGCTAAAATGTGAGTAGGCACATTAATTGTATTATTCATACATTTATATTCATATACTAGCTGTGCCCTGCCACGCGTTGCTGTGGCCTATAGTAAAACTTACCAAAGTTGAGGTAGATATCTGGACTATTATGAAAGAGAGGTACAGTATATTCTGGCATATAAGACTACTTTTTAACCCAAGAAAATCTTCTCAAAAGTTAGGGGTCGTCTTATATGCGGGTGTAGTCTTATGCATGGGAGTCGTCTTAACTCTATATTTTAACTGGAAAAGTTGGGGGTCGTCTTATACGCCCAGTCGTCTTATATGCCGGAATATACGGTACATACATATACAATCTTCCCCTTACAATGTCTCTCCTTTCTTCCTTCTCTACCTCTTTCTTTCTTTCCTTCTTTCACTACTTGGTTTCATCCTTCTCTCTTTCCTTCATTCCCTCCCCCTTTCTTCCTTTGCCTTTCTTCCCTCCCTGTTTGCTTCCTTCTTTCACTTTTTATTTCCTTTTATTTCACCACCATCATAACAATAACAATAATGCAATGCATTGCCTCTGGGACCTGACACCTCTCCCATTCCCCCTAAAAGGGTCTCATAGGAATAATAGCATCATAATAATAATAGAAATAACAACCTTTACCCGCCACGTGTTGCTGTGGCCAACCTTCCCTCTTTCTTCCTTCTTTCCCTTCTTTCTTCCCTTCCTTCCTTCCCTTCTCTACCTTTCTTCCTTCCCCCTTTTCTTTCTTCTTTCTCTTTTCTTCCTTCCTCTTTCTCTTTCCTCCCTCCCCTCTTTCTCTCCTCCCCTTCCTTCCCCTTTCCTTCCTTCTTTCCCTTTTTCTTTCATTCTCTCCTTCCTTCTTCTCTCCTTTCCTTCCTTCCTTTTCTCTTTCTTCCTTCTCTCTTTCTTCCTCCTTCCCTCCCACTTTCTCTACATCTTCGCCCTCCTTCACTCCCTCTTTCCTTCCTTCATTCGCTTTTTTCTTTCCTTCTCTCCTTCCTTCCTTCCCCCTTTTTCTTTCCCTCCCTCTGTCTCTCATTTCTTCCTTCTCTACCTCTTTCCTTCCTTCCCCCTTTTTCTTTCTCTTCTGCTCTCTCTCTTTCCTTTCCTTCCATCTTTCCTTTTCTTTCCTTTTCTTCTTCCTTCTTTCTCTAACTTTCCTTCCCCCTTTTCTTTCCCTTTCTCTTTCTTCCTTCTTTCCTTCCTTCCTGTCTTTCCTGGATTTTGACAGGGCGGGAAGGGGCGGGGTGGGGTTTGGAGGTGGCGTGAAGTAAAAGGAGGTAAGATTGGGGCAGGGGAGTGATGGAGCGTGGGGTGTGTGTGTGCGGCGGTGGGGGGAGTGATGGAGCGTGGGGTTGCGTGTGTGTGTGCGGCGGGGGGGAGGGGTTGCGTGTGTGTGTGCGGCAGTGGGGGAGTGATGGAGCGTGGGGTTGTGTGTGTGCGGGGGGGGGCGTGAAGTAAAAGGAGGTAAGATTGGGGTGGGGGAGTGATGGAGCGTGGGGTTGCATGTGTGTGTGCGGCGGCGGGGGGGAGTGATGGAGCGTGGGGTTGCGTGTGTGTGTGCGGCGGGGGGAGTGATGGAGCGTGGGGTTGCGTGTGTGTGTGCGGCTGCCGGGGGAGTGATGGAGCATGGGGTTGCGTGTGTGTGTGCGGCGGGGGGGAGTGGGGTTGCGTGTGTGTGCGGCGGCGGGGGAATGATGGAGCGTGAGGTTGCGTGTGTGTGTGCGGCGGCGGGGGGAGTGATGGAGCGTGGGGTTGTGTGTGTGCGTGCGGCAGGGTGTGTGTGTGTGCGGGAAGCGGCGCGGCGGGGGCTTGGAGTGGGCATGGCTTCCGCAGAGGGAACGTTGGCCGGAAGGCTGTGTGCGCGCACCAGGGAACTTGCGGCTGGACACCAATGCGCATGCTCAGTTGTTTTGCCGTTTTGTGAGTGTGTTGTGTTGTTTTTCATTTTGAGTAGATATGTTTGTACCTTGTGGGTTGTGTTATGGGCATGGGAATTTTGGTTAAGTTTCGTTGGGGTTTTTTTTGAGTTTTGTTGTTTTGCCGTTTTGTGAGTGTGTTGTTGTGTTGTTTTTCATTTTGAGTAGATATGTTTGTACCTTGTGGGTTGTGTTATGGGCATGGGAATTTTGGTGCAGTTTCGTTGGGGGGTTGTGGAGTTTTGCTGTCCCGTGAACCAACCTAACAGATTTATATATAGATATGCAATTGTAGTCAAGTAAGACCTATCAGAATATATTACAAACAACTTACAAACAAGTTCAACTTAAGAACAAACCTACACAACCTATCATGTTCATAGTTATCCTCTGGAAATTATTATCTCATGAGTTATGTTGTATAGCAAACAGGATACCCAATTCCTTCTTTAACCTTCCACTACTCTACTGTGATTGGCCAAGTTTTGGTTGCAAGCATTTTGTTATTATTATGACCAAAAATAAGTGTTTCTAGATGTGGTGGTGTTTTGCAGGCTAGTTAATGTGAGTCATCTTTCTCCCAAATGGAGGAATGGGGTTACATAATTTAGAAAAATGCAGCATCTACTTTTGCAGTTTGTAAGTGGAGAACCATGGCTTCCCTTCTATAAATGAGGTGTTTTTTTTGTTCAGTTACTGAATAAAATGTGTGATTATGGTAAATGGTTTCCTATCATCTTGAGGAAACTTTTTTTTTGGTGTAATGTTCAATTTTGTATTTTTAAAGTTGGGGACATGAGAACGGGTGGATAAGAAATAAAATACTGTTGTTATATATATGTTTGTGTGTGCACACGCGCACGCACACACACATTGCTAGGCTACTTGGATCCAGGCAGTTAAAAGAACTGCCTTCTCCATTACAAACCAGTCTAGGTTTTGAGATACTCAGGACAAATGTCCAAGGCCTTTCTCTTGATGCCTCGGTGGCATGTTTCTTGAGATCATGGGTCAGAGCTTTTTCAGTGGCCTCTCCTCAGTTGTGGAACTCACCTCCAGGGGAGGTCAGGCTTTCCCATTCCCTGGTATTTTTAAATTGTGCAGGATTTTTGGCAAGCGTCTGGTCTGTTGTGTTATGTACCAGTTCTTTTCCTCATGATTCATTTTACCTTCAAATTACTTGTTTCCAATAGTTCTTAACTTTTTTATTTTGCTAAAACATTATGATTGGTATTTAGTTGTGTCTTGTTTTAATCTATGTTGTTACCTGACTTGGATCCCATGCTGGGAGAATGGCGAAAAATAGATAATTTAATTTTAATTCGAATTAATTTTAAATGTGTTTCAGTATCTCATCTCACTTTGGGTTATTTGCTGCTGTTGCATGCCTTCAAGTTGTAGTCCAGCAGTCAAATCACACCATTAGTTATCGTTACCTCAAGATTCCTTAATACCTAGTTTTGGGAGAAATGAARGATATAAATCAGAGGAATCAAAATCAGTTGATACTTAGCTTGATTTTGGGACYGAGCTAAATKTTCRCTTCTCTCTCTAGGGAAGAAGACCCTGATGACGTTCCCCATGGACACATTACATCCTTGGTAATGTTTCRTTCTCATTTGACATCTTACTGGTGTGGATCTGAGACWKCTAACCAATTAGTATGAAGCTGGTAGAAAAGACTGSATCAAAGAGCTAGTGGTGTTTTTGCTTGGCAAGAAAYGAAATGTGCTATTAGGCCCTAGGYCTTCTTCAACAATKCATTGAGATTTTYCCCTGGGGGATTGCAAAATACTTCAACGGGGTCACCTAAGGACTGACACTTTGTGCCTTGTGTGCTGCAGTTGGCATYTTCTAGCTCTGAAACCCTGAGYAGCGACTGGAGGAAGAYATAGCTACTTGGTTGTTCATATTAGAGGCGGCTRGATCAAWTTCCATAGCARTCAGTAGAATGGGATGGAAAGGAAGAAGTTTTTTCTCCAATTYAWKGCTGTTTTTATTGCTGTTTAAGGAGCTCCATTGGCTGCMRTTCATTTTCYTATCCCAATTCAAGGTGCAGGTTCTTACCTACAAAGYCCTGAACGGTTTGGGACCCGCCTACCTGCGTGACCGCATTTCTGTTTAYGAACCCRCACAATCTCTTTGATMATCTGGAGAGGCYCTGYTCTCGCTCCGGCCCCCTTYGCAGGYGCGATYGGTGSGGACGAGGGAGAGGGCCTTCTCKATGGTGGCCCCCCGACTCAGGAACTCACTCCCCAAGGATATCAGACAAGCCCGCACATTGGCAGTCTTTAGAAGGAGCCTGAAAACGTGGCTGTTCCAGTGTGCCTTCCCTGAATAAAGGAAACAATGCCCTGCTCTGACCAGTTCCCTGCAAAATGTCCTCAGAAGCACTTTAACTACCCACTGGGTTGCTCTCCCTACATTATCCTTTAAAACCCTCTGCTTAGACACATCCTACCTCTGTTCACGCTCAGTATTTATTTTAAAATTTTAATGTATTACATCTGGCCCGGCCTTAAGGTTTTTAAATTTTTGTGTGTTACTGTTTATATCTGAGGTATATTAATTATATCGTTTTATTTGCTTACTGCTTTGTTGTTTTACTAATGTGTTGTTGGGCTTGGACTCATGTAAGCTGCCCTGAGTCTCCTTGGGGAGATAGTGGCAGGATATAAATAAATAAATAAAGATTATTATTATTATTATTATTATTATTATTATTATTATTAATGTGATATTCAAGAGCAGGTTCCATATTAGATGATTCTAATATATTACAATATATTATATATCCAGATATATTACAAGTAAGCTAGTAGCTAAACAGGCTGCAGAAGTGTCATAAAGTTAAAAGCCATTTCTATCCAACCCTTTTCTCTTCCCAAAGGCGGTCAAGAGGTCCCACCGACGCCTGGGCTTGGCTCAAAAACTGATGGATCAAGCCTCGCGTGCCATGATTGAGAACTTCAATGCCAAGTATGTCTCACTCCATGTGCGCAAGAGGTAAGCATTTCTGCATTTGGCTTCCCTAGCATTAAATGCCTCCCACAGAAGCAAACCACAAGTATACTAATTCTACTCTTGCCTGTCACCTCCTGGCCAAGTTACTGCAACAGTGCCGCCCGTTCTAGCATTCTGTTCTTTTTTGTCGGTTCAGATAAACTTCACTTCCTGTGGAACGGCACTAACCCTGTTGGTTCAGTGCACCTAGCATTTTACAGTATTGTCTGAGTGTGAAAACAGTGGGTGAGGGGGGAAACACTATTCAAGTGGAGAAACTGTGTGCAAGGAGGCCTTTTCCATGTGAATGGTATGGAAAAGACTTCTACAATAGGCAAGGACTTCCTTTTCAGAAAAGGTGGATCCTTATTATGCTTTTCAGTGCATGTGGAAGAAGATACTGAATCAGCCTCTTGGAGTTGTGCACAGAGGAACTTCTTGTCTGCTACTGCTCTGTGCCTTTCCATCTATCCGGTGCTCTTGCCACATATATTGAAGTAGAGTCCAATATTCATTTGGCTTACATCTCCCAGGATTCCTTCCTTCTGGAATTCTGTGATCACAACTGTCTTACCAAGGCCTCTTAACCCTGTTTGGTTCTATGTAAAATCATTCTCTGTGTCATTCCTTTGCACCCAGATGGACTTTGCAACAGGACTGGGGAACACTAGCTGTGGGTCTTTTCATAGACATGTAATGTCTTACTAATAGTATGCCCTCCCTATTGAAGTGAGAACAGCCCCATCCTTCCCCCCTTTATAAAAGACCTTAAAACTCATCTATACTCCATAGCCTATGGAGGAGCAGGTGAATATTGGAAAAAAAATGCGCCCTCTTGACTGCCTTCTTATTAAGGGATAACACAGTGTATGACTACTTCATGCCTGTATATCTCTATATTATTTTGATTTTGCATTTTATGTATTTTGCTCATTTTGTTGTGTTTTGTGTTATATTGCTTGTATTGTATCGATGGGTGTGGCCTCATGTAAGCTGCACCGAGTCCCCCTGGGGGAGATGGAGCGGGGTATAAATAAAGTATTATTATTATTATTATTATTATTATTATTATTATTATTATTATGTCTGGCCCTCTGGTTGCCATTGAAACCTAGTTCCCATCAGCCTTAATGAGCACAGTCAGGGGTGAAGCCACATCAGAAAGGCAACTCTTTCCGTATCCGTCCATAACAAACAAACAAAAGGTTCTTGTGGGTTTTTTCGGGCTATAGGGCCATGTTCTAGAGGCATTTCTCTGAGGATGCTTGCCATAGATGCAGGCGAAACGTCAGGAGAAATGCCTCTAGAACATGGCCCTATAGCCCGAAAAAACCCACAAGAACCTAGTGATTCCAGCCATGAAAGCCTTCAACAAAACAAACAAAACTTTATTTATATACTACTCTATCTCCCCGAGGGGACTCAGAGCAGTTTCCAAGTAACATCATCAATACATACAGAGTAAACAACATAGATAAAAAATAACAAAACAATATAAACATGAAATTGTATAATATAAGCATGAAATTGTATAATATAAGCCTGAAATTGTATAATATACTAGCTGTCCCCTGCCACACGTTGCTGTGGCCCAGTCTGGTGATCTGGAAAATAAAGTAATGAGAAAGTGTTGGTTTCTAATATATGTAATTTCTTTCTGCTTGTGGGTAAACAGTATTTCTTGCTTTTTCTTTGTCAGTGTTGATGTGGAGAGTATCTGGTTTGCCCACCCTGGAACATGCAAAATATCATTGTCTTTCTTTAAGGGTCCCTTTCAAATCTATGATACTATATCTGTGTGTGTGTATGAATCATATCTATCTATCTATTTATCTATATCTATGGCTGGATGGCTCTTTGTTAGGAGGATTTTGATTATGTTTTCTTGCTCTGCTGAAGGGATTTGGACTGGATGGCCTTAAGTATTTTCTGTTGGTCATAGGGGTTCTGTGTAGGAAGTTTGCCCCCATTCTGTCGTCCGTGGGTTCAAAATGCTGTTTGATTGTAGGTGAACTATAAATCCTAGTAACTACAACTCCAAAATGTCAAGGTCTATTTCCCCCAAACTCAATCTGTGTTCAAATTTGGGCGTATTGAGTGCTTGTGCCAAGTTTGGTCCAGATCCATCATTGTTTGAGTCCACAGTGCTCTCTGGATGTAAGTGAACTACAACTCCCAAACTCAAGGTCAATGCCCAATAAACCCTTCTAGTGTTGTCTGTTGTTCATGGGAGTTCTGTGTGCCAAGTTTGGTTCAATTCCATCGTTGATTGAGTTCAGAATGCTCTTTGATTGTGGGTGAACTATAAATTCCAGCAACTACAACTCCCAAATGACAAAATTATAATTTTTGAGTGATGATCACTCCTTGTGTTGTGAGATGTATTTCGTTCATTGGTTCTTTTGTTTTTAAGGTATTCATTATGCACAGAGCATTTATATATATAAATTTATTTATATATTTTATATATATATATAGTACAATAGTACATATATATTAAAAGTAATCCTGCCTGTTCAAGTCAATTTAAAAAGCCGGGCCGAGGCTAGTACAACACTTGTTCCTTAGAATAGATTACCAAAGGAGAAACAGTGTGGGGCATGTGAAAAATGTTGATGTCATTGCTGTGTCCAAAGACCAAAGCTACATACCCAGCCCTTTTTTACCATCTTCTCTTTTTCTCTTGTATTGCAGCAACCGGGCGGCCCTACATCTTTATTCCAATACTCTCAATTTCCAGTGAGTATCATGGCCAGTGGCAGTTATGGTTGCAGTATGATGGGGTCCTTAGACCAAGGGTGGGCTGACTTCAGGTTTGCAGGATATACTCTTTTTTGTTTTGCACAAATCGTGCCTCAGGCGGACACTATAAAATCTCAGGCCAGTCATTTGTGTTGATTGCCAGAAGTGACCTACTTCCAGGCTTTCTTACCTATGCAAACATTATTTGTTTTGGTAGTACTGTCAGCCTTCTACATTACTACATTACTAGGTTCAATTAACAGGGCAGAAATTGGAGCTGAACTAAGAATAATTCTTCGCCTAGAAAGAAGATAGAAAGAACAACCTTAAAGACTGGGTGAAATTATAAAATATATGACAATCGCCAAACAACTGTGGTGATAGGCTGAAAAGAGCATAGGAAATGGGAAGTTTAAAAATGGTTCACGTATTTAGCAGATTTTATTCTCCAGGATTACATCCTTGAAAGAAGAACTAAATATACATCAGACCAAATAAAGATGAAGTGGGATCTGAAATGGGGAAGATTGATAGAGGAAAAGGAAAATACAAAAAAACTGAACCATACGCTCTCCACAATCGATCAATTAAAATAATATTTGAACAAGGAAAAGGAATGTTCCTGTAGGAGAGGGGGGAGGGAGGTGAGTCATATTGTTAGGCACTTGTAGAAGATAAACATGGAATTGGCAATGTTAAGAAAATTAAGTAAATAGTATGCTGTTTGTACTATGAAATTGTTACTGAAATTGTCATTATTCTACCTGTGTTTAGAAATTTTAAATCTATGTAAAAAAATGCTGAGGTTAGGGTTGCAGGACCTCCCTGCGAACGTGGAGGAAACATGAATTAAAAGCCCACTTTTTATTTGAAAAAACAACTCTTTAAGAATCTCAAAGTTCTCAAGTGCAACTTTATGGTCCTCTTCCCTAAAATATTATGCTTAGTTAATTTAGATTTTGGATATCTCTAAAAAATGTGAAATACCTTTCTCGGGTAATTTCCCCCTCAAAGGATATTAGAGAAATAGAAAGTTATCCCCTAACGTTAAGTCTAGTCGTGTCTGACTCTGGAGGGTGGTGCTTATCTCCATTTCTAAGCCGAAGAGCCTGTGTTGTCCTTATACACCTCCAAGGTCAGGTGGCCAGCATGACTGCATGGAGCACTGTTACCTTCCCGCCAAAGCAGTATCTATTGTCCTCTCATTTGTATGTTTTCGAACTGCTAAGTTGGCAGAAGCAGGGCCTAACAGCGGGAACTCACCCGCTCCCTGGATTCAAACCGCCAACCTTTTAGCCAGCAAGTTCAGCAGCTCAGTGGTTTAACCTGCTGCACCACAAGGGGGAAATACTTGTGCAATATGTTTAGACTCCAGGAGACTAGGGGCCAAATCCCAGTCAAGACATGGAAACTTACTGGTTGATTCTCGGCTTCCTCTCAGAGGAAGGCAAAAGCACACTCCTCTGAAATCCATGACTAACAGGGAATTTGAACTGAGGGCTTTACTGCTTGCATTCCTACTTAACAGCACTGCACCAACGTACTACACTGTGAGCAAACTTGAAGCAGGATTGTGGGATTTGGCCATGTTTGCTCTCCAAATAAATCTTGCTTGCTGTTTCCAACAGGATCAGTGAAGTGGAGCCTAAATACTATGCTGATGGGGAAGATGCATACGCTATGAAACGTGACTTGACACAGATGGCGGAGGAGGTGAGCACAGAGCCGTAAGCCTTCAGCATACAGGAAGTGTGTGTTTCCTCTTTACACCCCATATTCTGGCAGAGCTGCAGAATGTCTCAAAAAAGGCATTTTCTTGGATGTCAAAAAAGGACATCTAGTCCGTCTCCTGTCAGAGCAGGGCTTTAACAACATCCTACATTAATGGCATTGAAAATGTTTGTTGGCCAGGCCAGGCTCTTGACCATTCAATTCTGAGTTTCCTAGAGATGAACAGGGTAGACAAAAAAAGAAATGGAAGGAAACTGAAGCTCTCTGCTGGCTTTCTCCAGCAACTCCATGTTTAGTTTTGCTCTTCTCTAGCATCCAGAGACTTTTGGATTAGGAATGACGCCTTTCACAAAATGTTCTGTTACTGTGAGCATGGCCATTCACAAGACACCAAGTTTCTCCTCCATAAAAAAGAAAGAAAACCGAAGAAGACAAATTAATTAAGTTCAAGCCTAAAATGGAGTTTGAACTCAAAAATGTAGATCTGCTTTTGAAAACTAGATTCCCTCATGAGTGCAATGCATAACCTTTTAACTCTGCTCTTGAAAAATACTCTAAATGTGGCAACTGATGTTGTCCCTCCACATTTTTGTTTTTGACTTTTGCAGATTTGATTTCATTCATGGATTTGATTTAAAACGTTTCCTCGCAAAAATCTATAGATCTGCCTATGTGACTCTATGGTCAATTTCCTTCAGGTCATACTGGAGGAGCTAGACATTTCGTAATCAAATCTGTGAACAGTCAAAACTGCAAAAGTCAAAAACAAAAATATGGAAGGTCATCTACATTAATATTAAACGATAGCTGGCATGTTAGTCAAATAGTGATTCTGAAGTCAGCTCCCAGTGGATGCTAACTGTAGAGTTATGCTTAGCTGTTCAAACAAAGCGTTTGTATCTCATTAATTGAACCCAAAGACTTAAGATTTTTTAGTCTGCTATAAATCATGTTGTTTACAATTTTTTGTCAGAAATATTAAATATTAACTAGGTATTTTTATTACAAAAGTGTGAGTCCATCACTGAAAGAGTCAGTGGGCCAAAGCTAGTGTCGTTCTGAGGAGAGTTAGTAGGCTGAAACCTTGTTAGAGTCAGTGGGCCAAAGCTAGTGTCGTTCTGAGGAGAGTTAGTAGGTTGAAGCCTGTTAGAGTCAGTGGGCCAAAGCTATTCTTTTTCTGAGGAGAGTTAGTAGGCCGAAGCCTGTTAAGAATTAGTGGGCCAAAGCTAGCGTTGTTCTGAGGAGGGTTAGTAGGCTGCAGCCTGTTAGAGTCAGTGGGCCAAAGCTATTCTTTTTCTGAGGAGAGTTAGTAGGCCGAAGCCTGTTAGAGTCAGTGGGCCAAAGCTAGTCTCGTTCTGAGGAGAGTTAGTAGGCCGAAGCCTGTTAAGAGTTAGTGGGCCAAAGCTATTCTTTTTCTGAGGAGAGTTAGTAGGCCGAAGCCTGTTAGAGTCAGTGGGCCAAAGCTAGTGTCGTTCTGAGGAGAGTTAGTAGGCCGAAGCCTGTTAGAGTTGGTGGGCCAAAGCTAGTCTCGTTCTGAGGAGAGTTAGTAGGCCGAAGCCTGTTAGAGTAGGTGGGCCAAAGCTTGTCTCGTTCTGAGGAGAGTTAGTAGGCCGAAGCCTGTTAGTCAGTGGGCCAAAGCTGGTGTTTTTCTGAGGAGAGTTAGTGAGCCGAAGCTGGTGTCATTCTGAGGAGAGATAATAGGCCGAAGCCTGTTACGAGTCAGTGGGCCAAAGCTAGTGTTTTTCTGAGGAGAGTTAGTAGACTGAAGCCTGTTAGAGTCAGTGGGCCAAAGCTAGTCTCGTTCTGAGGAGAGTTAGTAGGCCGAAGCCTGTTAGAGTCGGTGGGCCAAAGCTAGTCTCGTTCTGAGGAGAGTTAGTAGGCCGAAGCCTGTTAGAGTCGGTGGGCCAAAGCTAGTGTCGTTCTGAGGAGAGTTAGTAGGCCGAAGCCTGTTAGAGTAGGTGGGCCAAAGCTTGTCTCGTTCTGAGGAGAGTTAGTAGGCCGAAGCCTGTTAGTCAGTGGGCCAAAGCTGGTGTTTTTCTGAGGAGAGTTAGTGAGCCGAAGCTGGTGTCATTCTGAGGAGAGTTAGTAGGCCGAAGCCTGTTAGAGTCGGTGGGCCAAAGCTAGTCTCGTTCTGAGGAGAGTTAGTAGGCCGAAGCCTGTTAGATTAGGTGGGCCAAAGCTAGTCTCGTTCTGAGGAGAGTTAGTAGGCCGAAGCCTGTTAGAGTAGGTGGGCCAAAGCTAGTCTCGTTCTGAGGAGAGTTAGTAGGCCGAAGCCTGTTAGTCAGTGGGCCAAAGCTGGTGTTTTTCTGAGGAGAGTTAGTGAGCCGAAGCTGGTGTCATTCTGAGGAGAGTTAGTAGGCCGAAGCCTGTTAGAGTCGGTGGGCCAAAGCTAGTCTCGTTCTGAGGAGAGTTAGTAGGCCGAAGCCTGTTAGAGTAGGTGGGCCAAAGCTTGTCTCGTTCTGAGGAGAGTTAGTAGGCCGAAGCCTGTTAGTCAGTGGGCCAAAGCTGGTGTTTTTCTGAGGAGAGTTAGTGAGCCGAAGCTGGTGTCATTCTGAGGAGAGATAATAGGCCGAAGCCTGTTACGAGTCAGTGGGCCAAAGCTAGTGTTTTTCTGAGGAGAGTTAGTAGACTGAAGCCTGTTAGAGTCAGTGGGCCAAAGCTAGTCTCGTTCTGAGGAGAGTTAGTAGGCCGAAGCCTGTTAGAGTCGGTGGGCCAAAGCTAGTCTCGTTCTGAGGAGAGTTAGTAGGCCGAAGCCTGTTAGAGTCGGTGGGCCAAAGCTAGTCTCGTTCTGAGGAGTGTGTTTTTTACAGTCTGCTTTAACTCACGTTGTTTGCAATGTTTTTAGCTTGTTTAAAGTATCTTACTGGTTTAAACCTGTTTATTGCTGTTTTTAAGCTACCTCTTTATATCGAGTGGGGGTAAATAATTGCCAAATAAATATCAGGAAAGAGTTTTGTGGCACTGTCTCATCTCAATCCCCTGTCCCCTTCCTCCTGACAGTCACCAAATAAAATGAGCGCCTTTTCTTCATAGCTCCGGCGGCAGGTGGAACTGAAAGAGAAGAGCAAGCACTCTGTTCTGGGTTCCATCGAGAACAAGGGTGGCGACCATAAGGCCAACCACGTGGGCGACTGCTGCCGGGACGACAAATGCCCAGGAGCTGTGGCGGGCGGTGGGACCGGGGCTGAAGACAGCGGGGACAGCAAGGACGTCAGTGAGGTCAGCGAAGCCACAGAGAGCACGGATGTCAAGGACAGCTCAGAAGCATCTGACTCAGCCTCATAGCCTCATTTTCTACTGATTTTTTTCTCCAGCTGAAGGACTGCTGGTCCTTAAGAGGACTGTGACCCTACAGATGGATTGGAAATAAAGCTTGTGGAACCAATGACTGGCTTGTGTCAGTGTGGTGAGAGTGTCTTGTGAGAGAGATCCCCGTGATTCTGGTGTAAGGAAGGGCAGGCGTGAAGCACATGTCTGGAGCCTCTTTCTCTGCCTCTTCATGTTGGGAGAGCTCTGTAGTTCTGTGCCCTTCCACCGCCTGGCATCTGTTGCTGCCCAGTTGAGATGAGAAAGAGACTCTGACCCCTTCTATACTGCCATATAATCCAGATTATCAAAGCAGATAATCCACATTATCTGCTTTGAACTAGATTATATGAGTCTACATTGCCTTATAATCCAGTTCAAAGCATATAGCCTGCATTTTATTTGGCAGTGTAGAAAAGCCTCAGACTATGGAGGTTCCATTTGGTTTTGGATTTGGGGGAAAAGTAGGAGAGTGCACTCCCAAATAGAACCTATCTGACTTTTATTTCCATCGGGAACGCAGAGCAGTCTGATCTTCATAGTCTAAATTTCCTCTCCCTCCTAGTAAGGAGGAGTCACAGCGGGTACCCCTCCTCCCAGGGTTTGGGTTTTTGGGTAGAGTGCATGGGGATGAGAATTAGCATTAGTGTCTTGCCCAAAAAGGGAATGATGCACCTGTTGAGCTGTTCCTCTTAGACCCCTTCTACACTGCAGAATGTCTGCTTTGAACTGGATTATATGGTAGTGTAGACTCAAAATCCAGTTCAGAGCAGATAATAAGGGTTACCTGCTTTGATAGGTAAAGTCTGGGTTATATGGCAGTGTAGAAGGAGCCTTTGAACTAGCATGATGTAGGTTTGAGGGTCAAACTTGGACTCTGAAGACCAAGGTTCAAATCCCTATTTAGCTATGGAAACCTACTAGGTGACCTTGGGCAAGTGACACTGTCTCAGCAAGGGCAATCCCTATCTAAACAAATCTTGCCAAGAAACCCAGTAATAGGTTTGCTTTAGGGTCACTCTTAGTCAGAAAAGACTCGAAGGTACAAAATAGCAACATGTTTGTGTAAGTTGCTAACAGATTGTTCACCAGTGTCTCCCTCTGTTATTGGCACTGGTTGAACTAGCCTTCCAGATGTTTCACACCTAGTTCCTATCAGTCCATTTAGTTCGAAACTGTGGAAGTTCAACAACACATGAAAGATACCACAAGTGTCCCACTTCTCATAAAGTCAGAGTCTCTCTGGCAGCATAGCCAGTGACCATGCTGAGTTTTGAATTTTTCCAAGCTGCATTAGCTGGATTGCTGTGAGTTTTTCAGACTGTATGGCCATGTTCCATTAGTATTATCTCAGTGGTTGTCAACCTGTGGGTCCCCAGATGTTTTGGCCTATAATTCCCAGAAATCCCAGCCAGTTTACCAGCTGTTAGGATTTCTGGTAGTTTGGGGGGGGTGTTTTATATAAGATGATGACTCAAGACATTTCAGTGGATGCAGGACATGAGAGAAGCCTCCCACAAGGATGATAAAAACATCAAATCATCCGGGCGTCCCCTGGGCAACGTCCTTGCAGACGGCCAATTCTCTCACACCAGAAGTGACGTGCAGTTTCTCACGTCGCTCCTGACATGACAAAAAAAAAGTGGACGCAGAAGAAAAATTACCCAGGTTCTCTATCCCATTTCTCTGAGGTTGTTGTTTTTGTTGTTTTTGCTAAAAGAGAAATCCAGAGAAGGGTGAACTGCAAGAATGTGAGGGAGATGTAAATCTTCATGTGCTGCTTTAAAGGGACATTAAAGACAGCAAACTAAAGTAGTCCTTGAGTGATGACTATGCTGCTCCTAATGCTTGTGCAGCATTCTGTCTTATCTAATGTACAATCCGCCTGGGAGGTGGAGAACAAGTGCAGACAGGAAGCAGAGAATGTGAATGTTACCAGCAGGAAAATCTGCCTGTTCAGCAAGCCTTGCAAATGGTGCAATACAATGGAGTCCCTTATGTAATGAGGCAAAAATCGAGGTTTGCTTTTTGAGGTTTTAAACATATTTACAAGCTGTGCGTGGTGGAATCTGGATTACTTACTTAGGCGATCTCTCATAGCTTGAGGATGTCTTCCAGATGTGGTGTCTTGGCGGGAAGTCCATAGGTGGCTGTGGAGCCCTATTCGTGATCTGCATCTTCTCCCGCAGTGAGGACATCGGTTTCCAGACAGAAGGTGGTCCCGGTCAGGGTTGGCTTGATGTGCCCTCCTCTTGGCACATTTCTCCCTTTTACCCTCCATTCGTGCCTCTTCCAGTTCTACAGCACTGCAGGTCACAGCTGACCTCCAGCTAAAGTGCTCAGAATCTGAATACAGATACAGTGACTACTTGGGATGACTGGACTCTATCCTATTCTGATCTAAGCAGAGCTAAGCAAAGTAAATACTGATAACGCTATGTAACACAATTTTGGTTCCTAGATTATAAATGTCATTTCCTAATTGGCTCTATCATAAAAACATGAGAAAAGTTTATGAAACTGTTTTTGCTAGATCCTGCAGCACATTTTGCTACAGTTTTTCAATGAATTTCTCATCCAGTCTCAACTAATTCAATCTAGTTTGTGGCAGTCACAAAAATGAAGTAAACATTTACATAAGTTTCGGTGATTCAGTGCATTGCTCTAGATTGGACTAACAACAACAACAACAACAACAACAATTTTTATTTGTACCCCGCTCCATCTCCCCGATGGGGACTCGGTGTGGCTTACATGAGGCCAAGTCCAAAACAACAATTACATGAAATAAAACGAAACCAAAAACGCAAATAATAATGCAATTACATAAAACAAAAGACAACATAGCAATATAAAATTACAATAAACACAATCACGGTAACATGGGCGAACAATTGGATTTAGTTGAAGGCTTTCATGGCTGGAATCACTGGGTTGATGTAAGTTTTTTGGGCTGTATGGCCATGTTCCAGAAGCACTCCCTCCTGACGTTTCACCTGCATCTATGAAGTTTCTGGAGTATAGCAACAATTATGCAAGAAATAACACTTTCCAACCAGGAATTTATTTATTTATTTACTTACTATATTTATATATCACCCCTTTCAGCCCACAGTCAACATCAAAGACATAAAATACAATTAAAACAGTTAATTTAAATATAGATCCCCCCCCCCAAATTTTGGTACACAATGTTAGTATTTGGATGGAAAACTGCCAGTGAATTCTAGGTGGTGTGACCTGTATTTCTGAGGAAGGAACTGGCAAAACCACTTTTGAGTATTTGTCGCCTAAGAAATCCTTATTAATAGGCCCCATCAACACTGCCGCCTCATACTATGCAATTAAACCGCCTTGAAGTGCATTGTATGAATTTACACTGTTTATATAATACAGTTTTAAAGCGAGACATATGGCAGTGTAGATGGGGCCTCCTCATCTAAATCCACAAGCGCCCTCTATTGCTCCCATGGATTCAGGAAATAAACAGTCTCTCCACGTTCTAAGTTTCCTCCTTCTCGTTCTCCGATTGGCTGCAGTCAGAGTTCGGTCGGCGCTGATTGGAGGCGGCGCGGTGCTCCGTTCTTCCTTCTGACGCAGACTCGAAGGTAGCAAAAGGACTTCACGGGCCGGGAGGCGACATCTCATCATGAGCGAAGCTCAGCTTCTGACCCGGGAGGAGGCCTTGCGCCTGGGGTCGCCCCAGTGGAAGCACGCCTGCCACGTCCTCCTCTACGCACCCTGCCCCGGACGCCTCTTTGGGAAATTCCCGCTGCGTTATGCCGTCTTGGTGAGACAGGGCTGGGTGGTGGATGGCCATCTGTCAGGGGTGATTTGAATGCAATATTTCTGCTTCTTGGCAGGGCGTTGGACTGGATGGCCCATGAGGTCTCTTCCAACTCTTTGATTCTATGATTCTATGGTGGTGAGGAATGAAATCCTTGAGGTGCATCTACATTGCAGAAATAATGCCGTTTGATACCACTTTAAAGTTCCACGTTGGAACCCTATGGAATCCTGGGGGTGGTCGTTTTGAGCCTTTTCTGCCCCAGAGTAGTGATATCTCACCAAACTTACAAATCCTGGGATCCTACAGCATCGAGCCATGGCAATTAAAGTGGCGCCAAACCTTATTATGTAGTGTAGATGCAACTTCAAGTACAGTTAACCTGAAACGTGTTTCAATGCCCAGTAGTAGTACGGTAAAGATAAAGGTAAAGGATTTCCCCTGACATTAAGTCCAGTCGTGTCCGACTCTGGGGTGTGGTGCTCATCTCCATTTCTAAACCGAAGAGCCGGCGTTGTCCATAGACACCTCCAAGGTCATGTGGCCGGCATGACTGCAAGGAGCGCCGTTACCTTCCCACTGGAGTACCTATTGATCTACTCACATTTGTATGTTTTCGAACTGCTAGGTTGGCAGAAGCTGGGGCTGACAGCGGAAGCTCACACCGCTCCTCGGATTCGAACCTGTGACCTTTCGGTCTACAAGTTTGACAGTTCAGCAGTTTAATCCACTGCGCCACCGGTGGTACAGGGTATCCCAAAAGTCTCCATACATCGGGAAAATGGGAAGTTACAGCTAAATGTACTTTTATTTACAAAAGAGTCATGTTCATTACAGAATTGTATTATCTGTGTGTTGGCCACATAATCAAAATACATTTAAAAATTATATTTTAATAAATCCATCCTCACATGAAGTCAAATATTAAAAAATATATAATATAATATAATATAATATAATATAATATAATATAATATAATATAAATGCAATACACATTTTTGCCTATTTATGCAGACTTTTGGGGCAAACAGAAGTACCGTATTTTCCTCTCCTGCATCCCACTTCTGATCTGATCCCTTGTTTTGTTTTCTTCCATCTGCTCTGCAGTTGAGAATTCATTGAGGCCCCTTCTACTCTGCCATTTAATCCAGATTCTCAGAGTAGATAATCCACATTATCTGCTTTGAACTGGGTTATATGAATCTACACTGCAATATAATTCAACTCAAAGCAGATAATCTGCATTTTGTATGGTAGTTTGGAAAGGTTCTTGGTTAATTCAGGCTCTCCACCTGAAGAAGAAGAACTTTATTTTTCTACCCCTCCTCCATCTCCCCAAGGGGACTCGGGTGGTTTACATGGGGCCAAGCCCAGGCAACATACTTATTAAAAGCAAAACAACAGCAAGTTACAAATTAAAATGACACAGAACAGCATAACAGTAATAAACAAGCATCAAGCAACAGCAACCCTATTTACCTTGATTAAAAAGTAAATAGTTCAATAAGGTGGAAAGGAAAATAAATGATAATTACCTTAATAATATAACAACCTGAATCCCAATTAGTGGTCATACTGAGTCAACAAGACTGCTTTGTGTATACACCCCATTTAACCATTGATTCAATGGCTTGACACTAGTTGGGAGTATCCCATAAGATTTAGGTCTGTTTAGAGTCGGACACGACTGGACTTAATGTCAGGGGAAAACCTTTACCTTTACCTATACATCTGAGATGGAGATATCATAGATAGCTAAACATTTCAGAGGTAAACATTCAAAGACAGTCTGGGATACCAGTGTGTAAAGTGTGAGGAAGCAGACTTGTCCATGAAAACTGATACTACCAACCTTGTCCCTTAATCTCTCAAAGGCGTATGTCCCTTGGCATACCCATCTCTTTCCATACTTATATATTGCTTAGGCCCCTTCCACACAGCTGAATGAAATCCAACATTGTCTGCTTTGAACTGGAATATATGACAATGTCACTTAAATAACCCAGATCAAAGCAGATATTGTAATACAATATAATACTAGTAATAATAATACAATATTATAATTATAAGTATATATTTTATATTACATGTAATATTACTAATAATATTACAATATAATGGTATAGTGCAATATAGTAATATATAATACTGATATTGTACTATGCTAATAATCTAATATATTGTATGAAAATATATCTTGTAAACCTCTCTGAGTCCCCTTCGGGGTGAGAACGGCGGCACGTAAATGTAGTAAATAAATAAATAAATATTGTGGGATTTTCTGCCTTGATATTCTGGGTTATATGGCTGTGTAGTAGGGCCCTTAGCCTAATCCTTTTCCCTGATATGCTAGATTCTTAAATGCAGGGAGGATTCTGATGAGTGTGTTTTAATATGAAGCAGAATACTTGGTGTTAAGGAAGTGCCCTCTGTGAGATACGATGCCATGTATGAAGTTGTCCCTGGCAAAAACATTGGAATGTGTTTAGAGAATAATGGGGGCCTTTAAGCCTATTACCTTATGTAACAAAATTTTAATTTTTTTCCATTCCTGATTCAAAAGTATTATTTTCTGTTTAATTGTGTGGTACTTAACGTTGCAAATAGTTGTTATACACCAGAAACTTTGTTTTTGTGGCTGCCACAAACTCTGTTGAATTGGTTGAGACTCAATGAGATATTCTTTGAAAAGCGACAGCAAAATGTGCTGCAGGATGTCCCACAAAAACAAAGTTTTTGCAGTTTAATAAACTTTTTCATGTTTTTATGATAGAACCAATTAGGAAATGACATTTATGACCCAGGAACGAAAATCGTGTTACAAAGTGTTATCTTGTTTTCTGTGATCCATGTTACTATGATATGAGGAAAAGCTAAAATTGTATAACAAGCTGCTCCTGGTTGTGTAACTTGCTAATTTTTGCATAATTTACACATAATTATGTGTTAAGGTAGCTCCCATAATACATCAGCATTTTCCAGCCCTGGTACACATAGTTTAAAGCATTTGCCTATGTTCTCCATACCTTATATTGAGTTGTGTGTCACCTGCAGTGATACATATTGTTTTTTGTCCATCCTTTGTAACGGTGATCCACTTACTACCACATTTACAAGATTAGTGGGCAAAACAATATCCTGACCTGTTGTCTTACAATGCAGTTGCTATTCAACTTTAATTGTCATGACTCAGTACTGTGGAATCCTGGGATTTGTAGTTTGGTCAGAGACTGCCACTCTTTGGCGGAGAAAAGTAAATATTTTTTTAAACTACAACTTCTAGGATTCCATAGCATTGACCCATGGTGGTTGAAGTGGTGTCAAACTGCATTCATTTAACAGTATACATTCACCCCAAGATGCTCAAGGCCAGCCAAAATGCACTGAGAAGGTGTATCCTACCACTGCTAAGGGATTAGTGGTACAGAGATCCACCCTTAGGATCCCACAAATAGTGTTGCACATCCAGGGAGCAACTGTGAATATGAACTCTCATTGCTTTCATATGTATTGTCACAAGTTGCAGAGGCTGGCAATTGCAGGAAATAATAGTTTGCATGTTTCCTTAATCTTTGTGCCCTAAACCCAATTGGTTGCTGTAAGTTTTCCAGGCTATATGGCCATGTTCCAGAAGCATTCTCTCCTGATGTTTCATCTGCATCTATGGCAGGCATCATCAGAGGTTGTGACCTCTGAGGATGCCTGTGATAGATGCAGGTGAAATGTCAGGACAGAATGCTTCTGGAACATGGCCATACAGTCTGAAAAACTTACATCAACCCAGTGATTCCGGCCATGAAAGCCTTCAACTAAATTCAATTGTTAGTCCAATCTAGAGCAGTGCACTAAATCACTGGAACTTATGTAAACGTTTACTTACTAAGTTCCCTTTGATTCAGTGGGTCTGTTCGAAGTAGGGCTAACTATTGGATTTGTGTGTGTTGGGTGTAAGCCCTGCTGGACTGAAGTGAAGGGTATGCATTTGGGTGACTTGAGTTATGCAACTGACTCCCCCCCCCCCACAACTTTTTTTTTATTTATAGATGCAGATGCGGTTTGATGGCCGCCTGGGCTTTCCAGGTGGGTTTGTGGACCCAGAGGATGTCTCCTTGGAGGAGGGTCTGAGTAGGGAGCTCCATGAAGAGTTGGGCCCAGCGGCTGCTTTGCTGCAAGTGACTGAACAGGATCATCTGAGCGCCTGTACATCTGAGAAGCCCCAGCGAGTGGTGGCTCATTTTTACATCAAGCAGCTGAGCCTGGAGGAGCTTCAAGCCCTGGAGGAGAAGGCCACTCAGGCCAAAGACCACGGATTAGAGGTACAGAAAGGTGCCAGGGTTTGGAGGAGAAGGACAGGTCTGTCTACCTTCTGTCTTAAGGCTATCATCATATATGCATCGAGCTGAAAGTGCATCTCATTGAATTAAGTAGAGTGCTCTGAGTAGGGTGTGGCATGACCTTGTCCATAACGTAAAATTCTGCACCAATTGTATCTTGAGTACATTGTGTAATTTCTTAACGTGAATGAAGACCTCATCTGGTCTCTTAGTATCTACTGGGATATGGTTCCCGGTGAATATCAAAATCTGTGGATAACACTAGCCAACAAACATGTTGGTGCCTCAATTTTTTTGTCTGTTTCTGGGTATATTTGACCTGCTGAATCCAAAGATTGCACCAGTTTTCCTCCTTTTTTTGTCGTGTCAGGAGCGACCTTAGAAATTGCAAGTTTTTTGGTGTGAGAGAATTGGCCGTCTGCAAGGACGTTGCCCAGGGGACGCCAGGATGTTTTGATATTTTACCATCATTGCGGGAGGCTTCTTTCATATCCCTGCATGAAGAGCTGGATCTGATAGAGGGAGCTCATCCGCGCTCTCCCTAAATTCGAACCTGTCGGTCTTCGGTCCTGCCGGCACAGGGGTTTAACCCACTGCGCCACCAGGGGCTGATAGTTTTCCTCTATCAGCTCTAGTTTTTGAGATGCAGAACATATAGCATCTACCAATTTTCATCTGCTTGCCTGTAAGAAACTATGATAACTGAATTGCTGTGTGTTTTCCAGGCTGTATGGCCATGTTCCAGAAGCATTCTCTCCTGATGTTTCCCCATCTATGGCAGGCATCTCAGAGGTTGTAAAAGACCTCACAACTCTGAAGATGCCTGCCATATGTGGGTGAAACATCAGGAGAAAATGCTTCTGGAACATGGCCATACAGTCCAGCAAACTCACAACAACCCATTGATTCCAGCCATGAAAGCCTGTGACAATAAACCATGATGACCATTTTTAAAAGACTAGAGCTAACGTGTTCTATTCAATGCAATTTCTGAATCAGTGTCCCAAGTAACCCCAGGAACCGGACTAAAAAACAAGACACAGGTCTAAAAAACAAGATATAATTTGGCAAAAATCAAGGCTACCTTTTTTAGAACGTTAAAAATACTGTATATATTTTCAAGCTGCGGAGAATTGACTCCATGGAAGTGGAATCTGGATATGGAGAACCGGCTGTCTCTTGCACATCTTTACTGTGGCCTTATGGGGAGGGTAGTACGGAGGCTACCACCAGTATCTCATCTTCAGTAGTGGAAGGCATGCTCAAAACTCTTTCCATACTGGAGACTAGGGCTCAATGGAGCAATGGCTTCAAACTACAAGAAAGGAGGTTCCATCTGAACATGAGGAAGAACTTCCTGACTGTGAGAGCGTTCAGCAGTGGAACTCTCTGCCCTGGAGTGTGGTGGAGGCTCCTTCTTTGGAAGCTTTTAAACAGAGGCTGGATGGCCATCTGTCAGGGGTGCTTCGAATGCATCCTGCTTCTTGGCAGGGGGTTGGACTGGATGGCCCGTGAGGTCTCTTCCAACTCTTTGATTCTTGCCCATACATTTTCAGTATATGTTTGGAAACCATAGGGACTAAAAGCTGGGGCTGCGAAGGAAAGGCTGAAGATGAAGTTCTCAGGAGTTGAATTGTGTGCCTAGCTGTGTTGATATGTGCTTTTTCTTATTGCTAAATTCATGTAGTTGTACTGTACGTTTAGTCATCTTGAGTAGAGTCATGGTGACACTGTTCTTCTGAGCTGAGCAGGTCTCTGGTTTGGATGTTGTGACCTTACATTTCCTCCCTTCTTTTCTTGCTTCACTCAGGTTATGGGTCTCCTCCGTGTCCCCCTCTATACCCTACGGGACGGTGTTGGAGGCCTCCCTGCTTTCCTTACAAACACTTTCATTGGTAATGCCCGGGAGCAGCTGATTCACTCCCTGGACACCTTGCAGCTGGTGCCAAGAGAGCAACTTCAGAAAGCTGTGAACATGGCCCAGAAGAGACCTTGAGTTTCATTGGATAGCTTTGTTGCCCTCTTGCCCTGAATGGCTCCATGATGGGATCACGGAAGAACATTAAACTCCTGCAGGTGAAGAGTGTGGGAACAGATCTAGAAAGGATCTTTTCTGTTTTCTCACCTCCCTGGAATGGCTGGGTGTCTTGGAAGGGAGTCTTTCAAGGCAGATGGCTCTGGACAGAGATTTTGTCATCTGGATTGTTTTGCATTTGCTTTGTCAATGGTGTCTGCCCAACTTGGATCTAAGAAAGTATTTGAAAATTAAAGCAAAATGGTTTACTTCTTACCATGCAAATGAGTGTGATATGGCCCCCTCTTGTGCACATATGTTCACAACAATTTCTTGCACCCAAAGAAAAGTTTACAAATCATACATTTCAGGACTTGGAAGCAATCATTTTTGGACCACAACTCCCAGAATCCCCAGGTAGATTCTAGTAGCTGTGGACCATGGAAAGCCCCTTCCCCAAACTCTGCATGGCTTATGTTTTCCAACTCTTATTTCATGCTACCTTATAGGTTCCAGTGTTTTTGCCAGGGCACCTGGGTTCACGTTCCCTTCACAAGCCTCTAACACAGTCCTCTTGATTTATTATGACTTTATTATTTCACATTTGAAATTTTACCTTCTCATCTTTTACTGGTTCTTGAAGAATGGCTTGATTCATCCTTATGACTCTTGGATCACACACACACATATTGCATTAGATTGTAAGAAATTGGCAAGCAGCCACCATCTCCCTCTGTCCTACTTGTTTTCTCCCCGTTTTTGACAACGTGCTGGCATAAGTGTTGAAATTGTCAGCTGAAGAAAACTGACAACAAATGCACCTTCAGTCAGTGTAGCAGCAAATCGTTAGCAGTGTTGGTGCTGTGAAGCGCTTTAGCTATGTGAACAGGTTTTTAATTGGTTTTAGGTTTCAAATTATATATTGCATTGCTTTTAATGTTAGCCACTTTGGGTCTCTTTTTAAGAGAGGTAAAGTGGGATAGAAATAATAAGAATAAGACACTTGGGAGGTGTCTGATGTGTGATCCAATACAACAGCCAGCATAGTGACCTTGTTTGCTGTGTACTAATCTTGTTATGTTAATAATAATAATAATAATAATAATAATAATAATAATAATAATTCACACAGTCCTAGACGCTTGGGAAGTGTTCGACTTGTGATTTTGTGATACGAAATCCAGCATATAGATCTCGTTTGCTGTGACGTACTGTGCTTTTGTGTCAATAATAATAATAATAAAAGCAAGACGATTGCGCAGACAGACTACAAGCAGAGGCATAACACCGTTGCTCAGATGATTCATTGGAACTTGTGCCACAAATACCATCTGCCTGCGACAAAGAACTGGTGGGATCACAAGCCGAAAAAGTTACAGAGAATGAACATGCCAAACTCCTCTGGGACTTCCGAATTCAGACTGACAGAGTTTTGGAGCACAATACTCCTGACCTCACAATCGTGTTAAGAAACAAAGTATGGATCGTCGATGTTGCAATCCCAGGTGACAGCAGGATTGAAGAGAAACAACTGGAAAAGCTGACACGATATGAGGATTTAAAGATCGAACTGCAAAGACTGTGGCACAAGCCAGTCAAGGTGGTCCCAGTGGTGATCGGCACACTGGGTGCAGTGCTAAATACCTTGGCCTGCACTTAAACACAATCAGCACTGACAAAATTACCATCTGCCAGCTGCAAAAGGCCACCTTACTGGGATCTGCACGGATTATTCACTAATACATCACACAGTCCTAGACACTTGGGAAGTGTTCAACGTGTGATCCAATACAACAGCCAGCAGAGTGTCTGCTGTGGACTCATCTTTTGTTTCAAATAATAATAATAATAATAGGCCAGGCAGGTTAAGCACCACATTTTTCTTGCCATTTGTTATGCATTCTTCATGGCACTGATGTATGATTTCATTTTACAATTGGTTGGAAATTGTGGGAAATGAATAATAGAATCATAGAGTTGGAAGAGATCTCCTTAACGCCATCCAGTCCAGCCCTCTTTTGCCATGCAGGAAAAGACAATAAACGTACTCCCAACAGTTGACCATCCAGACTCTGCTTAAAACTATCCAGAAAAGGAGATGCCACCAGCCTGCGAAGCAGCATATTCCACTTCCAAACAGCTCTTGCTGTCAGGAAGTTCATCCTAATGTACAGGTGGAATCTTTTTTCCTGCGATTTGGATCCGTTACTTCATGTCCTGGTTTCTAGAGCAGCAACAAATAAACTTGCCTCCTACTCAATGAGACATCCCTTCAAATATTTAAACATGGCTATGAAGAACTTCCTGACTGTGAGAGCTGTTCAGCAGTGAAACTCTCTGCCCTGGAGTGTGGTGGAGGCTCCTTCTTTGGAGGCTTTTAAACAGAAGCTGGATGGCCATCTGTCAGGGGTGCTTTGAATGCAATATTCCTGCTTCTTGGCAGGGGGTTGGACTGGATGGCCCACGAGGTCTCTTCCAACTCTAGGATTCTATGATGTCCCCCCTCAGCCTTCTTTTCACCAAGCTAAACATACCCAGCTACCTCAGCTGCACTTTGCAGGGCTTGGTTTCCAGTTCTTGGATCATTTTCTGGCCACATTCCATCTTGCTAATATTCTTCTTGAATTGTGAGGTCCAGAACTGGACACAGTGTTAATCCAGGTGAAGCCTGACCAAAGTAGAATAGAATTGTGGTAAAACAGTACAGTCAGACCCTCACGGTTGTGATTTTATGTATTTATTTATTTACGGCATTTACATGCTGCCCTTCTCACCCTGAAGGGGACTCAGAGCGGCTTACAAGATATATTTTCATACAATACATTATATTATTAGCATAGTACAATATCAGTATTATATATTACTATATTGCACTATAACATTATATTGTAATATTATTAGTAATATTACATGTAATGTAAATATATAATTATAATTATAATATTGAATTATTATTACTAGTATTATATTGTATTACATTATAATATTATAAATATTATATGTATATACAATATACTATATTATATTATTAGTAAAGACAAGATAGAATGGGGAGGGGCCTCCCAACTGATGATATAGGCAGAAGATTTAACTTTCACAGATTTGATTCATATGATCTCTAGATTTTCCGGTGCAATTCTAGGATCAGCTTCCACCAGATATTGACCACAGCGTTGTGCTGAAGGACCTAGAGCTTCCCAGAAAGGTGTCCTCTCAGGTAAAAAAAATTAGTAGTTTTTAATTTGCAGTTTTCTCACTTGCACAGGGCTCCTGCGGCAATTGTAACATAGCTATTTCATTTTGGTGTTTTGAAGAGTGGATTAATAAATTTCTGCTCCCTATGGAGCCATTAAACTCTGGGTTACTTTGGGCCCCAATTATTCTTGGTCTGATCTATTTCACAAGGGACAGGATAACAATGGAGGCATGTTTACCTTAAGATTGTTGGACGTATAAAGTAAAAACATAACAAATAAAAACTAAGTTGATCATTGGCCAACATTGATCATTTATAATTCTGTTTCTCTGCTAGAAAATGTCCAGTACGATACTTCCATGCAACTCTCAGCTTGGCATCATCTGTGTTGTTAACTCGTCTCCCTCTCCATTAAAATCCTTGTTAGACAGGATTAGAGCAGGAGCCTAAGTAGATAATAAGTGCGGAACAGGTTGTCAGTGCCTCCAGGTTTGGGTTGCGGGATTATCTTAGCAAATGCTGTTTTCAATTAGAAACTGCAGGAAAGATGCTCACACCAAGTTCTTGAGCAAGTGTAAATGTCATTGAAAGGCTTGGCTACTGAGCCACCTTCTGTGACAGGCACATTTGAGCATTCACTGTGTCACGAAGGCATACAGTGGGCATGCTGCCAGTGGTAGCTTGCAGCTTGTATGCCCCCATTGTTTTGGTGATTTGCATTTCCCTTTCAGATTGTGCAATACAGGCCAGTGGGACTGTAGGAAATGCAATTATTTCATGAAAGTTATTGGTGGTCTGTGCATACCAAATCACCTTATCTCTCTTCTGAGGAATCTGTATAAGGACCAAGTAGAAAAAGTAAGAACTGACCATGGAACAACAGACTGGTTCAAGATTGGGAAAGTCGTACGGCAGGGTTGTATACTCTCACCCAACCTATTCAACTTGTAGGCAGAACACATCATGCGATGTGCGGGGCTGGATGAATGCAAGGCTGGGGTGAAAATTGCTGGAAGAAACATTAACAACCTTAGATATGCAGATGATACCACTTTGATGGCTGAAAGTGAGGAGGAGCTGAGGAGCCTTCTAATCAAGGTGAAAGAAGAAAGCGCAAAAGCTGGGTTGCAGTTAAACATAAAAAAACCCCAAGATTATGGTAACAAGAATGATTGACAACTGGGAAATAGAGGGAGAAAACGTGGAGGCAGTGACAAACTTTGTATTTCTAGGTGCAAAGATTACTGCAGACGCAGACTGCAGCCAGGAAATCAGGAGACGCTTACTTCTTGGGAGGAGAGCAATGTCCAATCTCAAAATAGTGAAGAGTAGAGACATCACACTGGCAACTAAGATCCACATAGTCAAAGCAATGGTATTTCCCATAGTCACCTACGGATGTGAGAGCTGGACGATAGGGAAGGCTGAGCGAAGGAAGATAGATGTGTTTGAACTGTGGTGTTGGAGGAGAGTGCTGAGAGTGCCTTGGACTGCGAGAAGATCCAACCAGTCCATATTTCAAGAAATAAAGCCTGTCTGCTCATTGGAGGGAAGGATAGTAGAGGACAAGATGAAGTACTTTGGCCACATCATGAGAAGAAAGGAAAGCTTAGAGAAGACAATGATGCTGGGAGAAATGGAAGGAAAAAGGAAGAGGGGCTGACCAAGGGCAAGATGGATGGATGGCATCCTTGAAGTGACTGGATTGACCTTGAAGGAGCTGGAGGTGGTGACGACTCATAGGGAGCTCTGCTGTGGATGAAGAGTCGGAAATGACTGAACGAATGGACAACAACATCTATAATGAATCATGTCACCTGATGATCTGTTCAAAATTTGATCCTCAATTTGGCCATTTTAGCTCCTAATGATTGTTCAAGCTGCACTTCTCCTGGAAGCCACATATGTGTCTTTTTTTGGCAGTCTCTGGCAACAGAACTCTCTTCCAGCACTAGATTTTGAACACATTTTCCTTTGGTCAGATTTTCTCACTATCCAGATAATAATCTTACATCATGATTGCCAGTTGTTTTTATGTAATTGCACAACATTATTGTAGCCCGAGATTCACTTGTAGCCTCAGCCACCT